CATTAGCGTTGACAAGGCTTCCAATCCACTGATCGGACTCCACATTGTTTATGTAGTAGAGGATCTTCCTGCGCAGCGATTTACATGCCTCGACTCGCCGCTGGACCTCCTCGTTGTCAGAGACCCGCTCGTTCTCGCGATTGATAAGCTGAAGACCGTTGAGAAGGTTTGTCGATGCTATTGACGACTTTGCTAAGGCGTTTGTCATATTGTCCTTCTCCTTGGCGAGGTTGAAAGGCTTGTTGGCTGCGCTGGGCTTCTTCTCCTTGAAAAGCTTCGAGGAGAGACTCGAGGATGTTGAAGTCAGACCCACTGGACGAGAGTACGGAGCTTGAGCTTGAGCCTTAGCATTCGACTTTGCCCGTTGTCTGGGCTCGGAAAATGGAGACTCGGAGGGTTCACTATCTGGATCGGCCGGTGTGCTGTCCTGGAGGACCTTTTGACGAGCAGCGGCAGGTCGTTTGGTCTTCGGCAGCTCTTTGTACAGCGTCGCGATCTTCTCGAGACCCGGAGTCTTGCTGTATGCATTGGCCCATTGGACAAATATCACCTTGCATTTTCGACGGACGGTTGCGTCGACGGTATCGTCCAGAGCCATCAGCCGGAGTCGCTCCAATAGTGGTTCATCGGCAAAAGTACGCTGGAACCGCCCACCAGCATTCTGGATCAGTCCGTCGAGAATAACAAGCGCTCGTATTTGACGATGCGAGTTGCCATATTTGAGCTTCTTGCGGAGTGCTCTGGCGGCTTCGGTCGGCCCTGAAGATTGTATGCGAATGACCTCGACCAGCTCGATAATGCCGCTCCAGTCGTCTTCCTCATGTTGCTCGCTGGTAAGTCGGTCGATCTGAACAGTGATGGCACTGAAAGGCTTCTTCTGTGGTATATGTTAGTTCTGCACAATCCGATATACATCGGGCTGATCTCTGCAGCCAGAACCTAGCCTCAACCTACTGATGAGCCGCTGAACATGGTAAATGGAAGACAGCACTTGTCTGGTGCTACGGAGACCGTTTTCAGACTTTCTGTTGATGCTCTTTTTAGTAAATCGTCTATCTACGCATGACTAAAACTTGCGTGACTTACACGCAATCAGGCGATGCAAGCTACAGCTTGATCTGATGACCACCTAGTAGTGAGGAGTATGTGAGACGAGAGATGCAGCGGTCAATGCAGCGTTGGCCGGGAGTCAAAAATCCTGATGGCTTCCAAGTTAAACGTCGTAAACGAGACACTGACTGCGATTCAGTATTAGCGACAGTGCCCGAGTGGTGAAAGTAGAGCCTCGTGCCGGGATCGCGGCGGGTCAGCGGGCAACGATTCGGGAAGGAGCAAGGCAAGAGCCGATCTCGGCTTGCAGCCTATAACATCTAGACCTCACTTCTGTCGGCATCTCAACGCGTGGCATAGCGTGTGCGACAGCCTCGTTGGAAGTTGATCCATACGTGGAGTATGCAGCCATGGCATTTACACCAATCAACAAACATGACGTCGTCGCCACCTGCCCAGACGGCCCCAGCACAAGCGCTCACGAAGAACCCACAGCTCTGGGTCATAAGGTAGCGACCACAGTTGCTTCCACGTACCTTGGACGAGGTGAGATCACAAAGATACCCACAGTCAAGAGCAAAAAACGCACTTCGACCGCAAAGCCTCTGTCGAAACCCAAGCGACGTCAGACGAGCAATGTCAACGACGACTTTAGAGTCTCCAAGGGCGGTGCTGAGGTTACGCTGGATGCCATCCACTGTGATACGCCTGCGCTTGCCAAGTTTCAAGGCCCTTCCAGCAAGTTCAGTAAAATGCAGACCATTGCAAGCCAACCAGTGTCCTTTCCCTCATCGGTGAGTACCACAGGAAGTGAGTTGGCATCGACTGTCTCCAAGCCCGTATCATTTCTTCCTCCGAGAACAACAATGGACTCGTTTGTTACTACATCGGCGCCAACATCCTTACAAACCGCTAAAGCCGGCGATGGCCAAGGCTTCACGCTCCATCAGGGGTCTTCGACCACCGCAACCTACGACAGCACCAGCATCTCAATGTTTAAGACAATGAACGTGAATTCGAATGAGCGCTGTCCCAGTACCTCGATGGAACAGAGAGCGAGCCAGGACAGTGGCGAGTCCGGTACCAGCAATCGACGCAGTGCACGGCGCCAAAAGGTTGTTCACGTTCCATCTTCTCAGCCCGAAGCATGCTCTGAATCTTCTGAAAGACCGTTAATTTTTGATGACTATGATGACGACAAGGAAAACTTCAGTGATGTTGAGATGGTGAGTATGGCAGAGAGCAACGAAGATGAAGTCGAAATCAGACCCAATACTCCAGCAAACCGTGGACGCAAGTTGAATACCCGCGATGTTGATGAGCTCGAAGACTACGGTGGCGCACTATTGTCCGACGCAGACAAGCTTGCCCTGGGTATAGCGATTTCTCAGTCCATCCTGGAACCATGACAGTAGTACTGACAGCTGACAGACAAGATCAACACCGGCGCCGAAAGTAACATCAAGCCAATTGTCCGCRAGCCATTTCCACCATCTGTTCTCGATCGGTCACCAATCTCTGGAGTGTCCCATAGTGTCGTCCTGCGCACGTGCTTCCGAGTTGGCGAAGCGATGGCGACCGGTTGTCACGGGGCCAGAAACGGTCACGATATTGTCATCGAGTTGTATGCTCGAGTGACCGCCTCTTGGCGGGAGCCAGCCCCTGGTCGCAAGCAGCACTTTTCGTTCAAAGACATCTACCACGACAAACCGCCTTACCTTGACGGAACCTTCGAACTGTGGCAACAAGCCCAGCTATGGGATCTCGACAGCAAGGTGTTTACCGACGCCTCCAAAGGCAACGGAATCATGTGTCGTGTCATTGGAAGACTCAAGCGCGATGGGCAGAAGTGGAGGCTTGATGTGTTGAGCATCTGGGAAGCCACTTGGGAGGACATTGAGTTTGCCGCCGGGATATGTGCCGTTGTTGCGGCAGCGTGATCATAATGTTTGTTTTGAACTTTGCGGATGGATTTGCTTTTTCTGCCCTCGCGCGATGGAAGCGCTCAATCGTGTCGGTATGCACGCAATATTGTGCTCATGAAGAGACCCGGGGAACGATGTGGTCGAGTGTTGCTTGAGCAGAATCGATGTCTTCAGAGCATGGGATGCTATGGCAAATACACCGTCGGAACGTGACAGGAAGCAGTGTGAAATGTAGACATCACGGTAGCAGTGTTGTCCAATTATCACGCCGACTTTCGAGTCTTTCCCTGTTGTCTGCATTTCTGCGACCTGCCGCTGGAGCGCGAGAGCTGCTCCGAGGGCGCCTATCGGCGTAGTCTTGTAGATAGACCTCAGCCCTCTTGCCGCCTCATCTCGCACCGAAAGCCCACTCTTCGACATCTTCTTCGTCCTCCTCGTCTTCGCTTCCAGRATTGGCATGGTTCTCCTGACGTATTGCCGGTGCCTGTATTGTTGGTGTCACATGCTCGACCTGTCTCAGCTTCTCCCTTCGCTCTCGTAATCTCTTGACGCGCTCCTCGAGGCTTTCCATCTCGTCCAACTCATCTTCAAGCATTCTGGCAGCGTCTTCACGCTCGGCTTCCAGCTCCGCGTCCCTATTTCCACGTTGCATGMTTTGCTCTTCCCTTGCCTGGGCTGCAACTTCTTCAGCCGTCATCGCTGGCGCGGATATTGTAGCTTTGTCGGCAGCATTCGATACCATGCTCGCTTCCATTTCGGCCAGCTCACGCTCGAACGCTGCCATTTCCGCGGGATCTACTACCTCATCATTGCCGCTGCTGGGCTGAGGATTAACCAGGGGTGCCGAGTCGTTGACAGAAGGGAGCACTTCCTCAGGGTCGACGACATCCTCCGGCTCTTCCACGCCTGCAACGAATGTGACGGACTTGGCCTTTTTTCGATCCTCTGGAGGCGGACTGTTCTGGCTGTCGGCTTTGCGCTTTTTGCCAGCACCATTGCCAGCTCTAGTCGCAGCAGCCTCTTGCGCGCGTGTTTGGCGCAGTGTGTGCTGCGATGAGTGAAGGTGGCTCTGCCATGCTGCCTCCGATTTGACGAGCGTGTCGCATAGGTTACATCTGATCTTCGAGTCGGGAGTATAGCTTGCRTGGGGGTGCGTTATTCTGCGGGCTTCTCTCGATTGCCGCAGCATCGAGCGTACGTCTGTCATGTTGTGGTGAATAAGGTGGAAAGAGTACCTAGTAGTAGCTACCGTATTCTGTTGTCTCTCATCAATCGAAACCAGGTCAGGTACAACTTGGGAACTCGGCGATTTCTTGGGATTCGGGAACGTTGCCGCACGAACCTTCCTCGCTTGTCAAGTCGATCTCACCTCSACTTCTCTTCTCCTACGCTCGCAGTTCATCACAACCACAATCCGGAACCCGACAATCTTCCCGTCCCCAGGGTTTGCGCTCGAAAAATCCTTTGTCGCCAACAGTTCGCGACTTCATTGCCATCTTCATCGGTGCGCGAAGACGCTCGCGTGCTCTTCACTGCGTCTTACACACGCGACTGCGACACCGCCACGTTTTCTTGGGATACGTGCCTGCTTCAAAGCAGCGCATTGCGATACCTCCAGCGAGGGCAAGCCTGGAAGGCTGGTGGATGCTTGATCGAGAGCTCGTTTCTGCGCATACAATCTCGGCAGCTTGCTGGGCCACGCATTGCCGCTTTTCAATCTGCGTTGCGGTGGACAGACGTCACTGCTACAGACGCGCATCTCTGCCCATCGTCTTRCACGGCTCGAGCAGCGTCAGGTTGTTGTCGTGTATCTAGTTACCGTGAAATTTTGCGTAAGCGCTGAAGACGCTGTATCCCATTCCATCGTATTCCACCCTCTGCCTTGCGCGCGAGTGTCGGATCATATTCAGCAAACATGTCAGGTAAGCATTCAATGCGCCCTTGTAGACGCCCACTGCGTGTGAGAGCACGCAGCAATTGGTCGCGTGCCCTTCAGAACGAGCATTCGCTAACAGACATGCAGATGAGCCACGAAGATCAGGGAGGGCCACGAAAGGGCAGCATAAGAATGCCTCATCGTCGCCCGCTCCGAACACGAAGCCCACAAAGACGGTTAAAGGCAAGCCCACCAAGAAGTCGGCCGAAACAGAGCCGGCACCAAACGAAGACGAGCCAGAAGAGGTCATTCGCTGTGTGTGCGGCAACACCAATCCCCACGACAGACGCGCTTTCGTCAGCTGCGACGCGTGCGAAGTTTGGCAACATAACGTTTGTATGGGGGTCACAGACGACGACGAGGAGCTACCTGAGCACTATTTCTGCGAGCAGTGCCGACCCGAGGAGCATCAAGAAACGGTGCAGTCCATGCAACGCGGCGAGCGGATCTGGGAGAACCGGAATCGCATGTATCAGAACGAGAAGAAGATGAGCAAGAGTCGCAAAAGCAAAGGCAGGGCCGGCGAAGACTCGAAACCGGCGTGGCTCAAGAAAGACATTCCACCTCTGGAGATGGAGCCCGCGGAGCTGACACAACATGTGGAGCCCGTCGAGCAGGCTGAACCAGCGCCAGTCCCAGCGGCAGCACCCACGCCAGCACCAGTGGCTACCAATGGAGGCCAGGATGCGACCAGCAACAGCAAGCGGAAGCGGGAGGACACAATCGACCATCAGGTCACTCCATCCGCCGAGACAGCAGCGCAAGACGAGAAGCCAAACAAGCCGTCCAGGCAGGAGAAGCGTCGCAAGTCGACACCCGCGGCCAGCAAGGCTGCCACTGATGCCAACACAGCCATTGTGCCGATATCCCAGCTTCCACAGGACCGCCAAAAGGGTGCGCAGGCGCTTGCAAAGATCATTAGCGATGACATACAGGCGAGGACCAACTCTGGATATTCTCCTCCAGATGGTCAGACTGCATCCTCTTTAGGGGAGACGTATGCAGCGAGAATTGAGTATGAAATGCACATGAACCACGGCGTCGGCCAACCCAACTACACCGGCCAATTCAGAGCTTTACACGCCAATCTCAAGAAGAACAAGAGCCTTGTCCAGAGACTCCTGTCCGGATCGCTTACCGCAAGCGAGCTGGCGACTATGAGCACGAGCGATATGGCGAGCGAGGAGCTCCAGCGCGAACGTGCAGAGATGAAAGAAGTTCTCGATCGGCAGGTAATCGCAGTTGTCGAGGAGGGTCCAAGATATCGTCAGGATCACAAGGGTGTGCATCTCATCGAGGACGAGACTCGGCACGGGACCGATGCGCAGATGACCGATCACGAGTCGAGCACCCAGAGACCCAGTATTGCTGATGCCAGAACAAGCAGCCATGGCCAGAGCGGCTCGCCATCAGGAGAGTCACCTTTGGTCGTAGACACCGGCAGCCAGGCGGATCCCAACGCAGAACGTCGTCCCACTAGCCAGCATTTTGACATGAAGAACATCTGGGCTAAAACACAGCCGTCGCCCACAATTGGCACTCCGCCCGCGGGAGCCCGTACAATGCAAATCGCTCCACGTCGCCGTAGTTCGATAGCTCAGAATGCGGCAAAGGTCGACCCAGACGTTGATCGGATGCTAGAGGACGATGACGACTCCTACGCACCAGCGGACGTCACAGGCTCGGACCAAGTTGTCTGGCACGGCAAGCTGGTGCAGAGTAGTGAAGACAGCGCTCCGACGGTGAACGCGCGATTCGTGGCAGGGCGAGACCTTGCGTCTACTGGATCGTGGGCATCTTTGCTCCCTCACAAGTTGTCCATAGATGGGCGCTTGCAGATTGAAAAGGCTGAGCAATACCTTTGTGGCTTGCGGTGGAGCTCCAGCAGTGATGTGACGGTCCTCTCCCTCTCCCCATACGACAACGCCGATGCATTCAACGAAGTGTTCGATTACTTCCATAGCAGGAAGCGGTATGCTGTCGTCGAGAAAGACAAGCCACCTATGGTGAAGGATCTGTATATCATACCGGTGGACGCCGGTGAGGCTCTTCCGGAACACGTGTTAATGCTCGAACATTGCAGTCTTAAGAAGCCTGTCGAGGAGAGGCTTCTTCTTGCCACCCTCATCGTCGCACGAGCTCCAGAAGTCCAGTCTGCAGTGCAGGAATCAGCACCAATGCAGCAGTCCAACGGACATCTCCCTCCACATGTCCGCCAAAGCATAGGTGGCCCGGCAGGCTCGCCGATCAACGTGCAGAATGCGACGTTCTCGCCGCCAAATAGTGGGGGTCTTGGGGGTCCCCCCTCCCATGAGATCCCCCCAAATCCGTACGTTGCACAGGCGCAACAGCAGCCTCCACCACGACCAGTGTCACAGCATCCGAATTCGATGGTAAACAGCATCCTGGGAGACTTGCAGTACTGCCCAACCGCACAAACGATATTCCAGGAGACAACACATCTCGAGGAGATTCAGCTTCGTAACTTGGCGCTGATCCTGTCTCAGGATGTGGTTGCCCGGACGGACTTCACAGCGCTCACTAACCGGCTGTACGGATTGAAGTCGGCGTAGTGAACGCAATGGCATGGAACCTAACGATGTACACATGGGGCTGGTGATCACGAAAATTCAGTGAACCAAATTATTCTGTGGTGGTATCTGGATTGTGAAGAGCTCCCCGGCTGGGAGCTTCAGAGCAGTCCGTTCGTGGCTGGACCCGCAGTGATGAGCCATGAGTATCAGTAGTTGGAAGACCGACTTTCATTGTTGTCTGCTCGCGTCCCGAGCGGAAGATGGTCACGGGGAAAGGGCAACGGAGCCTTCACGTCAAGGAGAGGGATGCAACGACAGTGCTCCGCGAGGGTAGTGAATTGTGTCCCGTGAGGACAATAAGTGGTTTTTAGTTCTTCAATTCGAGTATCTATCAAGTTCAAGCATTATATGACCGTAAACTCCCACTTTGACAGTCGACGAGAGCGGACAACTCACGTATCCATGGCTGAAAGCCGTCGCAGTCTCATGCTTGGCATGGGTCACTATGCTTTGCGTCATGGGGTACCAGGTAGGCGGACTTTTTGTGAGTCTTCGAATGAGTCGTCTATTTTCCCATACCGAATTCTACCCCGCTAAGGATATATATTTCATCCCCCACCACACGACCCTCTCTTTTTCACATTCAGCACAACATGGCAGCCCAAGGAGCGGCCGACGCGGTCAAGGAAGCAGTTTCCAATGCCGCCGACAAGGTCTCTCAGCTCACCACGTCCGACAACACACCCAATTTGGTCCTGGATGAAGTGACGGGCGAGTCAGTCTCCAAGTCGGAGTTCAAGAAGAGGCAGAAGCAACGCGAGAGGGATGCGAAGAAGGCTGAGCGTGAGGCGACCAGGCAGCCTCCACCACAGGCTAGACGCAAGGCAGTAAATGACGAGGAGGATGAGGGAAAGCTGAATCCAAATGTGAGTCTGTCTAGCGAAGTAGAAGGGGAGAAAGTGGCTGACAAGCACTGCAACAGCAATATCGAGAGCTGCGATCGCGCGCCGTCAAGCGGATGCTGGAGAATAACCAGCCCAATCCCTACCCGCACAAATTCCATGTCACATACGACTTGACCAAGTTCGAGGGCGAATTCGGCCACCTCAAGAAGGGTGAGCTTGTCAAGGAGAAGGTACTCAGCATTGGCTGCCGGATCTACAACATCCGCACGTCGGGCGAGAACCTGCGCTTCTATGAAGTCTCGGTGGATGGCGCAAGCATTCAAATCATGGCCACAAACTCGGAGAACACCAGCGATGTCCCCTTCACCGAGCAGCACGACATTCTTCGCAGAGGAGACATCATTGGCGTGACTGGATTCCCTGGCCGTACAAGTCCCAAGAAGGAGGATAACCCAGGCGAGCTGTCCATATTTGCCCAGAGCGTTCAGCTGCTCGCGCCATGTCTTCATCAGATTCCGTCAGAGCACTACGGATTCAAGGACCAGGAGGAGCGTTATCGAAATCGTCACCTTGATCTGATCATGAACAAGTCATCCAGAGATACCTTGCTTAAGCGATTCCGTGTAGTCAAGTACATTCGCAGATACTTCGAAGACGCTGGCTTCTACGAGGCAGAGACCCCCGTCCTGCAGAAGTCTGCAGGCGGTGCCACCGCGCAGCCATTCATGACATACCACAACGACTTGAAGACCAACCTTGCTCTTCGCATTGCGACCGAGCTGCCATTGARGCAACTGGTTATTGGAGGCATCAACAAGATCTTTGAGCTGGGACGAGTCTTCCGCAATGAGGGAATCGATCTGACACACAACCCCGAATTCACCACCTGCGAGTACTACGAGGCATACACTGACCTCTCGGATACCATGAACCGTACTGAGGAGCTGGTGGAGGGTCTTGTCAAGGAGATTACCGGTGGGCTGACAACCCAATTCACCACCCAGACCGGCGAGGTTTACGACGTGAACTGGGCCAGGCCTTGGAAGAGGATTGAGATGATGCCGGCGTTGGAGGAGGCTTGCGGCGAGAARTTCCCGCCCGGCGATCAGCTGCACACCGATGAGACCAACGAGTTCTTGCGACGCATCCTCAAGAAGGTCAACGTTGAATGTCCGCCGCCACTCACCAACGCTCGCATGATTGACAAACTCGTCGGCGAGTTCATCGAAGAGAAGTGCATCAACCCGACCATGATTACGGGACACCCACRGATGATGAGTCCACTTGCCAAGTACCACCGCACGACCCCAGGTCTGTGCGAGCGCTTCGAGGCGTTCGTGTGCAAGAAGGAGATTGTCAATGCATACACCGAGTTGAACAATCCCTTCGTTCAGCGCGAGCATTTCGAGGAGCAGGCAAGACAGAAGGCCCAGGGAGATGACGAGGCGCAACCCCTCGACGAGGACTTCCTTACCGCAATGGAATATGGTCTGCCTCCTACGGGAGGATGGGGCATGGGAATTGACCGCATCGTCATGTTCTTGACCAACAACTACAGCATCAAGGAGGTATTGACTTTCCCGATGATGAAGGACATTGATGTGCAGAAGTCGAAGGCGGATGAGGTCGTTGCTGGTGTAGAAACTGTACCGGTCGAAGGCATTCCGCACAAGTAGATATGCGTCGCCGCMGTATTGTTGATAGAATCGTTCGGCCTAAGATGAAAGCTTGGCTAACCAAAGCTACAACCGAACCTTATCACACATGTGCAACGATGTTCAGAGCTTTCTTCTCGAGCCCATACTTCGTTGATCGCTCTCAATCTACTTTGTCTCCCACCAAGGTCGCGATGTTATGCCCTTGATGTTTTGCCTCTCCTCCTGGCCCGAAAGAAACGCGGGATCGCATACATCGACATGCAATGCCAAAGAACCGAGTCTCGTCATCGGTCGCGAAGCCATCGCCCAATGATCTAGATCTACGGCCCAACCACGCAGTCCCACATACACACACCTTGTTGAAGGTCCTTGATATGTATAACAACTCTCGGGCGCCAGGCTTCTGTAGCTGGACGCTTGGCTTTTGGGCAAAATCCGCCGCAACCAATACCTACGACTTACCGCCGGACACGTCACGCTTTATCTGCCGCCGTCCTCTGGCCCCGGCCGTGACAGGCTGACAGCTGCCACGACGAGTGGAGTGCAGCATCGCGCACGTCTGCAACTCGCGGGCTGCTTTGTTGTATGGTTCGCTTGCAAAGACGAGAGATCAAAGCGCCCTTGTCCGCTTGGTCTATTCTGGGGCCTATCTAATAGCCTTGACCGCCACAAAGAGTGACCCGTTTGAACCTCCTTCAAAAACCTTGTTTCCGCTTGGAATTTGTACATACAAACCGCAGACGTTCCACGCAATCATATCTAAGACACGGGGTTGACGACATACTTGCCGGACAAGTTGCAGCACGTTATCCCTTTCCAACGAACCTTACAGCCATGGTAGCCATCGGACAAACCATCACGGTCGTCAACAAGTCGGGCAAGGTGGTAGGCACATCGAAGCATCTGGTCAACGTCTTCAAGGAAGCAAAGAGTGCATATAGTGAGCGTAAGGCGGAGATCAAGGCCCAGAGAAAGAGTGAGCACGACATCAAGGAGAAGGAACGCAAGGCACTCAGGGAGCTAGAAGCTCTGACTCTCGTGGACGACGATGATGGCCGCAGTTCACAAGCAAGTACAAGAAGAGGTAGTGATAGTGGCAGGACCATCAGGAGAAAGCCTGTCCCGGGAAAGTCGAGGGTGGGTATGAAGCGTGGCGTTTCGGACAGCTTCTRTGCGAACGATCGTCCACAACGTCATGATTCCCACCGTCCGTCACCGCTCCGGAATGGATCTTCCGTATCGCTGGGCGAAGATGAGCCGCGCATTGGTGAGCTCACGCGGAGACACACGGAGGGCACGCAATTACGTCGTCAAAAAGAGAGCAAACGGCACGCCAGCATGGACGATATCGACATGGACTTGGCCTATGGTGATTACCTTCCTCAGCCTGGACCCGAGAGCAAACGCGAAGACGAGCTCGAATTGCAGGAGAAGATGAGCGGTCTTCAGCGCCTCCTAGACGAAGGCAATTGCATTCAACACTCCGTTACCGCCATGATCGATAATTTGCAAAAGAACCCTGACGCCCTTGCCGCTGTTGCCCTGACGCTCGCGGAGATTTCCAATCTGGTGGCGAAGATGGGTCCGGGAGCTTTKATGACCATGAAGAGCTCGTTTCCCGTGATTGTTGCACTGCTCGCTAGTCCTCAATTCGCTATCGCCGCCGGCGTTGGTGTTGGCGTTACGATCATCGCGTTTGGTGGCTACAAGATTATCAAGAAGATCAAGGCTCGCGACGAGCTCCGTCTTTTGGAGAGCGGCGTCGAGTTACCAGTAGGCGAGGAAGGGTTTGTTGAGGAAATGGACGAGCTTCGTGAAATCGACCACATTGAGAAATGGCGTCGTGGGATTGCTGACGAGCAGGCAAACTCGCTTGGAACCAGCGTCGATGGCATGTTTGTTACACCGCAGGCAACACGCACGCTTATTGAAGAGGGCAAGCTCACTGAAGCTGACTTCAAGCCTGTCTCCACCAAAGAGGAGAAGAAGGCTCGAAAGAGGAAGACGAAGAGCGAGGTTAGTTCCAGGTCAACTCGGAGCAAAAGTAAGAGTGGCGAGGTGAAGGTTAAGAAAGAGCCTTCAGCTCTTCGCATGCTCTTCAAGGGGAGCTCATGATGATGAAGAGGACAAAGAATGAATTGCATAATATAGATATTTCGATGTAGCGTTTGAGCGTGTGGATTGCGAGGAGACTGCTATGTCTTTGATATGAATGATGATTGACGGTGTTATTCCTTGCTACAATTCATTTCAACCCTGTATCACCAGTCTGCCTGTGTCCTTAGCTTCAGTGTGCTTCATCGTGACTCTCCACGCTGGCAGCTCAACAAGTCCTTGGTCGTGCCAGAACACGACCTCGTTGAGGGGAAGTCCGGCATAGGAAAGTTGATCGAGATCGGTTGGACAAAATTCATCCCAAACCCCCGAGTTGTGCGAGTTGTGGGTTTCCCTCTCTCGCACAGCCAGCACTCGCCATATTTCTCCTTCCCGAGACGTTTCGTTCTTAAACAACAACGTCGGTGAAAGTTGAGCGTACAAATCTGGATCGTCGTTTGTGCTGGCGAGGAACCCTGGAATGACGCTCGTTCCGTTCGAGATGAACTGCGTGATATGCAGGCCCTTAGCAGGCGAAACTTTCATTTCGATGGTCGAGTTGAGGTAAGGGATCGTGGCGGAATAGCTTCCCTCATGGGTATTCGAAATCTGTWTCCAGATTGCTTCTTCCGCTCCACGAACCAGCTCAACAGACACAATCTCGGTGAGTTCGTCCAGCATTGCCATGTTCCCTCCTACTAGAATGGTGAAGCCAAGTCCATATTCTTCTACAACCACTATCTTCGTGAAGTAGCCGGGAAGGCCACCAGATTTCGTGGTAAACTGTGAGTTGAATTAGGGAAGTTACACGACCTGGCACTACTGAACAGGAGCTCACTGTCACAGGTCTACGACTATCTTTCAAGATCTTGTCGGTCCGGAATATCTCGAATGGCATCCCATAGAACTGCAAGAGGGAATAAAATTGTCAGTCATTATTGTCTCTGATGTCGATGATCGCAGGGCACCCACAGACTCCATGCCAGTACCCCAGCTAGCAGGAAGCAGCCAATTGATCCCAGTTACGAGGGAGTTGTGGTTAGTCAATATATATCGGATAAACTTGCTAAGGTCGGTCGACGTTGAATAGAGACCACCGGTCGGATTCTGTACGCCTTCTTCAACGCCCTATAACATGTCAGTGATTCGCATGCACATTAGGAACTCCCGCCGTACCCAATAGTTACCGCGATCCCCTTCCACTACTGGCAGTACAGCGAACTCGTCGGAAGGAGTGTCGAAGCTCGTCGAGTCCATGCCTAGCGGCTTCACGATTGTGTCGATGATGTGTTGCTCGTAAGGCACGCCCACGACATTGGCAATAACCAGACCGAGTAATTCGTAGTTGACATTACTGTAGGCTGTGTTCAAGGTCAGCAGTTCTTCAAGGTCATTCAAATATTTGCAGCTCACTGGACTTTTGATTTGGAGCAAACAGTKGCTGAGCTTTCTTGAGCCGATCGAGGAGATCAGATCCAGTACACGGCTTGTATTCATTGTACTCATCGCAAGGTGGCAAATCGAATCCGGAGACTGGTGGAAGGCCAAGGGACGTTGGATCGTGCTTTAAGTTGTAGAGGTCACCTTGCGCGAACTCACGAGGGATGCCAGATAGCTGGCTTGCGAGGATTCTTAGAGAAATGTCCTTCCATGGCAAAGCGTACTCGGAAGAGTTGAGCTCTGGAATGTACTTGACCACAGGATCGTCCAGCGAGAGCTTCTTGTCTGCAGCCAAGTAGAGCAATGCTAGAGTCGTGAATGTCTTCGTGATGGATGCGATGCGGTACTGGGAGTGGCCTGAAACATGTATGTCTCCAGGACGAGTCTTGTTCAAGATACTGGCAGTATGATAGGTCCCCCAAAGAGTGTCCGAGCTGGAGGAGGTGACCTCGATTGAATATGATGAGGTGTTGTACTTGTTTTTCTGAACGACATTGTGGAGCTTTTGCTCAATCCGCTTGAATATTGATTGAAGGTCAGAAGCTCCTTTGTTCCATGCTGGAGGTGGAAACGCTGGGGTAGGCTCGTAACAGCTGCCAACGACGAAAGCTGGGAGTACGGAGACGGCCAGAGCAAGCGTTGTCAACAGCATGGCGTTCCGTGTTTGTTATCTAGATGTGAAGTCGTGAAGTTCGCTGTCACGATGAGGGGCAATTTGTTCCTGAGCTCACCACCTCGCCCTGACCGTTCCTCTCCGAAGGACACGATGTTACTGTCAGAAAAGCCCTGAGCACTATTTGGCTATTGTACCATGTACCATCCCAAGACTCATGGCTAAGGCTAAAAGGCACTGAAGGCCGTCGTCCAGCCTGCGGCTTGAGCTATTCCCGCCCTGCGCAATACCTCTGATATAGACTGAAACTCGAGGGAACGAGATGCTCTCCACAAGTTTGATGTAAGCAGAGAAATTCTCGTCTTGAACGAAATATGTCATAAATACATCCTTTTGAAGCGCCTGGCAATGCCGATGCATTAGCAGGCATGTCTGCTTTCCCTGTACATCCTTTCATGCAAACAGCATCCCCATCCTATCGTACATCATGTTCCCATGTTGCATTGCGGTCCACACACTCCACAACAACATGCAAACATGCAGTTCCAGAATCCCTGCTCGATGATAGAACTTGCTCTACTTCTTGTTCTTCTCCGCCCTCTCTTTCTCATGCTTGGCGATAAGCTCTTTCTGCAGCTGCATGGGCGCAGGCGAATAATGGCTGAACTCCATGCTGAACTCACCCTTGCCCTGACTAGCCGCTCTCAACTGCGATGAGAAGCCGAACATGGCATTAAGCGAGCAATCCGCGGTGACAGTGAACTCCTCGGGGCCAATCTCAGTATCGTTGATCACAGCATTCCTCTTGTTTAGAAGTCCGACGATGTTTCCTTGGAACTCATTGGGTGCGGTAATGACCGTCTTCATCAGCGGCTCCAAGACCTGCGGTTGTGCAGCCAAGAAAGCCTTGCGGAAAGCCTGCTGTGTAGCGTTCTTGAAAGCAAGTTCACTGGAATCAGTCATATGCGTCGCACCATCGTTAATGACCATGCTCGTTCCGAGAACTCTGTGACCAAGTAGCGGACCTTGCACACAAGATGCTTGGAAACCCTTGTCACAGGCCAAGAGGTACTTTTCGGCGATGGTGCCTCCGACGATCTGCTGTTCGAATTCGTTGTTGCCCAAGTTTCCAGTAGGCTCAAGGAAACCGACGACACGGGCGTAATCTCCAGATCCACCAGTCTGCTTCTTGAGCAAATGGTCGAATTTGACGTGCTGGTTAATCGTCTCGCGGTATGCAACCTGAGGCTGACCGGTGACGACTTCCACCTTGTATTCACGCTTCATGCGCTCGACGTAGATGTCCAGATGCAATTCTCCCATGCCGGAAATGATAGACTCGCCGGATTCGGTGTCCACGTGAACGCGGAAGGTGGGATCTTCGCGTTGGAAACGCGAGATGGCCTTGCTGAAGTTTGGTGTATCCTTCGTGTGCTTGGGCCGGATGGAGAGAGAGATAACGGGATCTGGGACGAACATACTGGTCATGCTGTAGCCCAGGCCACCGTCTGTGAAAGTATCTCCCGAAGCGCAATCGACGCCGAAAACGGCACAAATCTCGCCTGCACCAATCTCGGTCACGTCCTCCATTTCGTTGGAGTGCATGCGCACAATGCGGGGAATCTTGACCTTTTGGCCCGTACGAGCGCTGGTAACGAATTGACCCTTGCGGAGAGACCCTTGGTAGACGCGGATGTAGGTGAGTTGGCCGAAATTTGACTCTTCCAGCTTGAAGGCAAGACCGACAAATGGCAGACTGTTGTATGATACAAGCTTTACCTGAGCCTCGTCTCGTCTTCGGTCAAGGGCAAGGTTCTCTACTTCAGATGGATTGGGGAGATAGTCGACAACAGCGTCTAGCATGGGCTGAACGCTCTTGTCAGCCAATGCTGAGCCCATCAGCACTGGGGAGAATTTCAAGCTGATGGTTGCCCGGCGAATAGCAGCCTTGATTTCATCTGGGGAGGGTGTTCGTTCGTCCAAGAATGCTTCCGCGATCTCGTCGTCCACATCTGCCAGAGTTTCGATCAAGAGGCTCCTTTTTGCCTGCGCCAGTTCGAGCACATCCGCTGGCACGTCGTCTACACGGACAACCTCTCCCTTGTGGCCTTCGGAGTAAATGGCCTTCATCTGGATAAGGTCCACCACGCCCCTGAAGTCGTCCTCCACACCAATGGGGACCTGGACTGCAGCAGCGGGTATTCTGAGTTTCTGGTTGATACCATCCACAGCCTTCCACGGATTCGCGCCAGCGCGGTCCATTTTGTTCACAAATGAGATTCTGGGAACATTGTAGCGCTTCATCTGACGATCCACAGTCACGGTCTGCGACTGCACCCCAGAAACAGCACACAGAATCATCACGGCGCCATCCAACACACGCAGCGCTCGCTCGACCTCGATCGTGAAGTCGATGTGACCAGGGGTATCGATCAAATTTACGTGGTATTTCTCGTCTTTCAACTCTCCAGTAACGGGATCGGGCATCTTCTTGATCCAGTCACAGAACGTCGCAGCAGATTGGATGGTGATGCCCTTTTCTCTCTCCAAATCCATGCTGTCCATCTTTGCACCAACTGCATCTCTCCCTCGCACTTCGTGGATGTCCTTGATACGGCCGGTATAGAATAGCACACGCTCGGTCACAGTGGTTTTTCCTGAATCGATATGTGCGGCGATTCCAATGTTGCGCACTTTATCCAGACGAGCGGCTTCGACGGGATCAAGGTTCTCGACAATGGCGTCCTGAGAGAGCGAGGTGGGATCGTGCATTGCCGTTTCCAACACCGCAGCAGCCGCACCGGACTGCCACCGTCGCGTCTGCCATTGCTGTAGATGCTGTCCTATTCTCTCGTGGTTCTGTGCTCGGACGGCGTGGCGATTATGTGATGGAAGGACGGTCGTGGCGAATCCACGCGTGCAGACACCTGCGTTGCCACTTCGCAGAGCAGCATGGCGCAGTGATAACCGCGCAAGAGACGGAACCCGCATGATGGCGAGTTAGAGATGGTGGGAATGGAATGCACGCGATGGCGAATGGCGGCGGCCATAACTTTTTCGGGAGTCCGCATTTTTAGTCATCCACGTGAATCAACTGCCGCGACTTTAACTAGCATCCTCAACTCGCTTCGACACCCACACCCGAAATGTCGCTGATACCGGCGCGCAATGGCGCAAATGCACCGCCAACTCGTGCCGCCGATCTGGTCTCCGACAAGCAGTTCCGGACATCCACCAAAGGAAAGGTCCCCACTGGGTACGCTGAGGAGATTGCCATATCCGAGCAGAGCTTCCGCAGCCTACATCGGGATGTGCAGAGTCAGCAGTCGGCTGGAAAGAAGCGCAAGCGGGAGCTGAAGGGCGATAGCGGGACTGTGTATGGTGCAGGCGCATACAAAGGACCGTGGGCCAAATACGAAGAGCGGCGTATCGACAGCGACAGCGGCGAGGAGATGGAGGTGGAGGTGTCGGGAGATGAGAGCGGCGAGGAGGTGGTCGTGTACGAGGAGGACGCTTTAATGCCTGTGCCGGCCAAGGGAAGCCTCGCTGGCACCGACTACGATGCTGCATCCGCGGATAAGGAAACGTCGACCTTTGAAGGTGCCGAAGAACACGACTATCAGGGCCGCACATATATGCATGTACCACAAGACTTGGACGTGGACCTCACTGCCGACTTTGAAAACCTCGACCTAAAGTGCTACCACCCCAAGAAGCTCATTCACACCTACAAGTCCGCGAACAACAAGCCTGCGCATGAAAAGGCTCTCACGGCACTCAAGTTCTTTCCGGAATCTGGTCACCTGCTTCTCAGTGCTGCCGCAGATGGTAAAGTCAAACTTTGGGATGCCTTTCATGCTCGTGAGCTCTTGCGCTCTTACTCTGGACATACCAAGTCTGTCGTGGATGTGGACTTTTCCCCGGATGGAACGAAATTCATAACAGCGTCCTACGATCGTCAAATGAAAGTGTGGGATACGGAAACTGGAGCATGTACAGGCCGATTCAGCACCGGTTCAACGCCGCACGTTGTGCGATGGCAACCCGATGATCCGAGCGGACAGGAGTTCCTCGCGGGCATGCACAACAACAAAATCGTGCAATTCGACACTCGCTTGCCACCGGACGGCGAAAAGAAGAATCCTGTGCAAGAGTACGACCATCATCTGGGACCTGTCAATACCATCACGTTCACGGATCAAAATCGCCGCTTCATTACAACATCAGACGACAAATCACTCCGCGCGTGGGAGTACAACATCCCCGTGCCGATCAAATTCATTGCAGAACCCTACATGTTCCCCATGGTCAAATCCGCCTCGCATCCTAGCAAATCATCGGTTCTCATGCAGAGCTCAGACAACACAATCAAAGTGTACAACACTGGTGAGAAGATCCGACAGAACAGAAAGAAGGAGTTCCGAGGTCACAACAATGCCGGCTATGCTATCGACGTCGATGTCAGCCCTGACGGAGGGATTGTGTGCAGTGGTGACAGCGGCGGCTTCGTATGTTTCTGGGATTGGAAGAGCTGCAAAATGTGGCACAAGATCAAGGCAAGTGATGCGGCAGTCATCAGCGTAGCATGGCATCCCAGAGAGAGCTCCAAAGTCGTCACAGGAGATCTCAACGGTGTCATCAAGTACTGGGACTAGCCTGGATTTCGAYATCAAAGTATTACGACATTGTTATGACGACTCTCTGGCGACGATTGATGCTCTGAATTACCTTACAGGGAGGTGATGGTGCAGCGAAAGGACGAGAAACCGAGATCGCTTTTGTACCTTCATTGAAAGCCGACAACGTGCCCGAACACATGAAGACCGGCAGCCTAGATGTCCGTGCCTATGTAGTGCTCCGTAGATGGGGTAATATACGAGGTCAACCCAAAGCAGAAGAACCTGAGCGAATACCATGACGGTATGCAGAAGCCCGTCGTCGAGCGCCTTGCTGTTGGGCGAAAGAAACGCCCATATGAGAGCGTTAGAGCAAGATGATGCGCAGAGGACGATGTGATCTGTATCGTCATAAAACTAGAAGTATTGCGTTCAGTTTTCCATGCCCGGCCTTTGAGTGCTTTGTTCGATGGACAGGGGTCGTTCTTCTTCAAGAGATATTGACAGAGAGACGGGCGGTACGAGGACTGGGCTAAAGTCGGACGACGGGGCGTGAGGCCAGCCTCTCGACGAAGCCAAGTTCCGACCAGACATATTTATGCTCCGCTCGACGTACGTCTGTCTTTCCTTGGTGGGGAAGTTCAGATCCAGAAGAGGGCGGACGTAGCTACTAGCAGATCGCAAGAGTCAATTCCGTCCAGGCCCTCCACATCGCTACTCAATTTACAGTAGTTTCTTTCAGTAAAGAGATACTGGTCGACGATATAGGCGGAATGGGGCGGGAGGACATACGCGAGGCGCGAAAGTTGAGAGGTGAGGTGAAGTGAGGTCAGATTCGCGCCGGATGAGCGGACGGCGGACGGCGCCTTGGCAATGCTCGCCCGCAACATTCTAGCCTAAATTATCGACCGCCCTTCGCTTCGAAATGCTTGATTAATCTTGCTAACGCACGTCGCTCTCCTGCTCCACTATCAATAGCTGAGGAGCCGTCTCGGACTCTCGGCCAACCAGTCGGCGAACGACCAGAATGCCCACTCAACTGCCGTGTCACTGCCCGCAAGACCAGACCATCGTACGATGTGGAGGAGCCGCCTCTGGGGGCCCGGAGTAAATGAGGAGATGCTCTGGGGCGATGTCTGCTTGTGGGTGACATCTGCTTTCGTTTCATCTATGATTTGCAAGTCAGTAACATCTCGCTTCGGTGCTTTTCGCCTGCTCCACACTGCCGTTCTCAGCTTTCTATGCTGCAACGCGTATTCAACAAGAAAGCTTGATTGAGTTGAGCTCCATCCTCCAAGCCTTCTTGTTTTGTATACAGAGGCTTCGACGTTTCTGCCAATTTTTTCATTCGAGTCTTTTATCTAGATCATCTTCATACAATGGGCGCTCCACAGAAGGCGAGCCGTGGCCAAAGTGACTCCGCAACAATGTCAAACGTTCACCCAGAACCCTTTAAAAGTCCTGCTGATAGCGACGGAATGGACCCCACAACGGACACCCGTGCAAGATACATGGCAACAGGCCCAGCTGTCAGTTTAAGCCAGGAACATCAAGATTATCTTATCAAACGCCATGGCACACTCTACCTCGATCCTGTACCTTCAGACGACCCTGCCGATCCTTACAACTGGCCAGAATGGAAGAAGATGGCCAATTTAATCGTCGTGGGGTTCAATGCCATGATGACAACCTTCACAGCAGCTGCAATCATCCCAGCATACGAAGCAATCTCTGAGGAGTTCGAGTGCACCATCACGAAAGCCAGTTACCTCACATCGCTACAGATCATGGTTTTGGGCTGGGCTCCACTGTTCTGGAAGCCACTCTCTCAGCGCTATGGTCGACGTCCTATCTGGCTGATCAGTATGCTTGGCTCGTTGGTCTTCAACGTGGGTTGCGCACTGTCACATAGTTATAGCACGATGGCCATATGTCGCGCGTTTGTGTCCTTCTTCCTCTGTCCCGCAATGGCCTACGGAAGTGGTGTGGTGACGGAGACGTACTTTAAAGGACAGCGAGCTCAGTACATGGGCGTGTGGACCTTGTTGGTCACGTTGGGTGGGGTTGGCCACATCCTTGAATGATTGAACATGCTAATGCTCGTCCAGGGGCACCCTCGGGACCATTTATTATGGGATTCGTCAGTTACCAGACTGGAAACTACCGGTGGATATACTGGACCCTCGCAATTCTCAACGGTGTGCACTTCTTGGCCTATTGTATCTTTGGACCAGAGACTCGCTATCTTCGACGCGGCGTCACGCACAGAGGCTCTGCATTCGCTCAAGAGTGCGCTCTCTCCTTCCTGAAAACATGAGAATGGTAATTGACTTCTTCCGTAGATATCTCCAATTCCGACGAATCGACCCAGCTCCCTTCCGAATCTTCGAATTCATCCAACCCCTATCCCTCGCGCGATATGCCTCAATTGCGATTCCCGCTGTTGCGTATGCTGTGGTCTTCAACTTTACCTCTGTCCTCCTCACAGTCGAGATCCCTCAACTCTTCATCCCCAAATTTGGCTTCAACTCCCAGCAGCTTGGTCTCCAATTTCTCGGAATCATCATAGGCTCCATTATTGGCGAGCAACTAGGTGGTCGACTCAGCGACCTCTGGATGAGACGCATTGGAGGTAGGAAAGTCGCAACGCCTCCACCCGAGTTCCGTCTGTGGCTCTCTTACGGAGGATTCCTACTGGCGATGGTCGGATTGATCATTTTCGGCGTTCGATTTGAACAAGCTGAGCAGAATCATTGKAATGTAACGCCAATAATCGGCATCGCAATCGCAGCAGTGGGTAACCAGATCGTCACGACGGTACTGGTGACTTATGCGGTTGACTGTCATGTTGAGCATAGTGCAAGCATTGGTATTTTCATAAATGTCGTTCGACAGACTTGGTATGCTATTCCTTCCTTCAGAAACGGAGGCCACCACAAAACTGACATTCTCCTGCAGGGGATTCATCGGACCATTCTTCTTCCCCGAGATGCTGGCCGATCTGGGTACCGTGGCAAGCGTTGGATTGCTTGCAGGGCTGATATTCGCTGTCTGTTGGGTTCCCACAGCGGTGTTGCAGTGGCGAGGGCAGAAATGGAGAGATGCTGGTCCGGCGCCCATTGTCATGGCTGAGGACTTGAAGGTCGCTGAGAAGGAGGCTACTGGTTCCGTGTGAAGGCTCCTCCTGTAGATGAATTATGTAACAGTAACGTGTAGGCTGAAGCTGCACTTGCAAGGACGCTAATGCCTTGAACGTGAACGAAAAACTACGAGCATCGACAGAATGACAAAACAGAATAGGGTGGAAGAAAAGCTGCACTCAAGAATCGAACAGCACAGCATGGCCAACTGTAAGAAGCTTGTACATACGCAACAGTAGGTAGAGTAGAATAATGGCTTAGCTCCATGCCGTCACTGTGCTCATAACTTCCAAAGGGTCTGTGACATAAGACGTCCTAGAGGCTACATACATTGCGTGCTTGTGACTGCGAGAATCTATTCGCCGTCTATTGTCAACTCCAAATCGCCGTTTCATCTGCCCGGGTATCTTTGTAATGCCAACTCCATACGCTGATGCTTCAGTAGTCGTCCCCGTTTCGTGTCATCGTTATCGTCGTCCCCGCGACCTCGCCTATCAAGACACTGTCAACCCGCTCGCCKGTCATGCATCGTGTAAGCACCATATTTAGGGAGCAAGACACTGCTCAGCTGTCGTTCTTGTCCCATCGATGAGCTTCATCTCCGCCTCGCCAAGACTTCTCCTCGTACCCAACTTGCGCTTTCACGCTCCTCATCAGCTCATCGTTGCCCATGTTTTTGCCCGTATCATCACTCAGCTTGATCGCGCTATTACCATTGGCCTCGCATAATTTGATAACGATGTTTAACGGCACGCTCTTCTCCTTCGTGCTCAGAGTCACGAAGTCATTAGTGAAGAATGTCCCCACACCAAATGCTGGTGTCAGACCCACGGCCTCGGTGGCCTCCTTGTACTGAATGCATCGCGCGATGTTCAAGCTGTCAGAGAAGATGACCGTCTTCGGGTCCTTGATACCCTGTGCGTCGTAAAATTGGCTAATCATCTTGACATACTCGACGGGATCGCCAGAGTCCTGGCGTACGCCAGTAAATATCTGCGCGTATGTCGGGTCTCGTCCATTCACCACATCCTCGGTGGTGCCGCTCTTAGGTGCAGGCTGCGCGAAAGCCTTCAAGAATGAGGGAGTGCCGAATGTGTCCGTCAATGCGATGCCCAACACGCCCCGGCCGAAAGTTCCAATCCAATACTGCAGTGCGAGCTCATTTGCGCTTGCATAGTCCTGTGTGATGGCGGCAATGCCCATGAACCACTCATGCGCGACCGTACCCGTAGGATTGACGCCATATTTCATGGCGAGATGCACATTTGAGGTTCCCGTGAACTTTCCCTTCCAACCCCTGCCATTTGTCTCCGCTTCCTCCTTTGCCTGCATAAGACCCTCGATGATCATCGCGTGCGTCTTGTAGTCACGTCTCCGTCTGCTCCCAAATTCGCTGAAAACACAGCCGCTCTCGAGAAGTCTTTCGCCTTTTTCCTTGGCTTGAGCGAGTTGTCCGTCGTGGTTCCAGTCACGATCGACAAACTTGAAGTAGGCTTCAGATGTAAGGGCGAGCAGCGGGATCTCGTAGAGGATGGTCTCCACCCACACTCCACTGACCGACAGGATAACGTCCCCAAGAGCATCAGGATCCTTGGAATCGCTCGTAATGGGTGTGAATGTGGCCTCGACCTGCGATGAGGGATGGAGACGAAGAGTCGATAGATAGTCGAGATAGGTCGGTGTGAGATATGGACAGGTCTTGCGTAGCCATTCAATCTCGGCCGCAGTGACTTGAATGTTCTCAAGCTTGTTGATCTGCGTCTCCAGCCACTCGAATGCTTCTCTTGTGAATCGCATGTGGGGCGTGCGATTGGTGAATTGGTAGCGAACGTGAGCGTCGGGGAAGTACTTGAGGACCGCGCATTGCATCGTCAGCTTGTAAAGATCCGTGTCGAGCAGCGAGAAGACGCCTTCGGGCGTATCGTTGGAGGCCATGTTGCGTAATGCTAATGTCAAGGACGATCAAGTTCAGAGATGAATGATCTTGATTAGTATTGGTTGTTGACCGTAACAAAGCATGAGCCGCTTGCCGTTTCTGAAACAGACCTTGGCTTTGATGCAAGCAAACGCTGGCAAACAAAAGATAGTTATGTAGAAGACGCGACTTTCCCTCACACTTCGTTCCGATGAGCTCCACTAGGCCAGTGGTCCCTCGACATGTTTCTGTTTCTGCTGCGTGCTGAAAGTGGGGCAGGCATCGGCTGCTCTACCGAACCCTGCATCACTTAGCCCCGAGCTTATCTACGATAGCATCATCGCAACGCGGACTCTCCCAAAAGGAAGGTCCGCTTGGGGAGCTCCAAAAATTGTTGAAATCTATATGCCTCTGAGTCCACCTCACACCTTCCGTTCGTTTCACTTCACTTCATTCTCAAGAAACGCCGCAGTCAGGGTCCAAGCTCAATTCTGCTCGGCAGCCTAGAATTAACCGGAGCCCTGACCGCGATTCACTCGAGTGCCTGACTACAAAAGCCATTGGACTCGAAAGCTACCTCATCCATCACACCAACCTACCGACAACCATCCACCACTCAACCACACATCATGCTCGCCTGGTATGGTTCTGTCCCTGAATGCCACGTGCTATCCACATCACTCTAACCAGCGGCGACGCGCAGGTACAAAGCCAGCCTGGCCTCGCGCCCTCTCCTGACGCAGTCCGTCACGACCGCCGTCCTCTTCGCGACCGGCGACACGCTCGCCCAGCAGGCCGTCGAGGGCAATGGCATCATGGGCCATGATCTGTCACGCACCGGTCGCATGGCCTTCTACGGTGGCTGCATCTTCGGCCCCGCTGCCACCATGTGGTTCAGAGTCCTCCAAAACCGCGTCGTGATCAAGAACTCTCCTCACCTCACCACGCTCGCCCGAGTCGCCGCCGACCAGTGCCTCTTCGCCACCGGCAATCTCTTCTTCTTCCTGTCGACCATGGCCGTCATGGAGGGCAAGAGTCCAAAGGACAAGCTCGCACAGACCTACACCATGGCTCTCAAGAAGAACTGGATGGTGTGGCCTGCTGTGCAGTTCGTCAACTTCACATTCGTGCCGCTGCACCACCGCGTGCTGGTCGTCAACGTGGTGTCCTTGGGTGAGTAGATCGTAGCCGAGCTTGAGCTTGTCGCAGTGGCTAACAATCGTAGGCTGGAACTGCTACCTCAGCTTCCTCAACTCCCAGCCAGGCGGTGCGCATGTCGCCAACCCCGAGCTACCTCCGGATGTTTGAGCTTCTCGACGTGCTCTCACTTCGCGCCTTCATTGCGCGTCACCTCACGTACGAATTCACAACACCAATTGCAGCTGAAGAGCAGGCAAGTTTAGGTGGGCAACCCGTGTACATTTTCCTGTTTCTTTAGCGGGTGGGCAGGCCAGCTCGGAAAGCAAGGCATGGCATGGACACGGCGTTTGCATCACAACACCTACGAAGGTGCATCACATAGCATTAGGCCCATCGTTTGCACGTCAGACTGGGCAACCAGCGGGAGATATTGCAGAGAATGCCAATGCAACTCAGAAATGAGAAGTTCGAAATCCATTGTACAGTTTCCAAGGTTAAGTTCGGAGCATGTCGAGTTTCGTTCCATGGAGCACTCGTGCTGGAGCTTGTCTAATCTCAAGCCATGAGATGGATCCTCTTGGATGATGGTTGACTCCTGAACCCAGAGATCCACCGTATGCTTCTACTTTCATGCTGTCTTATAAAGCAGACTTTTCTCAAGTCTCGAGCTCTCGGCAGTTCGATGTTCACAAGGTCTGCAAAGACGGAGCTCGTCGAATATTTGGAGATGCTCGGTACATCGCACGGCCGAAAGCGGCATCATATCACGGCATGCGCAGCGTTCAAGATGATACTGCGCTCTCCTTCGCCTTTGCTTTTTCCTCTTCTTCAACCGTCCGTGTGCGCAATTGCAGGGCATGAATCCCGCCTTCAGCAGCCATCTCATCCTTGAGAAGTGTATACACCATGCGGTGGCGGGCCGGCTGCATCTTCGACTTGAAGGCGTCGGAAGCAATGTTAACTCTTTTGTTTGTTTTCATTTAGTAAGGGTGGCTTTGAAGAAATGGATACGATGATAAGTGGCCCCTACCTGAAATGCGTTTCTTGTGAAGTGCTGCCTTTCATGGCCTTGTGATGTGCATGCTTATGCGAGTCATTAAAGACTTCGAGAGATGTTGGCGCAAGCGCTTCGGTGATCTATTGAAGCAATCAGCTTTCTACTCGTTGAGACATCGCTCTCAGGGACAAATCGGGTGGAAATTATTCCATGGCGAACGTGTATGTAAGATTTACCTTTTGCCTCAGCGCGTCTTCCATCGGAGTCTGCGAGGCCATGCTGGAATATCGCTTTCGCAGCGCTGTTCGCGCGACTCGATGAAACATTCGCGAACGGAATCAGATATTTGATGATCGGATGGTTCTTGGAACCGCGTTGGTTTGATGTCGTGGTGTGGAGTTGCGAGTCGTTCACCTCACCTCCGTATCGGGAAGATTTGCCGACGCTAGTAATTCTCGCTATACCTTCCTAGTTTGCTCTATATTCTTCCCATGCTCTATCTCTTCTCTAGTATGTGGTACTGAGGGCGAGAGAATCTGTCGTTTGAAGATCAAATTTGAAGGAGTTATGGTCTGCAGCATTGCGAGGAAGGCCTCTTCGACCCAAGTCTGCAACAGCCTGGCAATCTTGCCCACTACACAGCAAGGCTCACGAGACAACTATTGAGACTTGTCGTCAAAGGAAGTAGTGCAAGTCGAGAGCGAAGAGAAGAGAGTAGGGAATGGGTAGATTGGAGCGGGGAGGAGATCATCTGGGTGGGTCAGAAAGGGCCATGGAAGAGTCAAGTTTTATGCTTGAAGTGTAGGATAAATGTTAGATGGGGAGCAAGCATACTGTCGCATATAGCGAGCTGCACGACCGAGACAGTCAGTCCGACAGCGAACGTGGCGGAAGCAATCCGACCAACATCTAGTCAACGAGGCGTAGGCAAATCTTAATACTCATCGGTATATATCTATACGTAGCACAGCATCATTGTCACATCCTTCTGCCGACTAGTTGACCACGCTCATCTATGCTTGGGAATCGTTTCCCCCAGCGTATCAATGTCATCTGCTAGTAGTCTGGAAACAGAATTTTGTTCCATCGTTATAACATAACCACCAACATCCTCATGGCATATGACATGTTGTGCTTGTTGAAGACATAGTTGCTCGCGACGGAAGGGCAGGTGATTTCCTCCAACCTCTCAAGGACAAACGGTAGTGAATACCACAATCGTTAATTTGATCCATAGCAGGCATATATCTTCACCGCGGATAAAGTCGCCGTCGTTCATTCCTGGCCGACGATGTGCCAGTGGCAGAAGAAGTCTGTGGCAGTGGCTCTGATGCCGTCCCAGTCGACAGACCATAAATATCTGTTGCATGCTGTGACTGCGGAATAGACGCCATCTGACAGGATTCAGTCTTCCTGTCTATGAAATGAGTGATTCGGAGCGGGGTATCGATTGTGAGCCGCAGTGTGGGCTGAACAGGATGATCAGAGCTGCCGATATGAGGGTTCCTCATCGAAATGGAACACCCTCGGTCTTTTGCATATCAGCTTAAGCCCTCGCCCTCTGCAGGGTCGACGACGTTGTGGCTACTAAACCCCTCGCTAACACCAGCGTGGCCCGTCAATTGATGGAGGGCGCTGTTGAGGGTGCTGCTTCTGTTGATAGTTTCTCATATCGTTAGCTAGGAGAATGACCTTTCTCCTTACTAGCGCACGGGACTTTCATTTGGCGAGATCCCTGTAGTCCTCATCCTCAGGACCCATTCCCTTTTCAATCCCATGGGCAGCACACAGGTCCAGATTTGCTTGAGGAACTCGGACCTTGGCAAGCTCATCGCTCCGGGTCAGAAACTGCATAGCTAAGCCAGCCTCGGAATGCCAGGCCAAATGACAGTGAAATGTCCATGCGCCAGGATTGTCGGCAACTATGCGAATCAACATCCAACCAAAGGCCTCTACAGTGGCTGTGTCACGTCGCAGCGGGTTCGTCAGGTCGAGTTGATCGTAGAGAGGCGCTAGATTTTCCCTGTTGATACCACCGGAAACAGATGTGAGTGGCGGGTATCCATGACCTTGAGCGAGTACAAAGTACTTGTATCCATGCAAATGCATGGGGTGAGAGCCGTCGTCGAAGTTCGACACGAGGATATCGATGGTTTGAATACCAGTAGTTTGAATGACGAGCTCACGAGAGATGTCGTACGCCTGATCGTTCACAAATGCTTGGGAAGATGTCGTGTCCGGGCGAAAAGTCATGTTAAGAGTCGCCAACCCATCAATCGCTCGGTGCAAGCTAGGAGAGTTCACTTCTGGTCGGAAAGTACTTGTGTTGAACTTTCCGCGACTCAATCTGTACTTCCCAATCTCGAAGTTCGAACGAAGGTAGAAAAATGCGTCTTCGCGGACGGGAGCAGCAACCACATCGAGCGGAATCAGCTCGGTGGTGTTCATGTCCTTACACTCTTGCAAAAGTGCGGTTTCCCAGTCTGTGGATGATGGGAGCTCGTTCGGGTCGTCAACGTATTGTACGATGGCCAAGGCATTCGCATCCAGATTTGCAGGTACTTCGGCGAAACAGGTTGTAATCATCCGGGCTAGCATCCAGAACGACTCAGAGGTGGCAGAATTGGTGTTCACGACAACACTGTACCGCTGCGCCGGATTGATGTTCACTCGGTGATAGGTCGATGGCTCGACGTCCGTGCCATCGACCTCTGTCACTGCCAATTCATGCTCGTTGATCTGCACCTGAAACTCTGCCAATGCGCCTACGTTAATGAAACGCAACCTGTGACTTTCATTTCGCTCAAGCGTCAGGCGAGGAGTGCCCACGTTTGTAGTGCTGTTGTCGCACTTTCTGCCAGGAAAAGATTCGCAGTCCCGGATCGAACGCCCGTTAATCAGCCCACCAACTGGAACTGGCTCGGCGTTCTCCTCGTCTGGCTTGAGGTACTGCCAAAGTAGCGCTGACGAGAGGTCGTGGTAGTGGTCGGCTAGCAATATGACCCTGTCGGTCTTATACGGTATACGCTGCTTCTCCTTCTCATCGCGGCCATGTATAATCAGCGGTCCATGGAGACCGTCCGACGATTGTACTCCTTGGTGAGAATGCCAGAAGTAGCTTCCACTTTGCTTGACAGTGAATTGGTAGGTGAAATTGTGGCCAGGTGCGATCGGACAAGTGGTGGTACCAACTGCACCGTCCATGAACGAACTTCCGTTTTGATAGATTCCATGCCAATGAAACGAGGTTGCGTTCGTTGCCTCGTTATGTACGTTGACAACTATGGTATCACCCTCATTGACTTCGATCAGCGGGCCAGGAAACTGCGAGTTGACCAATATCATCGGCCGATAGACTCCATCTGGGTTGTGCTCATGGTCTCTGACAGTCCAGCTATATTCTCTACGCTGCGCAGGCGCGTGGAAGTCCCAATTCGGATCCAGTGTATAGTCCGGGGTTGATATTCCTGAAGGTGCTTGGGCCAGAGATTGGGTGTCGCCTTTGCTTAGATTCAAGCTGGCAATGGTGCCGAGAGCAAGCAAGATAATTATGGCCATGGAGATAAAGAACCATAGACGGGGGATGCAGAAACCAGACCTGAGCTCAATTTGCTCCTTCTGGTCCAGTTTCTGGTGTTTCTCATTCTCGGACAATTCTTCCACATCGGAGCCCCTCCAGTCCATCAGCAGGCTCTGTATCTGTTCTGTCTCGTTGCCTGAGGAGCGCGACGAGTCCCTTTCACGCTGTGACAATCTCATTGTCGCAAACATTCCCTCTTCAGCCATCTTGCTGTGTTCGGATCGTATTCCTCAGCCGGACGTCGTAACCATCAATGACCAGATTCGTGAGACATCACAAAGAGGAAGGATGTGAAGTGGCCTCTCACGACACGAAAGCCTTTCCCAACACGACGCTACACACTGCTCAGAGGATCTTCGCAGATCGCGGCTCAAACATGTACAGAAACAGACGTGGTCTCGGACTTTTGACCGTCTCTAGGATCAAGGCGACTGTCATCGGTGTCGATCAGGGTTCCATGCCGTGGGGTGGAATCTGCCCTGAGTTCAGAGGCTACCTAAGGTAGGTATGCAAGGAACCTGGAAATGAACAGCATCCTGCCCACGCACCGCCCGGGCGCTGAAGGGATTCTCCCTCCAATTCTGATTGGGAAGGACCTCCCGCAAGCGCTATTGGTCGAGGCTGGAGATGGAGTCCTTGCCCAATCACAATTCGATGCCAGGCGGAGAGTCGACCCGAATCAAATTCGCAGAGAGTTCTTCTGGTGTGGTCTGGTCTCCAGGTGCTGCAAGTCCAGGAAGGAACGTTTCACGCGGAAAAAGCCACGTGCCAAGGCCGACACAAATCGTCCAATCATCTCGCTCTGTGTCTGCACGCCGACACTACCTACACTTTGCATTCTGCAGCCTTACTGTACAGCATGGCATCAGTGAATCACAGCCGAATGCCCTCCATTTCGCGGTGTCTCGTGTGCATCCTCCGCTCAACGCTGATGTGTGATTGGCACAAATGACCTCTTCGACCAACGACAGATGAAGACGGTTCGGAGACGTCTTTGCGAGACAGAGCAGCGGAGAGCGCAAAGGCATTCCGGCGTGGTGGGATGCTGTCCATCGGTGGCAAGACCTGTCCAGTGTCCACGCACTTCAGTGGAGCTTAAGTCTGCGTCAACATACTGCAAGCTTTTTTCTAGAAGCTTAGCGACGGACTACGTCCCTAGATAGAATTGGTGTCGCGCAATCGGCACGGAAAATCCACGAGGGACCCCAGCGGCCTTCCTCTCTCGTCGTAGAACGTGCCCACGAGGGAGGGATCATCCCCCATGCGACGTGTTCTGGAATGGGGTGAGCCCGACTCGAGGAAGACTGTCAATCTCCTGTAGTCGTCTGCTATTTGTAGGTCCAGGGAATCCCGGTACATCCGAATCGATCTTTTCCCCAAGTATCAATCACCACAGAACGCCCTTTCCAAGCCATTGCACTCCATCATGGCTGCAACTTTGGCACTCATATCTTTTGCCATCTTTGGCGCCGTGTCAGCTGGCGATACGAACCAACCGAACGTAAACACTGCTACAGGYACATCTGCTGTCTACAAAGCTCAGGCAACCGCGGTAACATATGAGGGCCGTACCGATCCCTACAAGACGGGAAAGGTGTTTGACAGATTCGTCGAGATCTGGCTCGAGAACACGGACTATGACAAGGCTGCTGGTGATCCAAACCTCGCATATCTGGCTTCAAAGGGCATCGCGCTGTCCAACTACTTTGGAGTTACCCATCCGTGAGTACACCCAGAGGGACCAAGTCGTAACAGACATGCTGATGCTATGTAACCAAGGTCCGAACCAAACTACATTGCCGCAATAGGAGGCGATCACTTCGGCCTCAACGGAGACCCATTCTCTCAAATCAGTGAAAATGCATCCTCTGTGATTGATCTTCTTGAAGATAAACAAATTTCTTGGGGGACCTATCAAGAGGACATGCCATACACCGGATTCGAAGGAGTGGCGTGGGTCAACCAAAAGACCAAGGCCAATGACTACGTTCGCAAGCACAATCCAGCAGTCATTTTCAACAACAACACGAGWCCACGCCGTCTTTCATATCAGAAGAATCTCACCCAGTTCTACGACGACTTGGACAACAAGCGCCTACCTCAATGGTTGTTCATCACGCCCAACATGACATCCGATGGACACGACACCTCCGTCACCACCGCTGGCACATGGTCTCGCAACTTTCTTGAGCCATTACTCTCCAACGACTACTTCATGGCAAACACGCTCATCCTTCTCACGTTCGACGAGAACCACACTTACACAAGCGTCAACCGTGTATTCAGTATCCTGCTGGGCGGAGCTGTTCCCTCCAGCCTGCAGGGCACAACCGATGATCGGTACTACAACCACTACTCTGACATCTCCACAGTCGAGGCGAACTGGGACCTACATACCTTGGGACGCTGGGATGTCGGCGCCAACGTCTTCAACTTCGTTGCGCAGCAGACAGGAGACGGCTGCAGACCTGACAATGCGGTCACAGGCAGCTCTCCAAGCAAGTTCTTGAACGCCAGTTATGGTAAGATACAGAAGCATAGATTTGCGTCGAGATCTATCCATGACATCGCTAACTTTTCCACTTCTCACTTTCAGCTGGCCCGCTCTCGAGTAACAACCAGGCTCCTTACCCAATTCCAAACATCAACGCAACCTCGCCGAACACGTTCCGAACTGTTCTCCCTATTATTGCAAAGCTATATGCAGACCAACAGTCGTCCGTGAATGCATACTACAACAACGGTGTGGAAATTCCCGACGCACAGCACCCGCCCAAGGGCTATTGATTTACGATACGATGAAGCGTGCATTTGATACATAAAAGCTAGATTTTGCAGCATAGATCTCCCACAAGGTCGACATTCTGTTCCTCAGTAGGCTACTGTAGATAGAAGATTCAAACAGCGTCAGTGTAGTATGTTAGATTCGATGTTACCTTACATTGAAGCACATGCGATTATCCATACTCCGCGGTTCTCAATCCTTCCAGGTTCRCTTCGCCTGTACGATGATCTTTGTGTACATCGTCTTGCAACTTCCGCAGCTCGTCTAGAGCATAATCGCCATTACTCTACCATTGGCTGCTTCGCACACACGTGGACGTGGGCGTGAACGGAGATCAACTCGTTTCGGGTGCGTGTAGTAGCGCTAAATATGTTCACGCATGCAGGGATCAAAWCGCGGGTGGCCAATGAGAAGACTTGTATATGGTTGCTCGGCTCGAGTAAGCACATCGTCTCTACTCTACTCCAGAGCCGTCCTACTTGTCGCACACCAACAACACACTTTGCAAAGATGGCCTTACTATTTGTTCGTTCCCTCCTATCGCCTGAGAGGCGTCGTCCTGAAAGCTCGCGACTGCTGGGTAATGAGCGAGGAGACTCGATCGATTCGGGGATCACTAATGCGTTCAACGACAAGCTTGATGAAAATGAGTATGGACTTCTTCGCTGCAGGATTAATCCTCGCATCATTTCAGACGCGACCATTGGACTCTCTGATGGCTTGACTGTACCGTTCGCCTTGACTGCCGGTCTTTCTGCCTTGGGCACGACTGATCTCGTTGTATGTTCCTCGGGGCTTCCCTTTCACAAACACCGGTTAATGTTCAAGTAGATCTATGCGGGCTTCGCTGAACTCGTGGCTGGCGCAATATCGATGGGCCTTGGAGGATTCCTCGGCGCGAAGGGAGAGGCAGACGCGTATATTGCAGCTCTGATGGAGACCAAGGACTGCGTTACCAACGACAAACCGAAAGCATGTCGAATGGCACGCAAAGCTTTCAAGGACTATGATCTTCCATCCAGCACTCTAGATTCCATGGCCGACAACCTCGCATCACACCCGGACCAGCTGGTAGACTTCCTCATGCGCTTCCACCACCAGCTTGCAGAGGCCGACTTCACCAAATCTAGAGCAGTTGCATGCGGCTTGACCATTGCCTTTWCATACTTCATTGGCGGTTTGGTGCCGCTAATGCCATACTTGTTCTTCGAGCACGTCCGTGATGCCCTGTGGTGTAGCGTTTTCACCATGGCACTCGCTTTGTTTTCCTTCGGCTGGGCAAAGACTGCTTTGGTTGGCGAATGCAGCCGGATGGTGTGCTTCCGCAATGCGGTGGAGATGCTAGTCCTCGGCGGCGTTGCGGCCGGTGCAGCCATGGGATGCGTGAAAGCTATCGGGGGCTGAGACCGAAGAATGGACCCTCATCGAATCTTCAGCAATTTCGATGTCCGAGAATTGCCAGCATCATGTACGATGATACCAAGGATCCAACAATTGATCAGGAAGAATGCCACCCCGGCAAGCCACAGGCCAGGAAAGAAGGTGGACTTCCCCAGGAACTCGAGCTCGTACCCTTGCTCTAGCCAGGCCGCCTGAGCGAGAATCCAAAGGGCGAGTGCGGTGATACCGAGTGTCGGTTTCTTCAGCAGTGACGAGTTGGGAAGGTAGAATGGGAGGAAGACCATGTACCAGAGGAAGTACTTGATAAAGGGTTAGCTCAAAGCGCTCTAAAAAAGGCAGAGTAGGGAAAGGGTCGTACCTGGCTAGTGCAGACCTTGTTGAATGTCACAAAAGCATAAGTTTGCGCCAACATTGTGGTTGCCAAACCTTGCTGTGCAAGACACATCGGTATAACTACAAGCGAGAGGAAGAGCTGGGGTGCGAATGCAAGAGATTCGGCACGGAAGCTGGCTTGATCTTGATGCATTGAGGACAGGTGTAGCAACGTGTTGTAGACTGAGAAGTTATGTCTATGATCACTGCGGGTGAGGTGGTAGGTGTAGCTGTGTTCAATGAATGGCATGCCATATCTAGATCGTCAGCATCGAACCGCTTGCACACTCTAAACAACTCACAAGTAAAACATGGCTATATTACAGACCATGAAAGCCACGAAGCTTGAGATGACCAGCTTGATTCGATCCCGGTTGATCAATGCCAATACACGCCTGGTCAACGAAGCTTCATGCAATGTTGTTGGGCTTTCCAGCCACGTAAACATGCTTGCTGCATAAAAGAATGGGTAGATCTTCAAGTGCACGCCAAAGCCGAGGAGACTTCCTGCAAGAATTATCCTCTTGCTCAGCGTTGCCCAAAGCATTGCCACGACCAGTACTGCCAGCAGACCTTCAGAGCTGCCACGCGTACTGATATTGGCCACCATCGGGTTCAGCAGCCAGATACTTGCAAATTTCAATGCTTGCTCAGTTTGCAAGCCGCGAGCTCGAAGAATAAGCAGAATCAGCCATCCCGTTGCCACATCGCCGGCCGCGAATAGGGCTTTTCCAAATTCAAACCAGAGACCTCCCCATGTTGTGGGGAGCAGGATCCAGGCGACCAAAGGTGTGTAGCGATAGGTGGCGCGATCATAGGGTGAGTGACCGTGGGCAACGTAGCGCGCTGCATCCGTGAAAACCAGGTAGTCGATGTCTGTGTATTTCACGGGACTATGCGCGTCTTGCCAGCGGCCGTACACCAGGAGAATGATTCGTAGTAGAATGGCCGCAGGGAAGATCACATGAGGTCGCCACAGAGGCGACGGCGTTGACATTACGTCCTGGAGACAACCTGGGTTCAATTCGAAATCCAAGGTTAACACATGGTGTTATCGACAATGTCGACGTTGTAACCTGAGGTCGAATCGAATGCGAATGAAAGGGGAATGTCCCCGATCCCCACTTTTTCTTGGCATTGAACAGCAACACATGCAGGTGGCAACACAGCACTGGAGACACTGAAGATCAATACATGTAGCAGCTTGGAGGCAAGAATTTGTCAATCGTGWCTTCACACGTTCACGGTCTTCGATTGTCATCATCACTGCTGTCCTCTATGTGAGCCCGGTGTTAGTCTCCTCGACTCGATAGAGGTGAAAGCGTCGCAGCGACGTCGCGACAGTATCTAAAGTCTACGAGCTGAGGTCCTTCCAGGCGATGTGCACACAACATAGAGAGGCTGATAGCAATGGCCATTGGTGAGGGTATCGATGAACTTTCTGATTTATACTCTATAGAATCCACATCGCAAATGTCCCACGTATGCACCGACGTGCTGGACTTGGCCACCTCTTTCCAGCAATTATAGAATAGACATCCTCGACCTACCTGCGGCAACTGCGCATGCCAGGCGTGCACCGTTCGTTACGCAACGTGGGGAGCGGCGGGAGAACTGTTGGTGGCTAACGTCAGCGAATGCGTTTGTCAAAGATCATGGCAGTGATATGAAGTTGAAGGGTAGCTGGAGGGGTCAGACATCCAAGGAAGATTGCGCCTTCATCGTCCGTCTAATTAGGTTCGTAGCGACGGCTTAGGTGGAAACTGCGAATAGTGGAACGTTTTTCATCATCCCAGCGAGTGCACATGGCGGGGTGGTGTGGAAGCGGAGCACGTGTGAACTGACCATCTATGACCTGACCTCCCGCTGCGCGTGTGGCATGCAGGAGGCAGACTCGTCCGTCAGCGGCGGTGTGCTGAAGACGGACGACTTTGTGATGGCACATGACTGTCATCTTGCTCAAGGTAGCTCGAGTGACATGCCTGGCGAGGCTAATCGCGGACCGAGAGAAATCTGACTTTTTCGTGTTAGCTTTGCTCAACGCGAAGAAGTGTTTTGGTGAATGTGTGTTGAGGGCAGAAGGTCAGGCTAAGGTACTGGCTAGTATACATCCACCCTGCGACAGGCGGACGAAAACTATTTCCTCATGGGCGAATTGGTAGGGAAATGAAGACATTAAAGTGATTATCATCACAAAGTTTGGGGGCGGCGAGGAGAGAGTGTGCATACATACCAGATGCAGTGATTAGTTGCGCAAGGTCGGCGGGCGACGGAGGCGCTGGTGGTGATGGAGAGGTGTCGATGTTGTGTGAAGATGAAGATGCGTTGTGAGGAAGGAAAATTATTGAAGTAGGAGCTCTCCACCTTTAGCGCCGGGAGTTTCCGTCGGCGAGACAGACTGGACAGCGACCCAAGCACCCAGACGACGATGGAGGTGTTTCCCACGATCTCAGCGCGAGCACTACGAAGGATTCAAGAGTCGGCATATTCTTGGCCATGCACTTCTTTACTTACATCTAGCAGCCGTCTAGCAGCACCAGCAGCAGCAAGCAGCAGCAGCAGTGCGTCTCGCCGCGCTTGGACTTCGCTCTCGCGACYCTCCGCCGCGACGTCGGATCAACGCCCACCCTCCTGGTCCTTCAGATCGGTCCCTTTGGCTTCGAATCCGCCCGCAAGTCGCGTTCGCGCAAGACTCCACTGCGCCAACAGCGACGCTCGCGACAAATTGACGCCCGCGACGCCACACCTCACCGCGCCTGGATCGCCGTCGGACTCAGCGCTCGCCGGGTCGGACGAAGAGCACGTGTCGGGCTCGCTGATGCCGACACTGGCATAGTGCATCGCCATATGCATTGCTTGCCCACTTTGGAGACGAGATTGCTGTGCATTTACTCCCCGGCCGGCGGCGTGCCCGCATTTCATCGAGACCGCGACCGCGAAGCAGACCGCCAACACCGTCCGCGGTCCACGCAGTCGTGCCAGCAAGATGATGGCCGCTTACCAACCTGCGCCTAGTGGCCACCCTGGTCTTCCACACGGGCACCCAGGCATGGCTCAGAATCCAGGACAGCACATGGGACAAGCGATGATGCACCCAGGTGTCTCGGGAGCACCACATGTGTCCCAGCCGGGCGCCATGATGGGCATGCAGCCTGGCGCAGGTATGGGACCTGGAGGCATGGCAGGACAGCATCCAGGCTCCGGTATGGGTATGCAAGGACAGATGGGAGGGCAGACTATGGCTGGTGGAATGCCGAATGCACAGGCTATGAGACACAACATGACACCGCAGCAGATGCACCAGCAGCAGCAGCAGCAACAGCAACAGCAGGCCCACCTCGCACAAAGTAAGCAGACTTGGAGTTCGGAGAGACAGGACGTTGCTGACAGCTCTCCAAGTGCAACAAAACCCTGCGCTAGCAATGCAGCACCAGCAGATGCGTCTGCGCCATCAGATGATGGCGCAGCAGCAGCAGCAGGCGTCGATGCAGGGCATGCCTCAAGGCGTGCAACTGACACAGGCACAAATGCAACACTTGCAGCAACAACAACAACAAAACCAAATGCAGGGCGGCGGACAGGTCCAGTTGCCGGCACATTTGGTGCAGCAGCAGATGCAGCTGCAACGGCAGCAGCAGATGGCGCAACAACAGCACGCGCAACAACAGCAACAGCAGCAAAACCATATGGCACAACAGCTTGCTATGCAGCATGCCAGCTCCCAGCAAAGTAACCAGGGTCAATCCGGACCGCAGAATCCTCAAAATGCTCAAGGACAGCCAGCTAATCCACAACAAATTCGGCCACCGTCGCGGATAGCAAACCCCAACGAACACAACCAGCAGTCTAACCAACCTCAGCCTCATCCGCAGCAGGGCCAAGGTCAAGGCCAACCTGGCCAACCTCAACCGCAACAGACGCCTCAGCAAGCGCAGCAGCCGAATCAGCAGCAGCAGCAGCAACAACAGCAGCAGCAGCAGCAACAACAGCAGCAGCAACAGCAACAGGCATTGGCTATGCAACAACAACAACAACAACACCAACGCTTCGCCATGATACAACGTCAACAACAATTGAACGCCCAGAATCAAATGCGCCAGATGCRAGCCCATGGACAAACACAGCAAGCACAGACCGGACATGGCGGCATGTGGATCTTGAGGCTGATGAGTTTTGGTGATCATTTGAGCAACTTCAACGCTAGCAATGGCAAAGACATGTCTGGATGGCAGAATTTTGTCGAGCGCCACTTTGCAGCCGAGGGTCGGCTTGTTCACAGCTTCGACGATAACATCAACCCGAACGGCAGCGGCAGAGGCAAGCTTTTCGAGGTTCTACGGCCCACTCTGCCCCGATACTTTTGGACGTACTTCGATTCAGGAGCGACGTCACTTCGATTACATACCGAGAATGCGCGAGAGGCCCTACAGGGCAACGGTATGCATCTCGTGACGTGCCAGAGTGCCATTTTCTCGGTATCCTATCCCAACGGTGCACGTCTGGAGATGCTGGGCTCCTTGCATGTGCTCTTCTCGGCTGACAATGACACCATTGAATGCTTCCGATTTCAAACTTCCGGCACTGAGGAAATACTCTCACGGGTCCAGATTGAAAAGGTCTTGACCGAGTTTTCGCCCACAATGCCCAACAAGATGTCGCCCAAGATGACGAAGAAGGCTCTACCAAAGGCTCAGCAGAAGATGCAGGACCAGCAAGACCGCTTGACAATCGATCACTTCCCGAAAACGCCCAAAGGCAACCTTGGAATCACAGGAAAAGTGCAGCAATTTCTAGAGGTGAGCTCGAGATCCATGCTTATTTGCCGTTCAGATCTTCTAACGTTTTACAGATTGGTGAGACTATGAATGTCATGTCAGACCTCATGCAGTTCGCGCAAGAGAAGAAGATGGGACCCGAACAAGCGCTGGAAGCTCTCGTAGCGCAGTATGAGTCTCAGCCGAACGGCGGGAACCCGCAGATAAATTATCCACAGGCCGGCTCGGCCCCTGATTCCCGAACACCAAGCATGCAAGGCATGCAGATGACCCAGAACGGCCAGGCCTTTTCTTCGCCATCAGTCGCCAACCTCAATCTCCCCATGCAGAACGGCATGAACGGATCACCACATCTTGGTAACAATCCCGGCAATCTGGCGCCGAATATGAGCATGGCCAACTCTCACACACCATCACCACATCAGTCCAACATGGCCGCGCCAGGTATGATGCCCCAGCACAGCCAACAGGGGACCAATAGCAGCGTTGCGAGCGCCAATACAAGTCCCAATGTCAATAACAACAACAACAAACGCCGCCGGAGTACGGTCAAGCTCGAGGGTGACGATGGCGGCGGCGCAGACGGTCAATCCAATGCCAACCGTGTCCGTCCCAGTCCGCGAATGTCTAAAAAGGTGAAGCCTCAGGGTTGATTTCAAAAGTGGCCTCTGTGGCATCTGCATTTGGCATCTCGGCGTCTCCGGTGGAGGTGGATTTTGTGGATTCTCGCTCGATAACCCTATTTGTCCCACTGTTTGGTTTCAAGCGCGGCGTTTGTTTTGGGGTTGCGACCCGCTCGTGGTGATGGGGAGCAGGCTACTCGGGGCGCGAGGCTGGGTCTTTGGGAGGTCTTGTCACAAATGTTCATTTTAGTAATCGCATGATGCACTGCATACGTGCTTGTACAGCGTCTCGTCGCATCGGAGCAAAGTGCGAGGTCCGGGGGGTATCAGCGCAATGAGGAAGGCCAGCGTGTCCAGTCAAGCGAGACGAAAGAAGGCTTCCACGACCCTCCGCTCTGGTCGCTTTGCTCCCCAGGTGTGGGCACTGGCTACAATTTGTCCGTGATGTAGGGAATGGATAGGATCTAAGCACACGATATATTACGAGGCACCCACTGTAAGATATTTGATTTTGATCAAGAATCTCAATGGAATTCCAAACACGTCGCTCAACTCCTCTTTGTTATGAAGGATGGGGAAGTTGATGCTTGCCGCCTCTCCTGGCAATGACACGACGACTGCGCTCGCGAACGGACAGTGACGCTTACAAGAGTAAGGAGGTTCGCGGAGAGTCAAGTCTTCCGCCGAATGATGTCTTCCTGGTCGTGCTGTCGTTGTCGTCGAAAGAAAGACGTCTTCAATCGCAGGAGGTAAGGCGGCAACCGTCAGTTCCATCGCTCCTTGATTCAATTGTCTTCATCGCGTACATCATAACGACAGCGCGAAGAAGGAAGTTGGCGTGCGCGTGGCTCTTAGCAATCTCTCAGCAACAAGAATCACGCGGAGACGGAGAAGTGGGCTACTCTACGCGACACGCGTAATGTTGTGAATGTACCGAAATCGACACGGTCGGGCCGACAAGCACTACCAAGCCAGGTATAGTGTATTGAATACAAAGGAGGGTGGAAGGGTGGAAGGGTGACCGTGAGGTAAGTGATAGTTCTCTTGGCATAGTTCTGTGGTGGCCTGCTTGACAGCTTGCGCGCTTCCGTCCTTTCATGTGGACATCATTCGCAGGTATTTCTTGCCCGTGCTCTTCGACAGCCGGCTTTGGCATTTTCATTGTCACATGCATGCAACTTGGTCCAAATCACGAGCAAAGGCTGTCAGATCTCCTGTAGTTCCAGCCTTTGGAGCAATGCGAAAGGCTCCGCGGCCATGTGAGCACCATCTTGGTTGGGGAAGATGTGGTAGGTTGTGTTTGACGAGAGCTCTCACGCTAGGGATTTTGTCTAGCGTGGGATTGAAGTTTATCCGCATGGCGAAATCTAGATCGGCCTTCTTCTCACCCTCATGCAAGACCGAAGAGATAGGGATGCGGTGAGGTCAGGCAGCTGAGTGATAAATGCTACCGGAGTTCAGACATACTCGCTTCCATGCAAAGGCTCGGGATAACACCGCGTGGTTGGAAGCTGCCATGTCGCCAAGCTCCTAGTGGCGTACGCCTTGCTCACATTCCTTTGATGAGTCTTGGATCGGCTTATTCTTATTGAAGTAGTAGGGTCACACACGTTTATCTGCTGACTGACATTCTCATCTTTCCCATACACCATCAGCCCAGGTTCGATGGACCGCGTCCAAGCATAAGAGACTTGTTGATCGACCTGAACAGTTCTGGGTAGCTTCACTGCTGTCCGACAATGGCTGCAACCGTGACCGAGTTCGTTACCAACACGGTGACGAAGACTACAGCTTCGACTTCTGCGACTGCAACACTTCGAGCAACACCGCAGGGCGGTATTCTGGAAGGCCAGAATCCTACTCATTATGACACCAAAAGTCCCATCACCCTTTTCATCATCCAGGCCGGAATCATCATTATTTTCTGCCGCCTTCTCCACTGGCCGTTGTCGAAGATGAAACAGCCCCGAGTTATTGCTGAAGTCATAGGCGGAATCATGCTTGGACCTACCGTGATGGGCCGCATACCTGGATTCACCGCTGCTATATTTCCACCGGCCTCTATACCTAATCTCAATCTGATCGCAAACTTAGGACTCGTGTTGTTCCTCTTCTTGGTTGGATTAGAGGTCGATTTGCGAGTCTTCTTCGGCAACTGGAGAGTTGCGCTGAGTGTCGGTACCGCGGGTATGATCTTGCCATTCGGATTGGGATGTGCAATCGCCTGGGGATTGTACAACGAGTTCTCAGACGAGGAGGGAATGGTTCCTATCAAATTTCCAGTCTTCATGCTCTTTATTGGAATTGCGATGGCGATTACGGTATGTCGGTTCGTCCTGTTCACTGCGAGCCATACTAACACCAGCAGGCCTTCCCGGTGCTTTGTCGTATCTTGACTGAACTAAATCTCCTCAGTACTCCAGTAGGAATCATCACACTTTCGGCCGGCGTCAGTAACGATGTCGTCGGATGGATTCTTCTCGCTCTGTGCGTGGCACTGGTCAATGCTGGTAGTGGACTTACCGCGCTCTGGGTACTGTTGGTTTGCGTCGGGTACGCACTCTTTCTATTCTTCGCCGTACGACCAGCTTTCCTCTGGTACCTGCGGCGAAGTGGTGCTCTTCAGGACGGACCCTCTCAATCGGCCGTGGTTCTCACGCTCTTGATCGTCCTTGGATCTGCCTTTTTCACAAACGTAATTGGCGTGCATGCCATTTTCGGAGCTTTTATGGCGGGCCTGATCTGTCCTCACGAAGGCGGTTTCGCCATCAAGTTGACCGAGAAGATTGAAGATTTGGTCAGCGCTTTGCTGCTTCCGTTGTATTTTGCGCTTTCCGGCTTGTCCACCAACATTGGCCTTCTCGACGACGGCATCACATGGGCCTATGTTATTGGAGTCATCGCGGTCGCCTTCATTGCGAAATTCATTGGTGGTACCGCAGGTGCTAAGATCAACGGACTGGTGTGGCGAGAGTCTTTTACGATCGGTGCCCTGATGTCCTGTAAAGGTCTGGTTGAGATCATTGTGCTCAACATCGGGCTCCAGGCTCGCATTTTGAGCACAAGAACATTCACGTAAGCACATACGATCGCAAATGGTCATGAGTGAAGCACAAGCTAGTGCTTCAGGCCTCGACCATCGAATTTCTCTGTTCCCCTGGGGTTGGAACGGTCTTGCTAACTTTACGTTTCCAGGATATTCGTTGTCATGGCTCTCACCACCACATTCGCTACCACTCCGCTCGTTCGAGCACTCTACCCTCCATGGTATCAGCGTAAGCTCGAGGCCTGGAAGCGTGGCGAGATTGATTGGGACAGTGGTAATGCAATGGCTGAGACTGATAGCGTCGCACTCCAGAAGGAGGAATCTGCTAAGACCAGGAACCTCCTTTTATATGCACGACTGGACAGTATGCCAACACTCCTGGCGTTTGTCTCGATGTTGGGTCGAAAGCCGACAGAGATCACCGAAAATATCCATCCGTCTCGGAAAGGGGCCGACATTTCAGAACCAGGCCAAGGCTCGCAAAGCGCCAGATCTGTATCTGTCCACGCCGTACGCTTGGTGGAATTGACAGAACGTGGATCGGCGGTTATGAAGGTCTCAGAAGTCGACGAATATGCCACCTTTGATCCTGTCATCAATGCGTTCCGGATTCTGGGGCAATTGTTCGGCCTGGCGGTTTCTGGCGAAGTGAGTACTGATGGGCGTGCTCCAGTTTCTACCGCTAATGATGCACCAAACAGGTCACTGTTGTACCACAAGACAGCTTCGCGGACACTCTCGTCAACAAGGCCAATGAAGAGGCATCGGACCTCCTCCTCCTGCCATGGAGCGAGACTGGAAACTTGAGCGAAAAGCCAACTGTATCTACCGACAACGTCAAAAACAAGCTGTCGAGTGATACGTACACTGCATTTGTGCGGAGCACCCTCGACTCCACGCAGTGTGACACGGCAGTGTTTATCAATCAGGGCTTTTCAGGGACCTTGAAGCAACGGCCCGCAACTCTCCACCGGGCGCTGAGCGTACACAGTATACGTAGCCAGCGTGAACACATCACCACGTCACTGAATGCTGACCAAAGTCACCACATATTCATGCCATTTTTTGGCCTGGGAGCAGATGACCGGGTTGCACTCCGCCTTGTCGTTCAGCTTGCGGAGAACCCTGGGGTAACAGCCACAGTTGTACACTTCGACTCGCCTGACGCCATCGAATCGGTGAAGCCGACCAACAACGCCCCTCAGTTGGAGGAGAAGCGACCAGAGCTTGTTTCTGCAACGTCCACGACCTCTCGCTCGACACAAAACGGGATTGCGGTGTTTTTCGCCGCCATGCAGCGATCGATACCTGCGGACATGGTCGGCCGGGTGGTTTTCGAGACCATCAGCTCCACGACGCCGCTCCAGGATGCTCTTAGAAGAGCCCAGGCAGAGGTTTCTCAGAATCCACGAAACGGCGGTGATATCATTGTGGTTGGTCGACATGTCGGACAATTTCAGCAGGGTGGTTCGTCTTCYGACTGTCTCGGAGCTGCCACGGACATGTTTGCWAGCAGTGGCATACGAGCCAGTCTACTTGTTGTGCAGGCTAAGGGTGCGGAGTAAAGGGTGGACTTGATTTTTGATTGCATTATAACGATACCCATGCCCTGACACGCCTTTGTAACTTTGCGGTTTGAAGTATTTCGAGCTGCAAGATGATGACGATAACAGCAACATGCAATATACATTTCTTCACACGTTGCAAAGGACATTGCAAGTCCGCATTAACGGATTGTGAGACCTAGTTCACTTACGCTGCAATCTTGCGGGGATTACGTTGGGTATGATGATTGCTTCTTCGCTGCCAACGCACGAGCGCTAGGATGCTCAAGAGGAATCTGTGGGTCTTAAAATCCTCCGACGCAAAGAGACGCTTGACTTGACTTGCGAGACGATACCTAGTCTCGTCTCGGCATACCCGGCAATGACACTGCCTGTCGACTACTGCACTCTAGCGAGCTGTGTGCAGCTGCGGCCGCGGCGGACGTGGGATGCATGATGCATCCTTGAGCGATGTCGAGCTGGCTGAGATGAACTTTCGCAGTAGCACTCCGGGGTATGATAGCCGTGGGATGAATATGTGTGTGTGTGCCAAGCTGGTGCCATGCGTACGTACATGTGYGGATACTATCATACTACTACCTTAGGTACTCATCCACAGATCCAGTGTCCAGTGTCCAGCTGACAAAGTGTCGCGGGGCAACCTAAAGTCACCGCGGTGTGATTGAACTTTGAAGGGCGTTGGAGGCTAGGTGGAGCCTGAGCCACAGACGAGATCGAAGATCATCCTGGCAGCCCAGTCCTGCAGCCTGCAACTGCAACTGCAACTGCAACTGCGGCCGGGTGACACTACATTCCGGGCGACCAATGAAAGAGTGTTCCTGACGGCCTTCAAACCTTCTTCGCCCCAAAAAAGCTTGCATGTGATAGTGGGCGCTGAGGTCAGAGGATGATTGCAGGTCATTGATTGCAGGATTGGATGGGATGGATGGATGGATGGATGTGGGTGGAAGGGAGGGAGGGTTGTGGTTGTSGCTGTGAGACGGTGAAACTTGTCCCTTCCATGAGATTTCCACGGGCAGGGCAAGCTATCTTCAGGTTCAATCATCATCACACATCATAATTTCCCCAGTCTTTTCTCTCCACGCCGTGCCGATTAGCGTACCAAGCTTTCGCAACGGGAATGATGTGGTCGTGTGTTGCTTTGGTCTGGTGCCAAAGCCTCGGCAGACGTCTTTACCTTTGAAAAGCAACGCTTGCCATTCTAACATTCCGTCACGAGGTGCAAAGACGGCGGCTCTAAAGTAGTCAAAAGATTAGCGCGATCCGGAGCAATAACAATCACCACTCGGGATACTACAACCCAGCCCGCTCGTGATCCGGTTTGACCGCTTCCCTATCCATTACTCCGCGGAACAGGCTGCGTTCCCTGCTTCGCCGCGGTCATCGTCGGGAAAGCCAGCATTATTGTGCTCGCTGTATACACATRGCCGATGAACGCGTTATTAGGCACTACGTACACCTGCGGCGGCCCCGTTGGGGGAAGGAAGAGGGGCGGAGGCAAGTCGGGATCCAAGTCAAAGCTGCGTGATGCGACCTCGCCGGCAAGTCCGCTCCAGTTTGCCCAGGACCTGAAGGACCTGGTTGCCAGCTATGGAGGGCGTGGAGATGCTGTGAAGAGGCGTATCGAACAAGAATTGCAGGAGCAGCGGCAGTGTATGAAAAATGCTGCGAGTGCAAAGGAATACCGGGAGGCCGCCGATCGTCTCGACATGCTGGAGGGAAACTACGCCTGGAAGTTCGAAGAGGATTCCGAGCACGCGGACATGGTCCTCATCAGAAGCCGTCTGGAAAGTCTCAAACGGGCAAACCATGCCGGAGACATGGAGGAAATGCYGTCGTTGATCCGGAACGACCTTAAGAGAGACCTCGGCGCCATGTGCAGCGTACAGCTATATTTACATTGCCACACCGGAACAAAACACCTGATCGACGAGTGGACAGACGTTGTCAAATACACCATCGAAAGACTCCTAGTTCACTGCGAGACTGCATCCGCCCCGGATGTTGATCGATATCTGCTTGCCCTGAAGGCTGCGAGAAAATCGTTTGGGAACAGTGCCCTGATGTTATCTGGTGGAGGCACTCTTGGGATGTGCCACATTGGCGTGGTCAAGTGTCTTGTACAAGAGGGACTTCTCCCACGAATCGTTTGCGGTTCTTCGGCTGGAAGCATCGTTGGGTCTGTGTTGGCAACTCAAAAGCCCGATATTGTTCTTGCGAAGCTGGACGAGCTTTGTCGTGGCGATGTCAATGTCTTCCAGGACCACACTGAAATTCAGGGCGTGATTGGAATGGGAATCAACATCCTCAAGGGCCAACCCGGGTTCGAGATCAAGAACCTCTGCCGTGTCATGCGATCACTGTTGGGCGACATTACCTTTAGAGAGGCATACAACCGTACAGGAATGGTTCTGAACATCCACGTGTCCAGCGGCGACAAGTTCAATCTGCCGCGATTACTGAACTACATTACTGCGCCCAACGTCCTGGTATGGTCTGCCGTGGCGTCATCTTGCTCCCTGCCCCTGGTATTCAAATCCAGTGGGTTGAAGGAGAAGAACCCCGATACAAAGGAAATCGATACCTGGGGGCATCCGGATCATCAGTGGATCGACGGGTCTATTGCTGGTGATCTTCCAGCCCGGATCCTGGAGAGGTTGTTCAATGTCAATCACTTCATTGCCTCGCAAGTCAATCCTCATGTTGCAACATTCCTTCCACAAGAAGGAGACTCCCCGACTTGGTGTCGCCGGGGCGCAAGCGCAGTCATGGATGGCGCCATCCACGGACTCAGTAACATGGCCGAGTACTTTGACGATTCCATCACCCTGAAAATGCTTCATTCCGTCTTCAGTCAAACCTACACCGGCGACATAACCATTCTGCCCGACACGGCGTGGACGCGATATGTTGAGATCCTTGCAAACCCTGACGAAAGATTCATGCGCAACGCCGTGCGATCTGGCGAAGAGGCAACTTGGCCGAAACTTGATCGGATTAAGAACACAGTGGCCGTCGAGCTAGCTCTGGATCGAGCGATCAAACACATCCACGGGATCAAGGTCGGCAACATGCGAACGGATAGTAACGGTGTTCACCGCGCCCCATCATCAACAAGGTCGGAACTTGGCTTGACGCGAAGAAGCAGCGCAAGAGGTGCCAGCCTCGCTCGCACCACTCGAGGCAGATCAAACAGTCATCGCTCGGTCAAATCCATGGTCGAGCCATCCAGAGCCAGCATTGTTGACCATTTGACGTCCTCATCAGACGAGACTCCGTCGGGATACTCATCCCCTGTCACATCTTACAACGATGAAGATTTCGACGACTTGGAAGACGACGACTCACCCGCAATGACAGTTGATGCAGCCGAGCGTGCAAGGCTTGGGTTTCTCTCACAGCCTGCTTCGCCCAGCTTAGCATACAAAGCCTTTCACTTTCCAGAGCCTTCAGCACCGCAGCTTCCGAGCTCTCCTGAGTTGAGACGTGTGTTCAACGACCTGCACATGTCTGCAATACACCTCCCAGAGCGAAAGTCGCGCCCTGAGGAGAGATGAAGCCATGACCTTCATGAATTTCTTTACACCTTTGGGATTAATGGCACTGTTTGGAATGAAAGGGGGACGGAGATAGTGAGATCAGAAGGCTCACTGCCACTTCGGGGATCTTGCATAGCACAGCTGTCTGTTCAGACTCTTTGACGTAGATCGACGTAGATCGATCTGGGAATTCCTAGAATATTAGATTCTCAATCCAAATTGTCGCCATCTTCACGTTGTTCAACTAGATCCCCAACCCCCAGGTAGATTTACAACCTCGGGGTTCCTCCCCGACCGCACAATTGACCATACCACATCTTCATCAGACTCATTCACCTCTTGATGCTCCGCAAAAGCCGGAATGAGTGCAAAATCTCCAGGGGCGAGATTCTGTCGTTTCCGGCCGCCTTCGCTGACTATAGTCCCATGTCCGGAGAAGGCGAAGACGACCGTATCTTGGTCGCCGTGGTGGTGGATKGCTGAGGCGCTGTGTGGTTTTGCTATCATGCGAGAAGCGCAGATTCCATTGCAGACATCTGTGAGGGCGTTTTGGCGAATCATTCCTTCTGTTTGGCCGCCGCTTTCTTTGAGGGAGGATGAGGGGGTTACGAGGACTGGGTTTTGTTCGGCGGGCATGGTGATGGTAAGGTAGATTGGTTTCGGGCTTGGGATGCTGGAGGGTACAGTCTGGTGGCCAGGTGATTTCTCGGCTCGGAGTTCGAGTGGTGATGAGATGGAAGGACGCAAGGTTAACTCTCCGTTCATCAATCAGTTGTGGTTTGCCGTACACGCACTTTGTCTTACCACCCGGGTGATTTATGAGTGACGTACTATACACAGAGTGGGGGAAAGCTTGAGGGGCATGTCGCATACAAAAACGAGGACAACCGTGGTTTCCATTTGCGGTTCGGGGAAGATTCAAGGTTGTGAACGATGCTTGCTTGATTGAAGGAAGTCACGTATGTAGCCTCCGGAAGTGGTGTACTTGCCGTACATGACCATCAAGAGGGTGGCTCATTCTTCATGCTTCTGCTGCATGAGACTCTTCCAACCTGGAAGCATTGACATGGCAGACAGGCTCGCCGGAGGTGTCTCCATCAAACCTACCAGCATTGCATGCCGTTCATGATGTGATGCATTCACCAGCGTGCTCAGGACGACGCTGACTGTACAGATTGCGGATGTTGACGAGAGAGTTCAGACGGCGAGATCGCCTTTAGTCCGATACCCCATGGGCATATCCCCACACTCCCTCGACCAGACGTTGCCTCTTCATCTTATACACACTCCCCTAAGAAAGCATAAGGTAGGTACCTTAGCCGGTAAGAGTTCTGTTTGCGAACATTCCGGGCGCGCCGCGTCGCGACCGAAATGCCGCCCCCGACATGTGAAAAAAGCTTAGACGCGGCGAGCTGCCGAGGCTGGTTGTGCGCGCCAATCACAGGCCAGGTCTTCGTGGATGACATGATCACAAGGACCACAAGACCGCGGTCCTTTGGAAAGTCCCATCACAAGGGAACGAGAGCGAATAGACCAAAGCTCGGTGTCTTCACATGCAAGACGCGCACGGCGAGCCTAGGTACCTAATCTTTCTTTCTTCCATCCCCTTTGCTGCCATCTGCCTCTCCAGAACCACTTCCCCACAGACCTTCCTCTCATTGTCACCACTCCTCTATATCTGATCAGTTGAATCATGTCGAAGTCCTTCAACGTCGCCGATGTRGCAAAGCACAACAAGGGAGATGACCTTTATATCATCGTCGACGAAGATGTATATGATCTCACCGCCTTCCAAGATGAGCGTAAGCAACTTCACAGGCAAAGGGATTCGCCTTTGTTCATATGGATACCTTGAAGCTTTGCTAACCATTATCTCATAGACCCTGGCGGCAAGAAGAGTACGGATCGTCGAACTCCCACACCATATGTTCCCTGCTAACTTCATACAGTCCTCACCAGAGTTGCCGGCAAGGACGCGAGCAAGCAGTTCTGGAAGTACCACAACGATGGAATCCTCAAAAAGTACAAGGGCAAACTGCAGGTTGGATCTCTAGACACCAAGCAAGCCCAGGCACCTCCCACGCCTCCACCATCGCCACCGGCTCAGAAGGCTGAGAAGGTCGTGCCACAAGCCGAGTCAGGTGCCATCGTTCCTGCTCCGGGTCCTGCTGCGAAGGAGGAAGCTGAGGCATTGGATGCTTTCGGCGACCTCGTGCCATTTGCCGATCCATCCTGGTACCAGACATACCACAGTCCATACTACAACCAATCCCACGCCGACCTTCGCGCCGAGATCCGACAATGGGTAGAGGACGAGATCATGCCCAACGTGACCGAATGGGACGAGGCGAAGAAGGTGCCAGACAGCATATACAAGTCCATGGGTGAGAGGGGTTACCTCGCAGGTCTCATGGGCGCTCGTGAGTGGCCAACGCACCTCACCAAGCACAAAATTGCATCTGTTGCCCCTGAAAAGTGGGATCAGTTCCACGAGATGCTGCTCACTGATGAGCTGTCTCGATGCGGCTCGGGTGGTGTTGTGTGGAATCTTATCGGTGGTTTCGGCATCGGCATGCCACCACTTGTCCACAACGGCAAAAAGGAGCTTGTCGATCGCATTGCACCCGGCATATTGAGCGGGGAGAAGCGTATCTGCTTGGCCATCACTGAGCCTGATGCCGGATCTGACGTGGCTAATGTCACTTGTGAGGCTAAGCTCACAGAGGATGGCAAGCACTACATTGTCAACGGCGAGAAGAAATGGATCACCAACGGAGTCTGGTAAGAAAACCACGCCAAACGGACAGCGTGCCTGGACCATTCGACTGGTGGTGACAGTATCAGTCGGATCGAACAGCGCGTCGCACAATTCGAACTTATACTAACATGACTTAGGTGCGACTACTTCACTACTGCTGTTCGAACGGGTGGCGAGGGTATGGGTGGTGTCTCTTGCCTCCTCATTGAGCGCGAATCTGGCGGAGTCTCGACTCGCCGCATGGACTGCCAGGGTGTGTGGAGCTCTGGCACCACATACATCACCTTTGAGGATGTGAAGGTTCCCGTTGAGAACCTGATTGGCAAAGAGAACCAGGGCTTCAAGGTCTTGATGAGCAACTTCAATCATGAGTACGTGCTTCTGGCGCCCTGGCGCGTCCCTATGAGTCGAGGAATGAACAGTCTCCTGGACTTTCCAAGGCGTGTCTTTTCCCGGGATTGATACGGTCTGCTGACACTTCGACTAGGCGTATCGGCATCATTATTCAGTGCGTCCGCTTCAGCCGTGTGTGCTACGAGGAGAGCGTGAAGTACGCCCACAAGCGCCGCACCTTTGGCAAGGCTCTCATCGAACACCCCGTCATTCGTCTGAAGCTGGCCCACATGGCACGTCAGATCGAGGCGAGTCAGGCCTGGCTAGACATCCTGGTTTATCAGTGAGTACATTCCATCAATTCTCACATTTTTATTAAAATTATAGGACTAACCGGACCACCTTTCTAGGGCCAACTTGATGGGAGAGACTGAGGCTATGCTCAAGCTTGGTGGTGCGATCGCCGGACTCAAGGCTCAATCCACTGTTACATTTGAATTCTGCGCCCGGGAAGCCAGCCAGATCTTTGGAGGACTAAGCTACAGCAGAGGTGGTCAGGGTGCCAAGGTCGAACGGCTGTATCGAGACGTTCGTGCATACGCCATTCCCGRTGGTTCGGAAGAGATCATGCTCGATCTATCGATCAGGCAATCACTGAAGGTTCACGAAGTATTGGGGATGAAGTTGTAAGCATGAATAAGCATGATGGACATTTCTGCATAGCGTGAGGAATGGTTGGATTAGCTTCGGGAGCTTGCAGACGATCATGTCATTCTGGTACATTTTTGAGGGATAGGATACAACAGCTTCTTATCCTTACTTCTTCGATTCAGAAGTGCCATCCGCTGAGAATTCCGAATTCCACGTCATGGTGGTCAGCATTCACGCAGCCCACACCAACAGATTCCAACATCGAATGATATCAACATTTACCAACACCAACATTTCTCGGTCAGCGCTTGCTTGGCAAGAAAAATGCCCCGCTTTCCCCTGTCTTTGAGCAGGGAACGGGACAGGCGTTCTGGCTTTCTCATGCCGGGCCGGAGAGTGAACACGAACGCACTGGGATCGATAAGTCCGAAATAGGTCGACCTGCACAATGATGGTCGAAGGCCCCGATACGCCGCTTGGGGGCGCAAATGGTTCTCGTGGGCAACAACAATAATCCACTCCGACTCCAAAACCAACACCAACACCAACAAACAGATCCCTGCGCTGGAGAAAGGAAGCGCGCAGGTGAAGTGAGTAAAGTGAGTGGCTCGGCAAAATGTGGATCCAAAAATAACTGATCGTCCCAAATCCTTCGACCGCCATCGCTCATCATTCTCTCATCATGCTTTTCCGCACAAGGCTGGCAATTCTCGCAGCCACGCCCGTAATGCGCAGCGACGGTCAACCCTGCTCCGGCTCGCACCTCAGCCTCGACATGGCCCGCGAGACATCGCATGGCACGGTGCCACAGTCCCAGTCGCCAGACGCTTGCACCATGCGAGATTGACGTCTGCTCTGCTGTAGCTTTCAATCCTGCGTTCCTCCTTCTCGCCTGACTGCGCCTGCACGCCTGATGAGGAGTATGACTATTTCTTTTCTTCTGTTGCCTCATTGTCTCACAACTATGCTGCTGTGGTAACTACAATCAACTGTTCACACTAAAGTATACAGGTCTTGGAAAAGGCATCTCCGGAAACCCTGCATTTCGGAGTGCTATACTGGTAGGAGGGGAGCCCGATGCACATATACGCCACGGCCAATGCTGACCCTACCGAGCATCTCAGTCAGCCAGGCCGACGCAATGAAGGAGGCATGTGCTGCTTCCATTGACGCAGTTACAACATGTACTCCATCTGACGACGAACAAGGACACAACGCTGTTAACATTGCAAGACGCTCCATGTCCATATTCAGCAGGAGAGGTACCATGACTCCCGAGCCGCCGGCTTTTGCTCCCTTGGAATCCGTCGCCACTCCCAAGCAAATGAGCGAGAAACAGCGGAACTGGCTGTTACGAAAGAGCGGCAGCCGTGACGGCCCGATATCATTGAAGAATGCGCGGCTCAAGTCTCGTCGAGGGACGGTCCTCCGCGCTGTCCCTCCTGCAAACGTCACACGATTGAGTGCTCTGGAGGAAGAGATGGCTCACAGTCCCAATGAAGAAATACTGTCAGCGATTGGTGAGCACCCTCCGACTGGGCGTCCTCCGGTCAGCCCTTCCTTCTCTCAATCAACAACGTCTCAAGAAAAGCCCGGGCATATTCCCCTTTCCAAACGCAGCAGTCGTCGGGATGCAAGTTCAAGAATCGGCGTTTGGGTCGATGGCGTAGTTTACTGGAACGAGGCCGAGACTGCTACACCAAAGCCGATTCCTGACCCGAAACATCTCAGCCATGTTCAGTGCAATATTGCTAGGAAACCGACCATCAGGCGAAAGCCATTACTCTCGGTCGTCATTCCAAATGGTGGGCTGGGGCCTTCTGATCGCAAAATCCATCAGCCTCAGCCGCGTCGTCCGCAATCAAAGGTGATACCTCCTTTGGACCGTCCACGCGCACCGCTGAGGCAATGGAGCCCAGATCAGTGTTTTAAAGCATCAAGTTGGGATTCGCAGTCCAGAGGTACACTATTTGGCGAGGTCACAGTCCCTAAAGTCGGAAAGCCTACCTCGGTCCGTCAAGATGCTGAACCACAAGTATCCCGATCTTCCACGTCCAGCAGCTCTATCGGAGAGAACACCTCAACCTATAGCAATCGAAGCTCGGCAACGAGCATTGAAGGACTCGTCAACACCGATGCGAAATATGTGTGTAAGCTCGATGGCAAACTCGACATAAGCCGTGGCTTTCCAACTGGGCTTCAATCTTGTCACACGCCACCTGTGCCAAATCGAGCACCACCTGATCCGCCAGCCTTGCAAGATCGGCCAGTGCAGTCGACTGGCAATACAGCACCTACAATAAGACTGTTGCATCCTCACGATACATTCAGCAGCTCACTGCACACGCACAAAGTTGACGAGGCAAGCCCAACCTGGAGCCAGGCAGAGGAGGACCTTCAGCATGAACTTTGCGCCACGGCTGGGGAACACGATAATGTCGAAGCCCCTACGAATACCATGGCTTTTCAGGGTCTCATTCGCCGCAGTGGGAGTGTTCGCGAGGTCATGGAGCCTCCATGTCGCGCACCGACAATCCCCAAACGGTCTCGCAAGCGAGACTGGACAACGCATATTTCCTATCCTGCATCGGAATTGCAAAGGCGACAAAGTGAATCACAGCAAAAGGGATCAGGTTTGAGTCAAAATGTCGGCGTTTTGCGGAAAAGTGTCAGCGTGTCTTGCTGTGCCAACCCTATCAGCGCGACAAGGCAATCGATGCCATCTCCCCCTGGGCGATCTACTAAACGGCTACTTCCGAATTGTGTTGCCGTCGGCAATGGCAATGATCTGAAGAGTTCTCGACGAGAAGCGATTGCAGCAGCAATGACATCTACAGTGACATCCGAAGACGTATTGCTACACATTCTCTCTCGGCTCCATTCTCCGCAAGATCTGTTCCACACCGCCATTATTAACAAGGGCATGTATAGGGTCTTCCAAGAAAACCAGATACACCTACTCCGCACAGTCGTCTTTAATGAATCTCCAGCCTCCTGGGAGCTGCGCGAATGGACTGCACCAGATGGAGACGAACCCACATCCAGCAGTACTCTTTCACGTATGGAGCATTCGGCCCTCTCCTATATGCGGTGCTACCGCCGCGATACTGTTGTGGTCCAACGCTTGAGCCGTCTCGTCTTCGAGACGTGCCAGGGATTTCTTCGCCGCGAGACCGTAGTTGCTCTATCTACGCCGAGCCATCCAGACGCCCCTCGCTTCAACGACGCCTTCTGGAGGATATGGACATTTTGCCAGATTTTCGGCGGCGCAAGGAACCGCGAGGACGATATTACCGGCCAAATGGATTGGCTTAAGGGTGGTGTCCTTGCAAATAACGAGGACTGTATTGCCTCGACCGAGCCAAACATGGAATTCGACCTGAGGAGCGTCCTCATCTCGGCACCTCCATATTTTGCAGAGAGTAACAGGGGAGGACTCAGTGCGAGTCAGCTTTTCGACATGACTGAGATCTGGACATGTATGACCGCTCTGCTTCARGGCTATCATGGATGTGTCCGGCAGGCAAGATACTACGGTGTTTTCGACCGGTGCGAGGTACCCGAGGGCGATATCAAGGACGAGGAAACAATGCTTGAGGAATGGACTACATATCTGATGACTCTCGGTCCGAGGGTCGTGCTTGAAATGGCCCAGGTCTACCCAGCGGCTGGCTTCGCCTTGGCAAGGGAGAACGGCTGGACTCGATGGACGCCACCTATACATAACGGAAGCCGCGCCAGCTTCCTGAAAGAACCTGTTGCCAAGAGCTACGAAGAGCAAATCATTGTGGCCACACAGCAACAGCAAGACCCACGAGAGCAGGTCAGAAAAGATGCCAATCGAAGACGCGTGGCTACTCTGGCGGCTGAGATTCGCGTTCGACGGCAAAGCAGTGCCTACAAGCGCTCACCTTTGATCGATATGAAGAACGAACGTGCTATGAGTGTGATCTCGCGTAGAGATAGCGTGTCGCCCACCAGGGCCTATCATTCTCGTGAGGCTAGCCAACGCACCTCTGCTGCGTCGAGACCGGTGTTGGCCAACCCACGGTCGACGGAAAACACAAGCGAGCGTGCTATACAGCAACTTGTKACGATGGGATTCGAGCGAGATTTGGCGGTGGACGCGCTTCGCATAACGGATAGGGGGGATGGTTTGCGTCCGGACAGGGCCATTGATTTGTTGCTGAGGCAGCAGGAGGAGTAATGGGTTCTTACTGCTGCGTGCTTGTGATACCCTACCTTTAGTCGTAACGACTAAGCTTTTGTTGTGTGAATTACGCTAATATGACATGAATCATTTCGTGGATAGTTTCCTTCCTTGACATTGGAGGCTCACTGTCTATGTTGGGGTTAGGGTTGGGGTAACGCGCAATTCAATCCACGTGCCTCCAGTTGAAGTTCACCTGACACTTGAAGTCCTAAATGCCTTTTGTTACGCAATGCATATGCTTGTATTTAGTGTGGTAATTTGTTCATTGCGACAGTAGCCCTGATGGCACTTAACAAAAGGGAGTAATAGAGAAAAGAGTTGTCACCATCTCGCTATGTGTTCCGAAAAGAAACCACCACCATATTACGTTGACAAAGAGCCAGCTCTGGGTATACTGAAAGTAAGCTACGGTAAGGTGCTCGAATTAATGGTCTACTTCTTAGTTTTCCGTTCCCAGCCTTGAATGCAGCCAGATTTACATACCACACGTGAAATGCATGTGAAAGTTGCCAGTGCACAGACCAGACGAGGTTGTTTTTCTGACTCGTGTCGAGGTAAGGGCATTCCATCTTAGACTCAGGCTCCACAAAACCATTCCATTCGTAACCAATCACATACTTCTCTGATCGCCGTTAACACCGATACTCGCCAAATTGGGTTTAGTCTGCATCGCTGAGACAGATTGCATGACGTTCCACGATCTGGTGGGGCATCTGCTGCGTTGTCAATTACAGTAATTTGATGGCTTCACCGAAGAACCCCTCAACGCCGTCTCTTCCACCGCCGATAACCCCACACCCACGCTCATACCTATCCTCACGTCACTTTCCGACACCATGCAGCGGGTCAAGAATTTGGATTACGACGAGGATGACTTGTACTCGGACGACGAAGATTATAACGAGGAAGGCGGGGACGAGCAAGAGCAGACGGCAGAGGATCGCGAGAACTTCGCGGCACTGACACCGGTGGTACGAGCAGAGCTGGAGGAGAGTGGTGTGCAGGTCGACGATGGCGAAATCGAAAAGGCATTGTACTACTACTATTGGGATGTCGGAAAGAGCGTGGCATATCTGAAGAACTCAAAATCGCCGCAGACTGCAACTCCAGAGCAGCAACCGAAGAAGGAAAAGCCGAAGAGCAAGTTTGACGAGGCTGCAGAGAAGAGTGCAGAAAAAGCGAGTAAGTTGATTCCCTACGTTATCCCAGCATGAGACTTGATTTGGATACGACCATGCTTTCACGAGACTCGAGGTGGACACTATCCCACGCACCGTTCTGGTATTGTGGCTGATGATGTGCCTCAAGCACACACGATGTCAGCCAAAGACTGGTTCAAGGATACTCCCTGGACTGGCCTCGATCCATCCATCGTCGGCCAACTCGTACCAGCGATGCCTGAGCCACCACGCCCAAAGCTACTAGGTGGCTCATCGAAACTAGCAAAGCTAGCGGAAGAGCGTCGGAGAAAGGCAGTGGCATCACAGAACACACCAAATCCTGCGGTCGAGTCGCTCAATTCACTCGATCGTTTGAGTATATCGAAAGACTCGAAAGAAAATGCGGCGCCGGTTGCGGAGCCCAAAAAGTATCCAACCCGCCGCAAGAGATCGCCCACACCTCCACCAAGAGAACCGACTCCTCCACCCGAGGAGCCGGTTGAGCAGCTTCCAGATCTCCGATCCTCTCCAACAGCCTTTGGGCGGGCTCTCTCCAAGAGTTCTGGACAGATGAACGGTGCCACAAGGATGGCTCTCGCCGATTTGTTGGGAATGACGGCTTCTTCAAGTCCATTTGAAGGACCTTCACCAGACGACACCGTGTTGAAGGCACAGAACAAGAGCAAAGGGCTCAAAAAGTGACGTGGCTGACAATCGTTTCCGAGCAGAACTAGCAAAATCAGATCCATCTACAAATGGGATGGCAGCGAAGACCGAGGCATTGAAGCTGGATGCTGCAGCCGCAGGACCACCCCAGTCGAAAGTAAGGAGTAAAGGTCTTAATGTACCGAAGCTATGGAGCGAAGGGAGGGCAACAAGGAAGTCTACGGGAGGCTTCGTGGTTGTTGGTCATGTCGACCATGGCAAAAGTACACTCATGGGCAGACTGCTACTCGATACAGGCGCAGTGTCTCAAAGAGAGGTTGATAAGTACGTTGAAGAATCCTCCGAGTCACTCTCGCGGATCTAGCTGACACAATCTCAGGTTCAAAAAGCAAGCGACCGACATTGGCAAGCCCTCATTTGCCCTGGCCTGGGTGATGGACACGGGCTCCGAAGAGCGCGAACGCGGAGTGACCGTCGACATCGCACAGCATCATTTCAGCACGGACAGTGTCGAATTCACCATACTTGATGCACCAGGACATCGCGACTTTGTTCCCAACATGATTGGAGGCGCGTCGATGGCGAATCTTGCGGTCCTTGTCGTGGATGCAAATCAGCTCGAGTCCGGCATGAAGGGTCAAACGAGGGAACACATCGTGCTCGCCCATGCCGTTGGGCTGCGGAGGATCGTCGTTGCAGTCAACAAGCTTGACTCCACAAAGCCGGCATGGAGCGAAGATCGATTCGAAGCTGTGCGTGCTCCTGTCCTGAAACTGCTCACCGAGACCGGCTTCCTGGCCGAGAACATCGCATTTGTGCCATGCAGCGGACTGGGCGGCGAGAACGTGGTGACCTCGCCATCCAACGTAGCGGCCGCGAGCTGGGTTCAGGCATCGCACCAGACGCTGTTGAAGCAGCTGGAGAGCTCGATCCCACCCCTCGTCGGCCTCGAGGTTGTCGAGAAGCCCCTACGCATGCAGATTTCGGATGTCTTCCGCGGTGGCATATCAAATCCCCTGTCGATATCTGGTCTGATGCGTCAGGGAAGCTTACAGGTCGGCGACCTGATTGTGGCGCAACCCAGCGGTGAGACGGCCACGATCAAAGGCATCGAGGTCAACGGAGAGGCGCGGCCTTGGACGGTGGCTGGGGAGATACCAACCCTGCATCTGCTGGATATTGAGCCACAACACTTGCGGAGCGGAGACATTGTATGCACGTCGCTAAAGCCTGTGTCGGTGGTGAAGAAAGCAACGGTTAAGGTTCAGGCGATGGACAGTCTGCTGCCGCAGAGTGCGGACGTGCACCTGGGTCGCATGCACGTGTCGGGAGCCATCAGCCAGCTGGTGGCTACTGTTGATAGCAAGGGCGCGTTACTCAAGAAGAAGCCAAGAATGGTAAAGCCAGGACAGACGGCACTGCTCAAGCTCACGTTGGAAGATGCGGTGCCAATGGAGAGTGGCGATAGAGTGGTATTGAGAGCGGCAGGCGACACCATCGCGGCAGGCATTGTGCAGAGTGTAGAATCTTAGACGATAGATACCCACTTGAATGACAGTATGAATGATGACAATTCGTTTTCACATGCTATGTTCCCACCCTAAAGCGAAATGCCGTGAAGGGCCGGTCTCTGGACCCTTTAAATCCGCTGTGTCTACCTTATTATTGACATGACGGCAGCTGTTTCATTTTAACCACGACATAAAGGAGATCGTCGACAGAACAGCTAGCATCAGCCATCCACAGGAACTCATAATCTTTCGCACACACACGAGTAGCAACATCCACCGTCGTTGGCTCCGCGTCCGCTCATAACCATGTCCCGCCGACCGGCAGCAGGCCCCGACCGCAGCGAGCAGAACCGGGCCACGCTGAAACAGCTGGTCAAGCTCGAGGGGAATAAGAGCTGCGGCGACTGCAAGCGTAACAAGCACCCGCGATGGGCCAGCTGGAACCTGGGCGTTTTCGTCTGCATTCGGTGTTCAGGCATCCACCGCTCGCTCGGCGTACACATCTCAAAGGTCAAATCCGTTGACCTGGACACATGGACGGATGAGCAGATGCAGAGCATGCTACGTTGGGGCAATGCCCGGGCGAACAAGTATTGGGAGCACAAATTGGCCGAAGGACATGTGCCCAACGAGGCCAAGATTGAGAACTTCATCCGGACCAAGTACGACAGCAAGCGATGGGTTATGGACGGACCCATGCYGGATCCAAGCACGTTGGATGATGGAGACGTGGACGACGATGTGCCGCTTAATGTAGTGCAAGAGAAGGTCAAGCAGCGGGAGCGAGGTGCAAGTCTGAGGAATGGGAGCGCTTCAGGCGGGATCGCAGGGCCGCCGCGCGCGAGGCAGCAGGAGGTCGATCTGTTTGGAGATGACACTGGTTCTTCAATGTCACAGCCTGCCAGACCTAGTACAACCGAGCCATCCTTTAGTAGACCTGGACCACCAAAAGCACCAGCAGCACAGCCCAAGCAAACGCGTCCGGGCGAGAGCTTGCTCGGATTGGACTTCTTTGGTGGTACGCAATCTGCAGCACCGGCTCGGCCGTCGAGTACTGGACCATCTACACCTGGAATTGGTAACGGCAGATCGGATCTGAAGCAGTCGATTTTGTCCTTGTACGCTTCGAAGCCAGTGGCAGCTGCACCGCAGCCTGCCGCGAACGCTTTCGGAGGTATGCAGTCGTCCTCTCCTGCAGCTCATCAGTCCAACGCCCAGTCAATGAGCGGTATGGATGATGCTTTTGGTTCGCTATCAATGTCTTCCAACACAGTGCAATCCAAACCTGCGCCTTTCTCCAACTTTGCGCCTCCCGCGGGACACTCCAAGCAATCTTCGATACAGAAGTCGTCATTGAGTGGAGGCAGCTTCTTCGACATTAAACCAGCAGCGGCAGCGGCACCGCCYCCCAAGCCCATAACATCCCCATCGTACGTTTCCCAGCAGCCGGRCAACAGCTTCGGAAACGATTTCGGAGACTTCTCTTCTGCATCGCCTGTGGCGTCGGTCAAAAGTCCCGCTGCAGCAACCAGCTCTATGGGTGATTTGTTCGATATGTCTGCACCAGCTCCACCTCCAAAGCCCGCTCCCATCACATCAGCAGGTTTCTCGAAGCCTGCGAGCAACTACTCTAGCAGCGCCTTCAACCTCTCCCAGCCCACGCCAGCACCTGCAGCGAAACCAGCAGCGATCCAATCATCCAACTTCTCCAGCATGAATAACATGGATGCATGGGGTAGCAGTGATGCCTGGGCGACACCAGACCCCCCTGCGGCAGCACCCGCCAAGGCTGCTCCGCCACCACAGGCATCCGCCTCGTCATCTACCTTCAAGTCAACACCGGCACCTGTCATGAACGACTTTGACTCTGGTTGGGGTGACCCAGCCCCTGCGCCTGCGGCCAGGCCTGCCGTTACGACGCCTGGCGCAAGCAACGGCGGCTGGGGCGATTCTTCAGCTCCTGCTCAGTCAACTACCACTCCCAGTGCTGGTGGCTTCAGTGTGCAACAGGACGAGGAGTTTGGTGGATGGTCGCATGCAAGTCCCGTTGCCACAACTCCTGGCGCGAAGCAGGGCGGAATGGGCGGAAACTCGGATGATCTGTTTGGTAACGTTTGGGGTTAGGCGATGAGCGAGCTTTGGATGTCGGGTAAACAGTCTACATAGGATGAAGGGGCACAGCGGAGCGGATGAGCGAGGATGAGATCAACGAGCGAAATGCCACGAAGTTAGCTGTTACATTCCCACTGAAATCGATTTGTGATGTCTGCCATCTACATCCTCCTGCCATGCGCCTTTCCCATGCTGCAAATATCCGCTGATAGACTCCCAAACACCATGCTAGACTCAATGTAAACCATCCCYGTGCGCCGTCCAACTCTTGTCACTATAGAAACCAGCTCATCAACCAATAYAGCACCAAAACCGCGGCTATGATGATGCCCGCAAGCTTCAACACAGCGACCTTGTTCCCTTGGCTTGCCATGACCCCTAACCGTCTCGCCGAGCCTTTGAGGGAGGTGGTCATGTTGGAAAAGGTATCGGTGGTGGAGTCGATGACACCCTGATCGCGTGCATTGTCGTAGATATCGATTGTGACGGAGCGCAGGGCCGAGACTTTGGACGAGAGGGCGGCGAGAGAGTCGTTGTTTTGGCTGTGGAGAGTGTTGGTCAGTCTGTGGCATGGATTGGGTGGTATGTCATTGATGCTTACCGCTCGCGCTCATAGGCTTCGGACATGGTGGCAAATGGCAGTCGGGGGTTTTTGAAGGTGGTCGGTCTGTATGACCTTGGCCTCTTTGTTGCTGTCAATCGGGAGCGAGTGTGAGACGCTTCGCGCCGCGCGTGCCTTGGTGTGGCTGATGCCTCGTCATTGTCCAAGACAACCTTACTATATACTGAACAACCCCGCCTATTTCTCAACTTCCGAATTGCTCCCATGTCATGACCAGCAACATCTTTGAACCCGAGGAAATTGTACGTTGACTACTGACCTCACCTGCTGCTTCACCACCGCCGTCATGGGGCTTCTTAACAACCCGCTGCCATCGTCGATGCGCTCCGAATGCAAGAAATGTGAGATCAGCCACCTCACTACGTTCACATCGTTCTCGGAAACTGACCAGCCTAGGTGGCGGTATTCTTGCCTCGTTCGTCGACCCTAAACAATCTTTTGGACCCGACAAGATTATTCCCCCCCAGATTCTCGCCAACGCCAAAGGCCTCGCCATCATCACAGTGTTCAAAGCTGGCTTCCTCGGCTCTGGTCGGTTTGGCTCTGGTGTTGTAGTAGCCCGTCTCAACGATGGTTCGTGGAGTGCACCCTCTGCTATTGGGACTGTCGGCGGCGGATTTGGTGGCCAAATCGGCTTTGAGCTGACGGACTTTGTCTTCATTCTGAACGATGCTTCTGCGGTCAAGACGTTCTCACAAGTGGGAAGTTTGACACTGGGTGGRAACGTCAGTATTGCTGCAGGACCGGTCGGTAGGAATGCCGAGGCAGCAGGTGCTGCCAGTTTGAAGAGCGTGAGTGGGATTTTTGCGTACAGCAAGACGAAGGGGCTGTTCGCTGGAGTGAGTCTGGAGGGCAGTGTCTTGATCGAAAGAAGGGACGCCAACGAGAAGATGTATGGCCGGAAACTGACTGCGAGGGAGCTTTTGGGTGGTAATGTCCCCGTGCCACCTCAGGCAGAGCCGCTTATGAGAGTCTTGAACTCGCGAGTCTTCGCGGGTGTGGGAGGAACATTCAGGGACGATAACATGTACAACGATGTCCCAGTCTACGACGATTCGCACGAGGATGTGGTTTGGCAAGGCAAAACAGGCAGTGCATATGGCGAGGGTGTACAGACACAGCGGACAGGAGACATGTACAATGGAAACCAGGAGTGGGCATCCCACGACAAGCCGTCGAGATCGTCGACTTGGAACACCACCGGTGCAGGAAGAGCGAATCCGACTGAGACGTTTGWTCGTCTGAGCAGAGGACGGGCAACTTCGAACGTTACGGGAGATCAGTCGGATTATGTTTACAGCGATCATAAAGGACCAGCTCCCGGCCGCCCTTCGGCACCCAAGCCAGCTTTTGCCAACAAGCCTTCCTTTGGCGATAGCAAGGGCTCTGCTGGCCCGGGACAGGCAGTCGCCAAATTCACATTCGAGGCCGACCAGCCTGGTGATCTTGGCTTCAAGAAGGGCGATGTTATCACCATCGTTAAGCGGACCGAAAACGAGGCAGACTGGTGGACTGGAAGAATTGGTGGAAGGGAAGGCATCTTCCCGAGTAACTACGTGGAAGTTGTATGACCAGACCCCCAGCGCGACTTGACTGTTCGGGAGGATCAGACAGCATAGGCGGGAGAGTGTGATCTGTGTGGATCTCTCAATATACCCTTTTCTTTCAACAGCAGGCAACTTGGAGGCCTGCGCGAATGACTCGGAAACGCGATATTTGACTGATGAACGTACTTGTAGATAGCGTACACGATTGGCAGGAAGGTTTACACCGAGTGCTTCTCAGCTCAGAAAGTGCTGTAATTGTGCATCATTACCACGATCGTCATCAGCAAGGTGATGTGCAAGGTTCGGTTCTGCAGTGCCGAAAGCCTGTCTTGTATGTTCGGACCGGCYGACATCACTAGAGCACTAGAGTGTTTGTGATCTAAACAGTAGAGTCAAATCATTCGATTCAGAAGTTTGTTATCGGTATCAACCGACAAAGATAATGCTATGAACAAGAAAGGAAACAACTTTGCCACCCCCGGTGGCTCTCTCTCCTCATCTCCATCATACTCTGTGCAATGGCGGTCAAGCGGGGTATAATTGCCATTGCCAACAATCCCAGACTGGAGTTCCTCTCATCCGTTCCGGCGGCAAAAAGAAGGCGTAAAAAGCGCTGCCATCATTCACATAATTTCATAAACCACACGTCGTTCCTGAAGAAGTTTGCACCCGCCTTTCTCAACATGCATCGCGCTTCGAGTGCGTCGCAATGAAGAAAGAGGGGCGCTTGTCGAAGAAGAAGAGAATTCGAAGATTAGAGAAGAAGACCGGCGAGGCCGATGAGAGCTACGAGACCGACCGAGAGCTGCGAAGCGGAACCCTCGTAGACGTTGCTGGGGGTTGGGAGTGCTCCGGTGGCCAGAGCAGAGGTTGTCGTGCCGTTGTTCATGGGGTAGAGGGTCGAGCTAGCACTGGCGCTGGTGGTTGCGATCTCGGTTGCGGTAGAAGTGGAGCTCTCAGTGGTGGCGTAAACGGAGGTGGTTCCATTGCGGGTAGCAGTCATCGTCTCCACAACGCGCATGACGGTGCGGGTGGTGTAGTAGGTGGTCGTTGCGCTGGTGTAGACTGGAGGGGCAGCAGATGAAGCCTCGTAAGCTGGTGGTGGTGCAGCGGAAGAAGCCTCATATGTTGGTGGCGCGACGGCAGCGAATGCGCCAGAAAGCATGGCGGTGGCGGCAAAGGCCGTAGCGGAGACTTCGAAGAAGCGCATTTTGACTGATTGGGTCTAGGTGGTTGTATATGTCTTGGTATGCGACAATGTTGAAGTGATTTGCTGATGCGAAAGACGATGTCGACTCTTCCAGAGAGGAATAAGGCGGTTGTCTGGTGTTCGCTTCGAAAACTTGGTGAATGGTCGTTCGTTTGACTGTCGCGTTTGATGCTCAATATTGATTGGTCTGATTGGCTGTTTGATGATATAGTTGCGGGGATTTCTGCTGGTCGTGCGTGAATGAATGTGTGTCGTGGTAGATCTGTCAGAAGAGACTGTGGTATGCCGGAGCAAGTGAGCGTGTGCGCGAAGAGCGAGAATCCAACGATGAATCGAGGAAGCGGCTGGAGGGCGCTGGGGGACGATGTTTAAATGAAGGCGGAGGCACGCGACTCGCTTGTGTTTGTCGGCTATGACGGGCAATCTACCGGCAGCGCGATCTTCGTTGCCCAATACAGCTAGTAACCAGCGACTCGCACGGATGGATCCGTAGTCCATGATCTGCTAGATGTCATCAATCTCCGGCGCATCGAGTCTCACAAGACCGTGAAGGGCGCAGAAAATGCGCTTTTTCGCGTGTGACCTTCCGTACTGAATTGCGCCCATCTCCTTTTAGATTTGGTGTCCTGGGAGAGAGAGCCATGCGAAACACTTCAGTTGACGATCGCAGTCAAGGAAAATTTCTCGCACGGTTCCTGCATGCATGACCCACTTCGCTTCCGCACTGCAGTGGAGACAAACGTGGTTCGCTGCGCTTCTTCCGAGCCGGAGCAAGAAGTGTTTCGGGCAACGCTCCACTGCTCAGTCGCCAAGCTTTGGTCCACCGTTCGACTCGTTCCAAGGTCTGCCAAATTGACATGCCCTTCACACTCTCGCGGATGCCAGGGCAACACAGGATGTTACACGCGACATGAGCTCGCCAGGGCTGTTTCACAAATGCAAGCAGTGCAACATTGGAAGTGAGCGCTACGGCCTCGTTGCGTGATTTGGTCGCAATCATGCCTCACGCGTGGTCTTCGATGGTCGATTGGCGAGGCTCCGATTTGAGAAAAATCTTGCAGTATGTACTCTGCGCTCTTCTAGTTAGTTAGTCTATTGTAACCGGGCCATCCACAACAGCACTGAACCGAGTAGACCTCGGGTGCTCAGCTTGGCGATAACAGTGTGGATATGAACCCCATAGTTGTAAGACCCTTGGTGTGATAATCTGCTCGATTCGTTGCAGCTCTTCCGTTGAATGTTGAGGAGGTATCCGACATATCGCCGCGCGCAAAAAGATGGAAGAGGAAAAGCAGAGCAGAAGTACCTGCACGCCAGACCCACCTCGTCGTTGGTGTTATCGCCCTCGCAGATAGAGTCTTGGCAAGTCTCCATCGTAACATTAATACACGCTATGTACTCGTCCCACCAACTCCTCGCTCGAAAGTAATCATGAAGCAGTCGTAAATTAAGTCGTCTCGCCACCTAGACAATGGAGACGACCTTCAACGCTAGTGAAAGTTGCTCTTCTCGTTGGGTTCCAGACAATGATCCCACAATGCACGCAGTATGTCTTCGTTCGGCTGGTCGGCTCGATCAAAGTCACGCATCCGTGGTGGAGCACGAGCGAGGTCCAGTTGACTCTTGGGCCTCTGTCGGCCGTTTCCGAGCATTGCTACGCTCTGCTCACCGTTGGTGGCTGGCCGCTTCAGAGGGCTGCTAACATAAGGTGGCGATGCAGACTTGGCAACATTGGTATTACTACTGCTCTTCTCCGCAGACGGAACCGAGACCGTGTTCCTGCTTGACGGCATCGAAGGTCCCGTCTTCTTCTGTGCCAGAGCGCGCTGGTGCACCTTGGATCCTTTGACCAGTCGGAGGCGTGCGATCGACTCACCGATTGGGTCACGAAATTTCTGAACAACTCGTAGCTCAGTGTTGGTGACCCGAAAGCGGCCCTGGAAAGCCTCAGGCCCGGGGAAGATCAAACCGCCTTTGGGATTGTCCTTGGTGGGAAGCCGTGTTGGATTGAGAGAAGATTTGAGCGACTTGTTCAGACGGTCGTATTGCCAGGCGGGTAGGGCGGGAGGTTCGCGCTCTTGCAAATCTTCCCTTTCGGCAAGTGCTTTCTGTTGCATCAATCTGGTCTCTGTTCGTGAGCGGCCTATGGCAGGCGTAGTCGTGCCAGATGATCCCGACACAAATGAGCCAGGACTCGTCGGATGGGATCCAGAGACTTGGCGGTCATGATCACTGCCATAGAAGCCAGTTTGTTTGGGAGTGTTGGAAGCTGTGTTTGCACCGCTCACTGTAGACGGGTGGGATGTGCTCGGCACAAAGCGTGAGACGAGCTCGTCAGGGTCGCGATCACCAGAGCCATCTGCAATGATGGACTTGGAAGATCGCAAAGACGGCGCGGGCGACCCTCGACTGCTGTGGGTGTCGTCTAGTGCGCTAACGTTGCTGACGATCGCTGGCGCCGGCGCCTGCTGAGTGACTCGCCGGGTGGTGGGGTTCACATGTTCCTTGWCATACTGCCCAGAAGTCTGTCGTGAGTCAGGAGGCGGCATGGCCCGTTGTGCTGGCTGTGTGACTTGTTCAGTCCGACCAGCCACTGGTGTCTTGCTGGTTGCCTTATGACTAGAGAGGGCGGGAGCAGGAGCAGTATTTGATCTGTCCCGAGCAGAAGCTTTGGGGTGCGAACGTGGGCTCGGTGAACCAGTGTCGACACTCGCGCCATCAGACTCATAATCGTTGTCATGTTCGGTCTTGGATGAGGATGGGCAGGTCAACTCTGCCTTTAATTCCTGTGCCGCTCTATAGGCAGCGTCGGCTTTCATTCCTGTAGCAGCTTTAGGAATCTCGCTCTGCTTGGCTTCTTCGACGTCGGCTCCTTGTTTGTTATGATCAGCTTCCCTCGACGTCAAGTCTTTCCCGACATCTCTTAATCGCTGAACAGGGGCGTCCATTGCGCCTGCTTGCTGGACGACCTGCGCATGTTGCAGCACACGAGTGTTGACCTTTTTCAATAGCTGTAGTGGCGGCGACTTAACAGTAGGTCTGTCTGTTGCCACACTGGGCCTTCGCGAGTTGTTGGCTGTATTCTGACGTGTGCTGTACGGGCTTGCGCTGGCGCTCTCCTCTGTCCACTCATCCTCATGCTGCTCGCCGTCCTCAAATTCGGGAGAATCATCTTCATCAGACTCGTCGCCAACGTCGAACCCAACCTTCTTCGAGTCCTCTGCTCGGGACTTGGCCGGGCCACCCTGCTTTGATTGCTGTTCGACCTCGACCTCGCGCTCTTGCAAGTTCTTATCTAGAGGCATTGTTTCGGCAGATTTCGGCCTCTTCTGCCTTCCCTTCAATCGCGGAGATGTAGGAGCGCGCTGCTGGGCAGAGGCGAGCGCTACAAGATTCTTGCCGGAAGGCAAACGATTCAGCTGGCCATGGGAGAGATTCTTCTTAAGCTTCGCATGCGAGGCATTGCGGGGCAGCTGGTATGCGGTGTGATTGCGTCGCATGGCTGGCCGACTCTCGTCGAGACTGCCGGGCAGGCGGATTTCAGTGTCGTGCTCGTGGGAGTGGTTGCGGTGATGCTTGCGGCCCTCTTCGGTGGCAGTAGTCATGTGCGGAGCCTGTACCTGACGAGCCATCTTGACTAAGTTGCGCGCACTGCTGTGGTTTCGAGGTAGCACCATCTTCGCGTGCGCACGCGGCTTCACATGCTGCCGCACGAGATGCTCGCCGCCACTGACCGGACTAATGTTAGGCCTCGTGGCTGACGAGTGCGACGATTGTGAGCTCTGCTTCCGCATGAGCTGAGGCCTTGGAGGCGACGACGCCATGGCGGGCAGGCAAGGTCGGTGTTCGTTGGTGTGATTCCAAGTCGATCATCTCGAGGCAATGTGCTGTACCTGATCTCCGGGAGCCCGTGCTCATTAGAACTATATTATAGTAAGGTATCGCCGACGTTACTTCATCAATCCTCTTCTCTGTGCTTCTTCCCCACTATTCTCCACACGCCGCCTTCCACAAGTGTTTCGAACCCACATCTCCCGTCGTACGTGCACATGGCCAACGCACGAGAAGTAGCCTAGATACAAGAGATCTGTGATCCGGTTTGTACATCTTATGATCCTTGGCCCGTTGCATCGTCCAAGGTAAGCACCGACCAAATTGCAGGTTCATTGCAGACAGATCGCCGTTGAAGTCACTTCCTGGACATCATAGTAGTCGTTAAAAACGGCTGCGTTAGAAGTGATCGTATATCGAGCTGACTCAATTGCTCCGGCGTGTCAGCCCAAAGCATGAGGAGAGTCTTCAAAACGAAGACAGTCGTTCACCAGAACGCCTTCAGACATTGGCCGCGTGCCGTGACGTTTAGTTGACATTGTGTTTGCCGTCCAATCTGATAGCATGTCATGGACATGGCACTGCTGCGTGGAGACTGTCAAGCACCCGGAGCACGATTCGCAAAGCGGTATAACTAGATGAACCGATTGTTATTCTTATGTGAAGTCGCATCGCATCGCATAGTGATCGAACGAGCCATACCCTCTATAGGATGCTATGCACGTCTGAATGACGGAAGCCCCGACTCCTGTAGCCATATGTTCAATTAACAAATGACCTGAACGCCATGCTCAAACCCATCCGTCCATTTCATGCTAGTTGCAGCAAAAGCCTGTTGAGTAATGTTTCCACACACTCCATGATCCATCGCAACGAACCATCCTAAAYTTGATCGCTGGCGAATATGAAAGGCATATCATCCTCATCTTCGTCTTCCTCTTGGATCTTCGGGCTTTCTAAGCCTTCACCTGACGCGCCAGRGGCACCCGACACACCCGACACGCCAGAGGCACCCGACGTCTCTTCCGCGATGCTATGTGTTGAAAGCCGGGAGCGAACGTGCGGCTGATGAGCCAGTGCGCGTGACGGAGAGGAAGAAATCGATAAGCCAGGGACGTTGGACAGACGCCGACTGGGTGGCGTCACCGATGACTGTATCAGCGACGAGGAGCTCATTTCCTCAGCCAGCTGGAGCCCAGGGTCGCGCATCATGCTGTACTTTGCGAGATTCACGGTATTGCCGCGTGACGCTGGGCGAGAATGTAAACTGCGCAGGTCTTTGGCGCTTTCGACTTGTGAAATGAATGCTGCAATGTCATCTTCATCGGTCTGGCCACTTCCAGAACTGCCGGGCGTTCCCGACGTGAATTGACCAGTGGGCTTCTCCTTTGACGAGCTGCTGTTGCGGCCTGAGCTGATGTTGCTTTCCGTGGTCTTACTACCAGGAGAAACAAAGCGCTTGGTGCGGCCTGCGAAGCTGCTGCTGTAGCGGTGCAGTGGTGTCGGCTTCGGGGAGGAAGAGCCTGACGAAGCGATTGCGGTCTCGCTAGGTGGCGCTCTAAGCGCCTGCTGGGGCAGAGTATTCAGAGAAACGCGCTTGCTACCAGCGGACGTCCCTAGACGCATAAACTCGCCAGCGGCTCTGCTACCACCGCCTGATGTACCCGGCGACGGGGATGGTCTCGGCGATGATGCCAGTGAACCGCCTTTGAACGGTGGGTTGTTGACCAGGCTAACGGAAGGCCGCCGATGTGAGTCCGTCTTCTTCTGCTCACTGAGGGCGTTGAATCGATCCATATCTTGATAAGTGTCTTCGTCTTCGTCACGAACTCGTTGTTTCAATTCCGTGACCGGCGAAGYCCTCTTGTCGGCGGCGTGGAAGGTGCCAAGGCTGCCGTATGCACCGACTCGCGCCCTCTGTTCGCCGGTAGGACCAGCTAGGCTACTGTAGCGAGCACGAGATTGATCGCTCCTAGCACCCGGCAACGACCTCCCCACCGGCATCGTTTGAGGACCCTCATCAAGACCCAGAAAACGTGAGCTGAGCAGTGCCTCTGAGTCTGCAACGGTAAAATCGCAGCTTATTCGATAGTCCACCGAAATGGACAGCGGGCCGGAGCGACACACCAGTGGTGCGATCGGGTATCGCTCTACTACCGAACCCGACGGTTGCTCCGATGGGCACAAGGGAGCATACAGCAAGTCTTTACGACTGCTCCGCGAGCTATGCCCCTGCTTGATGCGAAACTTCAATCGAAGAGCCTGGTGGCTGCCCGGCTGCCTGGTGAGTTTACGATGTAGCTTCCACGCTGGTAGGAAGCGTGSGAAGCTGAAGAGCGACCTGAACAGCACAACGCCTTTCTTGTATACGTTCGGCAGGGCATCGTTCAACTCAGAAGCGGAAAAATCGTCGTTGGCGTCGCCGAGTTCGACTGTCCACCGCTCGAGCACCACCTCGCAGAATCGCCCACCATTTCTGGGAGGACGTGAACTGGAATCAGCCATGGGACCGAGCGCGTCTGCAACATCCCATCGCTTCCCAGCTTCATCTATGACGACCAGGGCCTGGTTGTGTGAAAGATGAGACGTATCGAGATACACCTCAATCACAAGTGGTCTAGGTTTGTTTTCTGCCAGATCGGACCGTCTCCACGGCTGCAAGTCATCTGACAGGACGTCGGTATCGTCAAGTACCACGTTGAACTACACGCAAAGCGTTAGCATGATGTAAGCTGAATTTCATTCGACACCTGAGCAACAACGCAAGCTAGACAGAGGCGAATCGATCTTGTGGGCAGAGTGCCATGGTCGCCTCGAGGCACACAGGATATGCAGCTTCCATGGCTTCCGGGCTGCCCGATTTTCACCGAGCAAGCTTGACTCGAGACTCAAGAGTTTGGTCCTCGGGACTGCGCCTGGTCCGAGAAAATAATCTCAAGCTTCTACCCTCTACCAGGGCCGCCACGCTGGGAAGGAAACTTACCCATCGATTTTGTTTTATGTCCCCATTCCTGTTGTACACCTGCGGCAAATTTGCACGGGAAGAGCAAATCATCAACGCCGCCTTGGAGTGGAAATGCTGTTATAACAAACATCAGCATCTAAGCTCGACGAGTGACGCCGGAACTGGGGTATAATACCTGTATGATCTGATTGAGCTTGGTGGCTTCGCGATCTTGACTGCTAGAAGCACCATCGCCTCGAGAGGACTCGCCTGCCATTTCCATCGCAGCTTTTTCTGTGTATGAGGCCAAGTCCACGCTCGACCGAGTTCGGGTTGGCAGTCGTTCTCGATCTCTCGAGTTGTTGGTCCGTTCGGGATTCGTAGAGGGATTACTTGCGGCGGAAGCACTCCTAGGCGATGGACGGGGGTGTTGATGCATTGTTTATGTTCGAGGGACGTGGTATAACGATACGGTGAAGGCTGWTRAATCCGTACACTCGCAGATGAGTCCTTTCGCAGCTAAGACGTCGGGGTGGCGGAGCTGGACGATAGCTCCATGTTCACGGCAGCGGTCCAAATCGCTGCGCGGAGGTGGAAGTCTTGGTGATGCAGATGACAGCTCTAGATAGAAGAAGCCATGGTCGTGACGTTCAAAGACTGGAGTATGGACATGCAGGCACACGCGCTGGGACAACCGCTTCCTGGGAGCCTGACGCAGCTGATAAGACCGATGCTCAGGCAGGCGGCCGTCGGTTTCGAGGCGCAGACCAGGCGATGGTCTCAATGAAAGAGACTCCGAAGCTGCAGAGGGTCCGTGGCAGCACGGTGCAAGGAAGAGTAAGGGTTCAAGGGAGTCTTGTGGTCGTTGGGGAACAGCTGATGAATGACTCGATCGATAAGGCGTGCGGAGCTGCGGTGTGTGGAGTTGATGTGTTTCTAGCTTTCGCGGCTTGCACACCAGACTTTCAAAGACTCCAGACTACCTACCTACACTTTGCCCGCGGATGGCACTGCACACGGAGCGTGYCGATGCGTCGCAATGGTCACGAGGATGATGGTGCCTTTGATCACGATCAGATCATCACATGGACGCTAAGGGGAGCTTTTCTATTCGCTTATGATCGACCGGATGAATAACCCGCTCACATGCCATCAGCCCAGGCATGACCTCAACGGGATGCCCGTTCTCAAAGGGCTCTTCAGCACGAAGCGAACCAGCCACAGAGCATGCTCCCACGAAATCGGATTCTACCACACCATATCGCGACGACAGAATTGCTGGCCACGAGCKCCACTGTGTCAAAGTGGTCGACGAAGATCCCAAGTCTTTCCATTGCCTTATCCATCAAGTATCGCGTAGGTAGTTCTAGTGTCAAGCTTATCAGTCCCTCCTTACCGTAACAACATCCGGTCCATTCCCCTTTTCTCACGCGCTCTGCTGCTCATACTAACCCATGTCTGCGTAAATCTAAAAACCTTTCATTCATCGATCCAGATTGCGCCTTGCGCTGAGCCAGCAAGAACCTGTACCGATACAATTAGGCGCCGAGTAGCGCGGCAAAAATCGTCTCTTCTCCATATTTGGTAGAAACACGGCCTGGAAATGGCAACGACTTGTCATACGCTGCCCCCGAAGTCTCCTGGACGATGCTAAACGTTTCAAGATTACCCATACCGCAGTGCGCCACCTACTGCAGTCCCACTCGCATGGACGGGACATCCTCAGTCAGCTCTACCCACTGCAGGAATGTAAAACCAGACCGATCCTGGAGATCTGGCAGAGGGTCACGTAGACTTGTGTTTACAACCGAAGCAGATGCTGCTGGGCCTCGAAGAGATGTAGCTAATATAGCTCCTGCAGGGTAGTATTTCTGGACGTAATATACTGCTTTGTGCCTTCAGGCGATGCTTCTGCTTCCCGGAATGCTCTGTGACTTATGAGGAGCAGTGTCTAGCAGAACAACCTTCGAATCTGAGCTTTCTCGGAATTGGACGCCGCTGCCAAAGATCTTTTAAACCCACACTTCTCTTGATAAAGTAGAGTGGGTTTAACAGATGTTGGTCCATGGGCTCGCGGAGGCGGCGGAAGATGGGATGTCAAATTTTGACAGCAATGGCGGTCACGCAAGACAGCCTTTGTGTGATACGCTGAATCCATCGCCTAATTGGGTCTGTTGAATTGGAGGCATTCTTACTGCTAGTGTATCAAAAGTAGCAATCCACGTCTTTGTTATCGGTCTGAGAGATCGTTCTTTTGAGACAGTAGACATACATGGTGCGATGTGGCGTCTTTCGTTCAGAGTGCTATACGTTTGTCTTTGTGCATGGGGAGTATAGTCATGATCGACCGCACACACAAAGCATGAGCAACGAAAGGTGCCATATGAAGCTGCTACTCTAGTCTAGGACGTACGCACAATTAGGAAAACGTGACAAACGATATTCCTGTCTGTGTTCAATCCGCCGAGCTCACAAGAATGGCTTGAACGCGGGATAGCCACTGTCGGCGCACTTCTTTAGCTCAGCGTTATATGCACCCATACCACCAAAGAAGAAGCGCAAACATTTAACCTTGCCCGCGATGTTAGCCCCAAAAATCCAGTTCTATAGTCCTTGTTAGTTTCGTATGGTATGAGGATCAGTGGAGTGCTTAACTGACGTCTTCAGCTTTCCAAAAGAGACTGTCGGCGGCGAGGCTTTCACACAGCTGTGCCCACCACTTCTCGCCCTCATGTGTTGCCTCCACCACCTTAGTTGGCCCTTTCTCAGCTCGACCAATTGTGTCTGATACAAACTCGACTTGAGCTTCGATAGCTGGCGGTCTGGAAAAAAGWAGGTAATGATCAGTTCAATATTCCAACGAGATTCAGGGGCAATCGTTGTGATGTGGATGCCCTTCGATTCCCGACACTCCGGGTCACTCACTGGTTCGTAAAAGGACCCTTGGGACCGTTGATCATGAACAAGTTGGGAAACTCTGGTACGCATGTGCCCAGTACGCTGGTAGGACCAGCTTTGTCCCATACTTGCTTCAAAGACAACCCATCGCGGCCATGAATGGCCATGCGGGAGTAACTTCCTTCGACCGCGTCGAAGCCGGTCGCACAAACGATAAGATCGAGCTTATATAGTTTGCCATCCGAAGTACGTATTCCTTTCGCTTCAATAGTGATTGGGGTCTCCTTTAGGTTAACGATGTCAACGTTATCGCGGTTGAATTGTTCGTAGTACTTCTCGCCATTGGATGCGTTACCGTCACAGAGGGGGCGGCGAGCATAGACGTCGTGTGGTGTAAGCTTCCTTGCCTTCTCCGGATCCTTGACAGTCTCGGCGATCTTCTTACGTATGAATGCACATGCACCTTCATTAGCTTCAGGATCGACAGTAATGTCGTTGAAGGTCCCGAACATGAATCGGAATCCATTGCCCTTGTCCCAGTTGTCTTGAAAGATACGCTCTCGCTCTTCTGGACTGCAGTCGTGGTAGGAAATTTTGCCTGACCAAACGCGTTAGCGACAAGTTGGCTAATTGACAAGTGAATGTTGGACGAAACTCACTTTCTTCAAAGCCAAATGCAGTCACCGAGTTCCTTACTTGTTTCCAGATGTCATCGTAGTTCTCATTGACCCACTTGCGATACTCTGGTGAGACTTTGTCATCACCAGAAGGCACGCTGTACTGAGGGTGACGTTGAAAGCAAGTCAACGTCTTTACCTTCCTTCCAATCTCTGTTATCACCTGTGATGCCCGAGTCAGAATTGACAGWGCAAGCTTCTATGCCTGCTTATCATACCTGAACGCCAGTACTTCCCGAGCCAATGACCCCTACGCGCTTGCCTTCGACAGAGTAGTCTTTGGGCCATTTGCCAGTGTGATGGATCTGGAATAATTAGTCTCGGTGCCTCGAGACCACTGCAACTACATACATCGCCTTCGAAGGAGTTGATGCCAGGAATGTCCGGATAGTTCTGCGTCGACAGCAGTCCCAGACCAGTGWCAAGGTATCGGGCCGTGATGACTTTGTCACCAGTGACCGTAATTTTCCATCGCTGGTTGGTGTTGTCCCATTGGGCGYCAAGCAGCTGAGTATTGAACCTCATGTCTTTCCGGAGATCATGCTTATCGGTAATGTGGTTGAGATAGGCCAGAACCTCTGGTTGTTTCACGTAGTGCTCCTTCCAAGGATAGTTGGCCAGATCTTCCTTGTCCCATGAATAACGATAGACATACGACTCCGTGTCGGACATGGCCCCCGGGTAGAGATTCCAATACCTAAGGAACATATCTTAGCATCTGTGTCAATCGTTGATCAAAGGCTACTCACCAAGTACCACCCACATCGCCTGCTTGGTCGACAACCTAGACGAATTCAGTATATGTGTGTTCATTTGCTCCAGGAGGGACCAGACGCTGTGATAGGGACAACCACCACATATCGACTTTCTCTCCTGCTCGATTCCTTACCAGACACTTCAAGCCAAGATCATCGCGGAGTCTCTTCAACTGGAAGATACCCGCGAAGCCCGCCCCAATGACAACGGCGTCGTATGATTCTTGCGACATAACGAAAAGCGTGTATCTAGTTGGTTATTGCAGTCAAAGAGGAAACAAAGTACAGTAAGGAAGTGATGAGAGAGCAATGATACTCAGACGATCATGTCTCCCGAGCCGACATGCAGGCCGACTTGCAAGCCGACTTGGATGAGGGGGTGAGGGCGAATGTGGTACTCCCCTTGTAGCTCTCCTGTTCCTCCCCATCACCCGCTTCTCTCGCCATAGACCAATCATCCAAGGGTTGACGTGCCAAGGCACGATCGTCCAACAGCTGGAGGTGTGATCCAGGCGTCTAGGAAGAAGCGGAGCCGATCATGCATCCCACTTCGCAGCCGACCCGAATGAGGGGACGGGAGCTATGAGAAGGATTGCAAGCGGGATTTGTACCTCGCGGAGGTCTAAGGTTAAGCTGATCAATGCTACAACTCGAATAGCTAGCTATACCTACCTCTTACTGGAGTGCGCGCAATGTTGCTCTACCGATTTCATACCCCGAGGGAATGATGTTGAAAGGAGCAGCGGATGTCAAAGTAGAAGTAACCTACTTAAGGTTGCCACGTCAATGACATCACTCATACTTTACACGAGGGACCTCATGTCCTATTGTCCTTTGAGTTTCTCCGTGAGGGTTCAAGATATCTCCATCAGCACACAAAGGACATCATCATGGTTTCGAGGATTCTAATCACCGGCTCCTCAGACGGTATAGGTCTAGCAGCAGCCAAACTTCTCAGCGAACAAGGACACAAAGTAACTCTCCACGCCCGCAACCAAGATCGTGCCAATCAAGCAAAATCTCTCGTCCCAAAAGCGGAAGGCGTTCTCATCGGGGACCTCACAAGCATTGCCAGCACGGAAAATCTCGCAGCCGAAGCAAATGCAAAAGGTCCTTGGGACACCGTCGTCCACAATGCAGGAATCGGCCTCTCAGGCACAGAGGGACAGACTGAAGATGCAATGGCCAAAACCTTCCAGGTCAACAGTCTCGCGCCATACATTCTGACAAGTTTGATGGAACGGCCGAAGAGACTGTTATATGTTTCTTCTGGTTTGCATACGGGTGGCGATGAGAGCTTGAAAGATGTTACTTGGAAAGACAGACCATTTCAGCCTTCTCAGGCGTACAGCGATACGTATGGACGCCGTACACTGACCCTGCTATGAACACGGACTGACTGCCAACTCACAGCAAATTGCACAATGTCCTTCTGGCCAATGCAGTTGCAAGACACTGGACTGATGTCCAGAGTTGCGCGTTAGACCCCGGCTGGGTCAAGACGAAGCTGGCTGGTGATGGCGCACCTGGTACTACATCAAGTCCAGCGAAAGCCATCGCAGCCTTTGCCGCTGGTAGGAGTGATGCCGTTGGTGACCAAACGGGTGTATACTTTGCTGCCTCTCGAGGGTCGATTTCACCACATAAAGCTACACTCCGAGAGGATAAGCAAGAGGAGTACTTGAGGATTTGTTCGCATCTATCTGGCGTCGAGTTTCCAAGATGAGGATGTAATGCCAGGGATTAAGGGGCGAGTCTCGAGTTTCCCGGGTGGCTATATGATGACTCTTCGTCGGAGAAAGGTATCAATCAGCGCGATATATACCCTTGTTGGTATGAAGACTTCAACATAGGTACCTGAGGATGGCGTCCCGCTCCCGGATCCTCAACGTCATGCCAAGATGGGTCCTCCTCTTTTCAGAACAACTGCTAGTCATCCACTCATCACTCCCCGGCTTCTCCAACTTGAGTTGACCGAGCGCAGATCTCCTAGAAACCGACAGCTTTCTTGTTCTTCTTGATGACTTTTCTGAACGCGCTCTCCCTCTCATCTGCCTGTCTCTTGGCCTCACTCAATAACCTTTCGGTGATCTCCACTCCAGGCACACTCTTCTCCGTCGTCGATCCATGATACAGGCCTCCTGACTGCTGTTGTTGGGCCCTAGTACCAGCGGAAGGCGGAGGCGTTGCAGGCGGCATCACAAATTCGTTGATGTACTTGCTCGCTTCATCAACCAAAAACGCGCCCTTCTTCATTGTGGACCCGTCCTGCACCATCTGCTCCATGACACTAGGTCCACGACCAGAGTTCTCAAACTGCTGCTTGAGAGCTTCGAGATCAATCATCGGAAGCTTCGTATCGTTCTGCGGCTTGGTCGGACGGAAGCGGAGCTCTTCGGGCGTCTCCTTAAGAGCCCTTTCAAGCTCCAAGAAGCGGCACTCCAGCTCCTTGGTCAGGGCGCGAAGGTGGGCGCCTGATGGACTGACCATGCCACGATCAAAGATACGGTTGTCTTCTCCTCCGTAGTGAATAGCTGGGACTTTGCCTTGCAGCAGAGCATCGACATCATCTTTGGTGAGGTTCAATTTGAAGTCTGGCTTCCAGCTACCCCCAAAAGACGCAAGCTCCTTCGGACTGAACGTCATAGGGGTCTTGAAATGGTGGCTATTCTGGACCTTGAATAGAGCCTCCAGGCACTTTTGAAACTCTGGCGCAGCCTGCCTGAGCTCGGATATCACTTGTGCTGGCGTGAGCGTCGGGGTTGGCGGCGGCGACAGCTCGTGGGGAGACTGCAATAGCTGTACAGGCGCCTGAGGAGCAGGCGTTGGTCTCGTTGATGTCGCGAGCTTTGGTTCTTCCTTGACAACTGGCGGAGGTATATCAACCTTAGCCGCGACTTCAGGCGTGGCTGACTTCCGCTCTGGCGATGGAGGGCGACTCACGGCCGGGCTATTGTTCGTGGTTGGATTGACAGACTTCGTGGCTTTGGCTGCTTTAGAAGCCTTGTCTTTCTTGCTCTTCTTCATTCGGCTGACCACGGCTTCCTGCTCAGTCTCCCGTGCGAGCCTACTAGCTTCCGCGGCCTTCGCCTTGGCCAATTCGGCCTCTTCGAGCTGTTTCGCGCGGATTTGACGTTCCTTTTTCTGCTGACTCTTCGTTTTATCCCTCACGGGAGCAGAGCCGACCCTGCTAGCAGGCGGTGGAGAATTTGCGCGCGATTGCGATGTCGAGGTGACAGAAATGTTGTCCGACACGGAAACATGCTCGCTAGAGGGTGTACCCGGATGRTTGATGGAAGACACGCTTGGCTGCCGGGACGGGAAACGATGTGCCGCTGCGTTGGGCAATGTGACAACCGGAGCTGCGTTTGACGGAGGCACTTCAGCTTTCGGGGTGTTCGTCAAGCGGATTGTCCGAGGCGCCTTGACGGCAGGAGATGGGATTGGGCTTTCGGACAATTTGGATGTTGTTGCGGCTTGTGACAGCGCTCTAGCCGGTCGTCCAGGTGTTCCAGCATCCACGGGCGTGGCAGTGACCGRGCCAACGTGCTCCTTCCTGCTAGCAGGTGCAGGGATTTCGATCTTGCCAGGGTGTTTGCGCTTTGGAGTCTCGTTCGTGCTCGTACCTGGTATGTTGTCGGTGTTCTTGGCGTGCACAGTGGCCTTGACATTGGCTGGAGTGGCAGCAGGCGTCGATTTGGCGATCTGGGGAGAAGAGACAGGGGTATCGCCCCCAGCAGTTTCCGACGGAGCAGCCTGCTTGGTGGAGGCCTCAGCATCATGCTTCCCAGCGTCAGCAGATGCTTTAACCACACTAGCACTCTGGTCCTCACGGTCATCGTTGGCCGCGCCCTCGCCCACACTCGGGACTGCATCCTGGGACGACATAGCAATTTTGAGGTCAGACGAAGTCGTCATCCGCGAAGGCTTAGTTGGCGTCTCCTCCGGATGCGCTCTATCGTAATCGTCCTTGGATCCTTGTCTCGACGGTGTTGCTCGCCGTGTTCCTGGCGTTGCGGGTCGTAGGGGTAAGACGGGCAGTATTTGTGATACTGTTCGCCTGACACTCGCTCTGCTAGACGGGCGAGACCCTGGACGCGACGAGTTGTCTCCAAGGTCAGGCAGAGCGCTTGGTCGTGACAAGCCGGGAGGGATGATTGGTGTGCCCCGCCTGCTCTCGTGGCCTTCGAAGCCAGGCGGAATCGGGGGCGTCGACTGTCGGGATTCATCGTGCACAGCGCGCGTAGCAAAGGTCTGCTGACCTGTTGTTGACACAAGCGAAGGATATTCTGCGTTGTCTGCGAGTCATGTCAGTATTGCATTTGCATACCTTTATCTAAACCCCCTTTGCATCAATTCCATCTCTTGACATGCACGGCGGCGGCGGCGACAGCGGCGACGACGGCGTCGGTAGAAAGAAACGCTCTACGTAAGTCGCCAATGGTCTAAATTACAACAAACGTCTCTCGTCATGCGTGGCACGGGGGGTATAAATGGGTGTGAGAAGCTATCATGCCTTCCATGTGACTATCTTTTTTGTCAATCTATCAGCCACTGGAGTAGGACTGTGAGATACTCACAAGCCGTGGCATGACGAGAGACGTACAACACTCTGGTCCCACGGGACCTTGCCGACCATGTTCATGCTGGTGGCTTGCTCTCGATGCTGCAATTATCGACTCCGCTGACTAGCGACCAACACTTGGCGCCAGTTCAGATGTCTCCCCGAATACCGTAACTCCTTGCAAGAAGTCCAGCAAAAGCCGGCCGCTGAGCAGAAAAAATCAAAAAAAGAGGCAACGTCAACTCTCTCTTCCCGTGACGTGCCGCGCTATGCCGAAATGTATGCCGCACCAGTGACGAGCGCCGTTGCCACGTCTACCATCGCCCGTAGTTGCCGCCATGCATGCCAGTATTATACAACCCACCTGCAGCACCTTGACCAGCAAATTGAGCTCCCTGATGCATGCGTTGCTGAAGTAGATGGCTGCTGTGATCTAACGAGACGTCCGCTACACCCCCTCCCGAGGAGGAGGAAGTGTTAGCGTGCCTGTGCTTGTTCTTCGGCTTCTTGTTGTTCTTGCTCCGCTGATTCAAGCCTTCGGCAAAGTTGAGCGATGCATATGAGGGGACATTGCTCTGGCTGGTCTGATATGCTGCAGGGGGGTGGGAAGTGTTTTGGGGAAAGGAATATAACTCACGCTTTGCATCCGCACCGCCGCTCGACCCATCGCGGGTACCACGAGCAAACTCTCGAAGGTAGCTTTCATGCTGACCGTGACGCCCTGCACCTGCGCTGTACTGCAATCCTCCTGTTGCAAAGCCATGACCCTGCGCGAAAGTTAGGTTGCCCGTGACCGGCGGCGTGCCGGTCGTTTTGAGACCAGGAGGAGGTCCCTGAACATTGCTGGTGTGAAATTGGCCGTATGGCTGTTGATGCTGCCCGCCGAAGTGATTGCCGCCCGTCTGAGGCATCATCGAAGTTTGTTGGTTCATGAGTTTCGAGTTTGCGACTGGCTTGACAGCTGCCGACGCGGTGGCCGTATCATTGGCGAAAGAGTACCTAGACTGACCACGAGCATGTCCTGCCGGAGCATTGCTTTGCTGAGGAAAAACCGAAGGCACGGCCGATGTCTGGATATTGGAGTACGCGGCTGGGGTGCTGGGTTTGAGGCTTTGCAGAAGTAGCTGTTGGTGCTGCAGAGGGGTGAGACCACGCTCACTGCCGAGTGCCGGGCTCGAAGCTCGTCCTCCAAACGAAAAGCGTTGATCGAGCCCCGCGTCTTGCCCAGGGGGATGGATGGCGCTGTGCACATGACCCCCCAGTGGACGATCCTCCGGCTCCCCGCCTAACTGCAAGCTTCCACTCATCTCTGGATTGTCCTCCGGCTCGATGGCGGAAGGCTGCTGATAAGCCTGTGCCTCAAGCTCCATACGACGCTGCTCATCCTCACGCTCACGTCGATGCCGGCGTCTGGCACCTCCATTGCGGTCAAACAGCGGTGGGTATTCATTGATTGCGTCTCGATCAGCTTGAGATAGAGCATCCGCGGACCAGACGAAAGTGAAGTCCTGTAGCTTGAAGTTCTTGAGAAGTGACGCCAAAGGTGAAATTAGTTGGGCCCTGGGAGGGGGGGACTGTTCCGGTAATGACACTGGCTCGGGCTCAGGCTCGGGCTCAGGTTCGGGCTCTTGGGCCACGGGTGCAGGAATCGATCGAACTGGCGCTGGACTCTGTTGAGGGGTGTTCGTAGACAGACTTTCCGCACGTCCCACTTGCGGAGGTTTTGAAGCCCAACTTGCGGTTGATGGCAACGCTGGACGTTCCAAGGTGGGACTTTGTGATTGATCTCCGCTGCCCTGTCGTATCATTGGCTGTGCAGCGACTGGTTGTTGTGATTGCGGAGGCGGCGGTCGTCCTGATCCATGTTGGCCGGCGTTTAGAGCTGAAAGGTCGGCGCGGGAATAACTCTCGTTCGCCTCGCCAGGCTCGTGGAGAAACATGCAGTTTCGATTCGTGCAAGTCTCGCCGCGTAGATACGCCGAGCAGTATTTCGTGGTGCCATGTTGCGCACGCAGAGTCCGCTCGCCGTTCTTCGAACCGTCCACCGCCGCTATGCAAGACGCGGCATCCTCTTTCCGCTCGTACGTTACGTACACGCCGATAGAGTGCGGATGTGACATATCCTTGGCCTTGCTGACGACAATTTTGATGATCTTGCCATATTGTCCAAAGTATTGTTCGCCACGCAGCGTCTGCAGCAGCTGGTCTTCCTGCGAGTTCGGGCTCAAACCGGTCACATAAACCAAGTTCTTTTGTACGACACGCATTCCAGCTAGATGCTTGCGACTGAGATTGTCGGCTTCGGCCTTTTGCTTTTCCTTTTGGAGGGCAGCCTGGGTCTTCTTTTGCTTTTGCGCCTGGCGAGCTTTGTGTGCCGCAGTCTCCTCTGGGGTGATGAGTTTGTATTCGATGTTTTCGTCGCTGTACGGCCGCCGGCATGCCGGACACAGGCCGTTCATGTTGGTCTTCACATTGTGATAGCAGAATTGGCAGATCTGGGAGACATCAGCACGTCTCCCTTGAGGGGCGAGAGGGGACGATGGAAACGCACCTGATAGCCACATGGACACGGTCGGAAGCCTTGATCTGTGAGATCAAACTCCTCGACACACAGCGGACAAGTTTCCTCCTCGTCATCATCGATGAACTGGTCGTGAACGGCTCTTGACATGGCGCGTGATGTGCAGAAAGTCCGTTTGACGGCGCGGCGGAGAACGAAGCGCGAACGGTGGAAGAGGAGCAGCGGRCCAGGATGTAGAAAGCAGCAACGACGGAGGATTACGTCGCAGGAGATGGCGCGGTAGTGATGGGGAAGATGCGGGCCGCGTGGTGTTGATGGAACAGCAAGATGAAGTCGAAGTGTGAGGTGGAAGTCGTGCAGACGGGGAAGGGAGAGCGAATCAGCTAAAGTTAGCGGTTCTCTAGCTCGAGGTCACGAAGTACCACCGGACAGCGATCACACCTCCGCTGCCCATTGACGACACGACGACCTGCACTACGACGGCTGCGATTCCTCCCGCCTCCCCTCACCCCGCCCATCCCCCTCCGCCACCATGGCTTCGCGATCCGCGTCGCTCGTCCGTCCAATGCGTGCGGCCGTCCGCGCTGCCCGGAGCAGCAACGCCGCCGCCTCGCCCGCCACCACCGTGGTGCGGGCATTCAGTGCCTCCGCCAGCCGCGCAAAGGAGCTCGCAGGAGACATTGGAGCACTGCCAAACATGCGTCACGCACAGCGGAACCCCGTGGGCCCTCTAAAGGTGCGTCAACTGGAGCCACATCCCAGGCAGATTGTGCCCTTGTTCCTCCAATGCTAAGCGATGCGAAAGGTGCCCATTGTGAATCCTGCCGACCAGTATGAGGAAAAGGCCCAGAACCTGCACGCTTACGGACAGTACTTGATGTCTGCACTGCCAAAGTACATTCAACAGTATGTCCATCACATGTGAAGCGGCATCACCATGTTGGTTCTGACAAGACTGCCCAGATTCTCCGTGTGGAAGGACGAGCTGACCATCTACATCTCACCCTCGGGCGTCATTCCGACCTTTTCCTTCCTCAAGTACCACACCGCTGCCGAGTTCACCTGCGTGGCTGACATCACTGCTGTGGACTATCCGACCCGCGATCAGCGCTTCGAAGTGGTTTATAACCTTCTCTCCGTCCGCCATAATGCCCGGATCCGCGTAAAGACTTACGCCGATGAAGCCAGCCCTGTCCCGTCCATCTGTAGCCTGTACGACGGCGCCAACTGGTATGAGCGCGAGGTGTACGACATGTTTGGAGTCTTCTTCGTCGACCATCCCGATCTGCGCCGCATCATGACCGACTACGGMTTCGATGGCCACCCACTGCGAAAGGACTTCCCTCTAACGGGCTACACTGAGATCAGATATGATGAGGAGAAGAAGCGCATAGTGGTCGAGCCGCTTGAGCTGACTCAAGCTTTCCGGAACTTTGAGGGCGGCACAGCAGCGTGGGAGCAAGTTGGTCCTGGGCACGATCGTAAACCAGATACAGTGAGTACCATGAAATCAGATGAAAGTTCTCCTGGAAGCCTGTCTAACAGTGGCACAGTTCAAACTACCAACACCAAAGCCGGAGCCACCGAAGGAGGACGAGAAGAAGAAGTAAGAGGCAGTGATGTATGCTGTAGAATATGCTGTACATACCCCATCGAAAATGACAAAAACAAGGCCAGATTGGTCAATCCTAGAACGTCAGCAAAAGTTTGGGTTGTGCTGAGGATAGATCCATGGCTGCTAAGGAGGATGGATGGCCCTCGAGATTCTCTCAGGCTGCTCAGCGGCCACTTGCTGCTCCGAGACATGTCGATCAAGCATTTCGTGAAGGGGCGTTCGGTTGCGACAACCCATGTTGCTGTATACTCGATCTCAATTTGGAGATGAAGTTCCGATGACCCACTTAAATTTCTCCATCCTTCCAGACCTCACTAATTGAACTGCAGAACTGTCCACATCCACAAATACAATTAGGACATAGTCCAGCAACTGCACATATACTGCAACATATAGGACCCGCCTCATTCCTGCCACCCAGTACTACTGACTCTGATATCAACGAAGCTTGTTCAATTAGCCCGGAAACGTTCACAGACAAGCAGCTCGCACGGCATCTTTAAGCAATGCCCGAAAGAGAAGAGCTCACCTCCCGCACTCTCCCTTTTATGAAACTGTCCGATGGCTCTGAAGCATCCATGACCGGACCACCAGCTCCTCTTCCGCACTATCTGAATGCCGAAGGACGCTCAATGGCTCGATTCGCAGTCGAGGGAAACATAGTCGGTACAACAAACTCTTCATACTCAAGTGTATGAGAGAAATCACTAACTCGAACATCTAGTCACTGGAGGCGCAGGAACCCTCGGCCTCTCTGCCGCTCGCGCCCTCCTTGAACACGGCGCATCTGGAGTCGCCCTGTGGGATCTAGAATCCACTCTCCGAACCTCGCAAACCTCCATTCTAGCCCTCGCAAAAGACTTTCCTTCCACCCGCATCTTCGGTTTAGCAGTGGATGTCACAGATGTCTCTGCCATATCTCAAGCCGTGGACTCCGTAGTGAAAACTCTCGGCTCCATCGACCACTTGTACTGCTTTGCAGGAATCGTAGGTTGTGTCCACGCCATCGAAATGACAGATTCTCAGTGGCGTAAAACTCTCGATGTCAACACCACTGGAGCATTCCTCTGTGCACAAGCTGTTGCGAAGCAATTCATCGAACAGAAATCCGGGGGCACGGTTACTCTTATAGCGAGCATTTCAGCTCACCGAGTTAATTACCCACAAGCGCAGATAGCGTACAATGTGAGCAAAGCTGCTATTGTGGCGATGAAGGCTAGTTTGGCGGCCGAGTGGGCCGTACATGGGATCAGAGTCAATTCGATTTCGCCAGGGTACATGGATACGATTTTGAATGCTGGAGATGGAAACATTGCCGAGGCACGAGCGAGTTGGGCGGAGCGGAATCCGATGGGGAGGATGGGATCTGTGGGTGAGTTGGACGGAGTTTGTGTGCTACTCGGGAGTCGGGCGGGCAGTTACATCAATGGGGCGGATATCGTCGTTGATGGTGGTAGCACGGTTTTTTGAAGATGTCCTTTGAGTCTCCATACATATGGCCCCTCGGCCTGATCGATATATGAGAAGTTTTCTTTTCAAGACTGAACTCGACAATGGCTCCTGACGCAGATGTTGTAATGTCCACAAGACCGGCCTCGAGCAGGAAATGCAGCTCCGCCTTCCAATGCCCGGATGAACTGGAGGATTCCGATCAACCCATACCAAAGCCCTCACTTCCATATCGCAAGGCGAGGCTCAACTTCTCCGACATAACCTTCGTAGATTCATATCGAGGCAAATCCAACATCCCAAAACACGTATGGCTGGTAGGTAGGAGGTCAGGGTTATCCGCACGTCTTATCTTGAACACAAGCTGGCCCGTACCACTGATGGGAATCCTTTCCGCAGCGGTGACGAATTTAAGCAACTGCTTCTGCTTGGTGTGCGAMCATCCCGCAACCTCGCGCCAAAAACATTGAATATAATCCTCGGTATCATCATAGTCCGTGTAAGTTGTCGTGGCCCGCAGCTGTTTGATATCCAGATGGTCTGTTCCTTCGGTATATGCTTTGAGCGTTCTGGCAGTAAACAAGTGCTTCAGGGCATGGTGAGGGAAAAGATCTGCCGATCTAAACCCCTCCAGTACTGCGAAAAGCTGAGGCGCCACGGATGTGTAAGTAAACCAGAAGGCCTTCTCTCGAATATATCGGCTTTTGTTGGCCGATGTTACCTCTTCGGCATCAATTTGAGTCTTTTGGAGAGTCCATCCGGCCCAGCTGATGTTGTCCACTTCGAACTYGGCAGGATGATGAGCGACGACCTGAAGAATTGGAGACACCAAGCAGCCCTTCTGAGATGGATATACAACGCCCTCTGGAGTGTCCTGTCGTGGGGATAGCACAGACATGTGCAGGCCGTTCGCTTCCATATCAAAGGTAAAGTCGAGCCCTTCAAGGTCTTCGTCAGACAGCCCTCGAAGCGATTTTGCGATTTCAGGCCATCCGTCCTCAAGTATGTGAAGGTCGCTGCCATCCGGCGGCACTCCTTCAACCAGCATGTGGTAGAATGCCGTGGGCATGGTGATAGGAAGGGCTATCCCGTTATACATAGCCAGTGCCAAAAGTGTGCCAAAGTGTCTGAAGAAGACCAGTGGCTGCGAGCTGCCAGCTTTGAAATAGCTGCATCCGGTCCTTGCCTCCGTGGTGAACATGTCGGCCYGCTCATCCAGCAGTTGCCGGCACAACAAGTTGAAGAACTCCATCTGAACACCTCCAAGATCCTGTCCGACCTGCAGCTCGCCAACCGTACCAAGCCGAACGCGCAAAGGGCGACGTAGCTCGCCCTTGCGACGGTGCCATAGTTGATCAAATGTATCCTTCAGCATGTTATTGCGACTCACACTCAGGAGGAGACAGTTCTCCTCCTCTTGAATTTGTTGTTCATTGAGATCCTGGGCACCCACTTCAGCCACCTTCTCGCGAACCCTCCTAGCTTGAAGGACTAGTCGATGCGCCTGACTGGAGGTCCGTCAGTACCAAGCTCAATTATTGATTCAGTAACTCATACATACCTCATGACCAGGTGATTGATCGACCGAAATATGAGATAGAGMTGGTCGTCAGAGAAAAGAAATCGATACGATAAGACATGAGGTGCATCTTTCTCCGAACGAGACACCCATGCTTGCGAAATTTCGGTCACACTCACGTGCAAAGTAATGAGTCGGAAGACAAAGATCTCTGTCCGAGTATACGAGAGTGAGACCAGCTCATCATGTAGGCCACGAATAAGCTCCAGTATAGCGTAACATGTTTTGCTCTGAATGACCGGGTTCGCATTCCACTGCTGAGCGAACAGCTTCTTGAGCCAGATAGTGAGCGCAACTCCTTTCTCCACTGGGGCATCTTCAACCACCAGACGAGACGCAATCATGGTACAGATATTTGCTCGTGGACCACACCAGCCGTCTGGCTTGGCCAGGTGCTCTACCACGCATCGTTTGGCGACAACGTTGCAAACGCTCCTCAAAAGCCTCATGTACGGAGCATGATCCAGAACATCCAAGATAGCCAACCAGGTGTTGTAGCTGTTGTCAGCGGGCTTGCTGCTCGAAAATTGAGGATAGGCATTGCCCGGGCTGATAACCTCTGCATCCACCCAATACCACGGTGCCAGGCGCGTCAAAGGAGCCTTTTTAAGAAGCCAGTCAAGACAATGGCCGAGAACATCTGCGAGGATGGTGTTGGTGACAAACTCTCTTCCGGGTAAGTGGGCAGATCGCTCATGTAAAGGGTAAAGCTTTTGATGGAAATCCTGAAGCTGCTTGAACTCGACATTTTGCGGCTCGTATGTAGGGTCGGAAGACACATAAAAATGCTGAACCTGTAAGGTATTTAGCTCCACCTGATCAGTATGCCACATGGCACTCTCGCCGGACCGTTGCCCTAAGCACCCATCGTACTAAGCGCGACGAGGCAGAAATTCTGTTGACGTACAGTGGGAGTATCTATCAACTGCTGCACGAGAGAAGAATCGTCCAGTTCAGCGTCGGGTTGCACTGATGGTGCCTGTCCGCCGCAGTCATAGTACGGGCACAGATAAGACTTCGGCCTCGGCCCGCTACATATGGCAAAGGCAATAGCTCGAGCTGCTCGGGATGTGAGACGTCGGATAGGTCGTGGTGTAGTGTTGAGACGGCCAGTAAAGCACTGCGTCGCGGTACATTCTGCGTTTTCACATCCTCTGACAAGCTGTCCGACATATCTACATGGTGTTTAGCAAGAAAGACGATTTGAGAAGGGAAATTTGAGTCTACCTTACCTTGAGAGCAGAGCCTGAACATCGCCCGCAGTCGTTCCACCAATTTGGCTAGGGCTGGTCTCCATGATGAATATCGCTGCTGTGGGTATCGGCATGGACGAGCAAGATGATTGGCACGGACACTAGGTTGGGACGGTCACGGACATAAGAGTGATCGCGTGACCAGGAGCGAGTGCATGATCCACTGCACCTGCTGATGGGATATCAGAATACTGCGATGTTTTCGAACTCATCCATTTCGGGAAGTTGCGGCGGGAGAGGAGCGAGAAGCAAGAAGCGGGAATCCACAAAATGTGTTCGCTCTCCTCGGCATATTCGGGGACCAGGGTCGAAGCTCCGATGTATATATCCCTCGCGGCGCAGCCAAGTGAATGGCAACAAATGTGATGATAGTATGCCGTCAATTAAGGTAGACTAAAGGTTGACATGGGAGACGTCTTTGGGAGGTACGGAGTACCTTACGTCGGAACTCTCCTGGTTTTTTGATCGACCAGTCTAACCCTCTTTAGGGCTCGAGCTCGGACCTTCACTACCTACATCGAAAAAATCCTGGATGCGTCTTCAAAGTTCACGACAACCCACAATTTGGTGACCGAATGGCAATGGCAGAAAAACGCGTTCTTCCAGAGAAGGTGGCGGCTATGAAGGCCAGGAAGCGCCAAAAAATGAGTGAGCCCTCGGCGAAGCCAACGAAACCAGTACCCAAAAAGCGCAACGCCGATGTCAACAGCCTGGCATGGAGGCAAGTGTCTTTGCCGGATCGTATGGTAGATGTCGAGGGCTTGAATGGTGGCCTCGAAGAAATCGATGACGTGGAAGTAATCCGAGTCGGTGACAAAATCACTTTCCATGCCAAGTCAGACGCTGCGATCGCAACACCCCAGGAAACTGATTTGGGCGGTGACGACGGCGCGTCGTGGTCTGGATTCGACGATGAGCCTGCTGAAACTACAATCACGGACTCTGCAACTGAGAAGCAGCAGAAGGTACCCAAGACGAAAGCAAAGGCAAAAGCAAAACCCAAGAAACCCGTCAAGGGAGTGAAAGCGCAAGCAACGGCCCCMGGCGTATTCGATGCATTAGCAAAAGAGGATTCCGAATCCGTCACTGATGTGTCTGCATGGAAGCCGCTGAAGTTATCCCCGGATACCATGGCAGCGTTGCTCGCAATGAAGTTTCCAAAACCCACTCCGATTCAACAGTCAGTCATCCCAGAAGTCTTAGCGGGCCACGATGTCATAGGAAAGGCATCTACGGGATCTGGTAAAACTCTTGCATTCGGTATCCCAATCTTGGAACGTTTCCTAGAGGCTCCCACGGATGGTGGAGGTAAACGCGTCAAGAAGGCACCGTTGGCGTTGGTGCTTTCGCCGACCAGAGAACTTGCTCGCCAGCTGGACGACCATCTTGCATCGCTGTTCTCGGGATGTATTTCTAGAAAGCCATGGATAGCGACATTGACCGGAGGACTGTCCATGCAAAAGCAGCAGCGTCTTTTGAAAGATGCAGACGTCGTAATTGCCACTCCGGGACGTTTGTGGGATATCATCAGCTCCGGGAAGGGAGTTGCCGATGCTCTCAAGCAAATTGACTTTCTTGTTCTGGACGAAGCTGATCGCCTATTAAGTGAAGGGCAGTTCAAGGAGTTGGAAGAAATCTTGAACGCTTTAGACAGAGTGGATGACAACGGCGAAGACGAGCCGAGTGCAGAGGAGGATGTTGATGGACACGTATCACCGGATGTGACAGAGCGGCAGACTTTGGTATTCTCGGCCACATTCGATCGTGGGCTGGGAAAGAAACTAGTTGGAAAGGTCAATCGCAAAAAGAATCTTGGAGGGGACAAAGAGTCTGTGGAATATCTGCTCTCAAAACTCAATTTCCGCGAAGAGGCTCCTAAATTCATCGACGTCAACCCGGTCAACCAGATGGCGACAGGATTAAAGGAGGGGCTGATCGAGTGTGGCGGAACTGAAAAAGATCTTTACCTCTACGCATTACTCCTCCTCAACCCAACAAGCAGGGCGATTGTCTTTACAAATTCGATCGCGGCCGTGCGCCGAATCACCCCATTACTACAAAACCTCGAGGTGAATGCAGTTGGTCTTCATTCTGGAATGGCGCAAAAAGCTCGCATGCGATCATTGGAACGCTTCAGCAAAGTCTCTGAGAGCGGTAAAGGCTCACCGTGTGTGCTCATTACAACTGACGTGGCGGAGCGTGGTCTTGACATCAAAAACGTCGACTTGGTAGTACACTATCATCTTCCGAGGAAAGCCAATGGCTACATTCACCGGTCTGGTCGAACAGCGAGAGCCGGGAAAGTGGGTTCCTCGATTCTCATCTGTGCTCCGGAGGAGGTTGCTGGTACTAGACGATTGGTCGCCGAAGTGCACGCTAAGGCTGCCATGGGTAAAGATACGTCCGATGCGAAGAAACAGGGGCACTTCATTCGTACGCTGGACATCGACCGCCGCGTGGTCTCAAAACTAAAGGAGAGGGCGACACTGGCAAAGAAGTTGGCTGATGCTGAGATTGCTAAAGCCACACACCACAAAGAGGACGACTTTATGCGCAAAGCTGCAGAGGAACTGGGTGTGGATTACGACAGTGAGGAGTTTGAGAAGGAGGCAACTGGAAAGCGAGGCCGTGGAGGAGGCCGCAAGAAGAAGGAGCGAGAAGCGCGTGAGCTCACAAAGGCTGAACTCGGCGCGATGAGAGCGGAGCTCAAGGATATGCTCAGGCAGCGGGTCAATGTTGGTGTTAGTGAACGATACCTCACAGCAGGTCACGTCGACATTGATGAGCTGCTTCGACAGCAAGATGCGGGAGCTGGGAAGAGTGGGGAGTTCTTGGGGACTGTTGGTCATTTGGGGTTGGAAGATCTCTGATACTATCCTACTTCTTATCCAAAGTCAAGCCATCCAGACCGCCTTCAAACTCAGAGACATCATACTCGTTGGGATACTTTTGGATGATCTTCCGCAAGGCATCCATCTGTTCCCTCTGCTCTTCAGTGGGCTCCGCGTACACATCGCTCATCATGTTACCGAGCCGCGGCTTCTTCTCCTTTTCGGCTTTCCGGTACGCAGTCAGTACATTCTTTCGCGTATCAGCCCGCAATTCTTTCTCTTTGCTCTCATCCCAGATGCCCTTGCCCTCCATCCATTTACGTAGACGAGTAATGGGGTTGTCTCTTCGCTTCCAATCCTCGACTTCTACTTTCGCACGGTATGCAAAGGAATCGTCAGATGTGCTGTGGTGGGAGACGCGGTAGCTCATCGCTTCGATCAAGACGGGTCTACCACCGTCCTGCAGTGCCWACTCCCTTGCACGTCTCGTCACCTCGCGCACAGCAAGGATATCATTGCCATCCACTCGGATCGTGTCGATGCCATACCCCACCCCACGAGATGCAATTCCATCCCCACGATATTGTTCCAAAGTCGGCGTGCTGATCGCATATCCATTGTTGCGGCATATGAACAAGACCGGGCATGATCGTGTGGCGGCGATGTTCAGCGCCGCATGAAAATCGCCCTCCGAAGCAGCACCTTCGCCGAAATAGCATGCAACCACCCGCGGCTCCTCGTTGGGGTTTTGCTGATTTTGCATCTTCACGGCATACGCCGCACCAGATGCGTGGGGTATTTGAGTGGCCAGCGGACTGCTGATTGTGTGAATGTGATATTTTGTACTTCCATAGTGGACAGGCATGTTCCTACCAAGGCCAGGATCGTTTTTGGTTGCGAATAATTGGCTCATGAAGTCGTCGAAAGTGAACCCACGATGTTGAAAGATTCCGGTTTCTCGATATTGTGCGAATATGGGATCTTTGGGGTTGAGAGAGCTTGCACTGCCAACGGCAATTCCCTCTTCGCCAGCAGAAACCATGTAGAAGCTCACGCGTCCTTGTCGTTGCGCGTCAAACATGATCAGGTCCATGACAGAGACACTGACCATGTCCTTGTACAATCTGATTGCTTCCTCATCACTGATATCGGGCTGCTCTTTCTCAATCACCACGCCGTCCTGGTCCAGTACACGATATGTGGGCATTGCATCGTCTTCGCTGGCGCGGGAGAAGCCCAGGGATGTGGTGAACCTCGAGTTGACAGCTCCGGGGAAACGAACGCTGCACAACTTGTCAGTACGGTGAAGGAAAGGCCCTTCTGAGGAGAAGGTACACACCGATCCGATCCTGGTTTCTGCGAAACGGAACTCCATCTTCGCTGGCAACCTGAACAAATCGATCCGTTGTTCGGTCTTTTGAGAGCGCCCTGGGCGAGCAACACCCTGTCCAGAGCCGCCGCTGATCTTCTCATTGCCATCTTTGACATTGTATTGCGCGTTGTGATTGCATGCGGCGGGACCGGAGAGCAATGCCTCTTCTTGCATACSAAGAAGTGGTGCCCCGGCGCTTAACGCCGGCATTAGCTGGGCGATTTCTCCACGTTGTCGGCTCTCCAGATTTGAATTTCGAGCTCGGATCACCTTGATCAGTCAGCTGTCGATCGCTCAAGATTCAGAAGAGTGCAGTCGAGGCAGTCTTGTTCTCCATCATAACTCCATACGTCTTTGACGGGCCAACTGTGTTGAGAATGATGCTCGTCAAAGGCTCCAACCCCGATCTACTCGTGCCAGTCCCACAGTGCATATGGATCCAGCTTACGTGTACTGTCGACGACGCGGCTAGGACACCACACTCTTGTTAACCGGCAGTGGCATGTTGGAAACCGTTCCAGTCGTTGTGAAATGGTATCCAACATGCGGTGCGAATCGCCTCTTTGCAGACTGAGTACGCTCAGCTAGCGATCCCCAAGGAATTGCCAACGAAGAAGGCTTCACACGTCTCATCTTAGGACCGAGCATGTGCATCAAGGTCGCGCCTAGCGTCCTGCACATATAAACAAATCATGAGACGGAAAGATTTGAGGGAGAGCTGTAATCAGGCTCCAGATGTCAGCTTTCGTTCTGAACGGTTGTCCTGAACAGCTGCTGGCTGTACCAATCAGTAGCCGCCCATCCTATGGCTTGTATACGGCTGACTGTGCTTGAGCTGGAGGTCATCTTATAGTTTCACGGCGTACATCGAAGCAGTTGCATCAGTAATCATTGGCAAACATGTCGTCAAACTTGTAAGACAAGAGCCAGGCGAGACTACGACCGCAGTCTATAAGAGATCGCAGTCCAGCCGTCTCCAACACCATCCTCACTCCGGCACCAAACGGATTCGACTACCATACACTGACAAAGTTTAACATGGCAGAGCTTCCTCCCCGCGTCCAGGGCTTCCTAGCCAACAATGAGACATGGTCCAAGAAGCTCCAACCTTTTCCGACCATGAAAGAGCTTCGACGTGCCGCTTTCAGTGGCGAGCGAAAGGGCATTCTCATATGTTAGCATCGATCGGCTACAGGCTTTGAAAAAGCAGCTAATGGGTGCAGTGACTTGCCTCGATCCTCGTTGCGTCCCTGAACAGTACTTTGGCCCAAACATAGGCGCTGCGGTCATCAGGAACGCCGGAGGGCGAGCCAACGACGATGTCGTGAAGAGCGTGCTGTTGCTCAGGTCATTGGCTGACGCTGATGTTCTTCTCGTTGTTCACCACACCGGTGTGCCGCCAAGACAAAGATGCTGACCATGGAGCGTACTGACACATCTCCGTAGATTGCGGCGTGATGCATCTCACCCAGCGGCAGATCGTAGAAGAGGCAAAGAAGCGCACACCACAAGCCGCAGACAGAATTGTATCTCTGGGTGATTATGGCTGTTTTACGGAGAAGGAGCTGGAGCAATCTATCAAAGAAGATGTGCTGAAGCTTAGGGCAGAGAAAGCTCTTGAGGGCGTGCAGGTGATCGGGTTCACGATGGATTTGAATGACGGCATCGTCAGACAGGTTAACGTTTGACAGGAATTCGTGTACAACGAAGTGATGGATCTGATGATTGTCGTGATGTAGTCGATACGTAAAGTACTTTAACATTCATTTCGCGCTAGCAACTCAAAGTCGTACCTGAACTCAGAAGCGGCCAAAAAGTTCCCGCAGCTTTCGTTCACACAACATCAACACCAACATGTCAATACAAATTCCTCACGCGGCGAAACGCCTACGATTGGCTAGCCAGAGGAGCTGGGTATGCTCAGAATGTAGCAGAAGGACGTTCGCATCTACGACATGGCGAGGACAGCAGCCACAGCAGCCACAGGAGCGGCCAGGACAAGACAAGACGACACATTTCGGATTCGAAACCGTGGCCGAATCAATGAAGGCATCGAAGGGTGTGATTTGAATGCATGTGTTCGCGTATAGACTTGCTAATACCCTGATTAGTGGGCGCCGTCTTCTCGTCCGTGGCGAGCACATACGACACGATGAACGACCTCATGTCTCTCGGCATCCACAGACTATGGAAGGACCACTTTGTGCGCTCGCTCAACCCTGGAGTTCGTACAATCACATCGCCGAACGCGCAGAAAGGGCAGAGGATATTGGACATTGCTGGTGGCAGTGGTGACATTGCCATTCGCATGCTTGACCACGCCACAAACATCAACCGAGACCACCACACACACGTAACGATATCCGACATCAACCCCGACATGCTCGCGGAAGGCCGAAAGCGCCTGTCTGCCACGGCATATCAGAGCGCCGGTCGAGTGGATTACCTCGAAGCAAACGCAGAAGAGCTGGATGCGATTGAGAGCAATAGCATCGACCTATATACTGTCGCCTTTGGCATCCGCAACTTCACGCACAAGGATCGCGCTCTTAAGGAGGCGTTCCGGGTTTTGAAGCCGGGAGGCGTGTTCGCGTGCCTGGAATTTGCGCCGCAACTTTCCAATCCAATCATGAATGGCTTGTATAAGAGATGGTCGTTCAGTGCAATTCCGTTGATTGGACAGATCGTGGCTGCTGACCGCGACAGCTACCAGTATCTCGTGGAAAGCATTGAAAAGTTCCCATCGCAGCCGGAGTGGGCGAAGATGATACGAGAAGCAGGGTTCCTAATCCCGGGGCATGACAATGGAGAAGGTCCATTGGAAAGCGGTTGGGAGAACCTGAGCATGGGAATCGCAGCGATTCACAAAGGCATCAAGCCGTTGTAGAGTAGAGCAAAGTTTGAAAGCTGGAGAAATTGCGGCATTGACAGCGATTCGGAGGCGTGTCTGACAACACCCCGGATTTATTTTTATTACATGTGAACGCCGCCCAACAAAGAACAGTGATCACTGATCGCGAGGTTCTAGCTACAAGCGTCGAAAGTTCACAACAGCTCCTCCGCACATATACGTACTCTTTGCTTTGAAATACATTGTCKGGAACCTACCAACCGGCTCTTCTGCCAGTGTCCAATGAACGCCGGGTTTGCCGTCCTCCTTTATCTGTTCTACGATCCTAGCTACACAACTCCATTCCTCAACCACTGGCGCAAGGCAACCGGACCACGCCCACTGTTTTCTAGCTCCCCGAAGACGTGACACTAGCTTTCCCAATTCCCTGCTCGCGCACGCCCGATCTCCGGAATCTAGCCCATCCCGATTGTGAACTTGTATACACCAAATATCGATGATGACGCCCTTGATGCGATTACATATGAGTTGAACGTACCTCCCGCCCCACAGGACGTGCGCGCTACGGCCGCTCGGAGTACTACCGTGTTTCTTGTTATCATCATCCGAGTAGAAACATACATCTTCCTCATCGAACCTGGTTGACTGCTTGCCCTGAACACGTGCCTCCACCCGAACCAACAACTTATCTCGAATTTTTATCGTTCAATACGCCAGGCACCAGCTTCTGCTTTTTTCCTTCTCCGGTTCCTTGGACAATACTTGAAATATGGCCGTGGCTTCACCCCGACCAGCGAAGAGGCAGAGGATTTCTGGCACGATTAGTCCAGTAACCCCGTTATCGCCCGAAGACGAAGGACTCGAACTTGGTCGCCTTGCAGGCAGCGGCGGCAGCAGCAGACTCTTGGACCGAGCCATTGAAGTTCTCCGTGTGGAGGCTGACGCTCTCGCCAAGGTAGCTGATTTGTACACGAATGATGTCCGCGCCAGGAATGGATTGGCCGCCGCCGTGGATGCGATCGTCAAAGCGCAGGAATTGGACGGCAAAGTCGTCATCTGCGGCGTTGGAAAGTCCGGCTACAYTGCCCAAAAGCTGACAGCGACTTGCAAAAGTCTGGGAATCAGCGCCTCTTTCTTACACGCCAGCGAAGCCGTACATGGAGATTTGGGCGACATCCGGAAACGGGATGTGCTACTGTTCGTCTCTTTCAGCGGGAAAACGCCGGAGCTGCTCAACATCCTGCCTCATATCCCCGAATGTGTTCGATTGATTGCGATGACTTCTCACCATGATCCCATGCAGTGTCAGCTTTTGGCCAAACAGAAAGATGGAATTCTGCTCCCAACGCCTATTCCCGTGCCGGAGGAATCTTCCTTTGGAGTCCGAGCACCTACTACCTCAACTACGGTGGCACTCGCTGTGGCAGACATGTTGGCCCTCACCATCGCCGACGAGCTTCACCGAGAGAATACAAAGTCTGTTTTCTTGCGCAATCATCCCGGTGGTGCGATCGGGATGAATCACCGAGAGCTGGGGGAACTTCAACAGGCGAAGAATGATGTTTCTATTGTCGAGCTGCCTAGCCCGAGCATTTCTGCGGAAAGCGAAGACTGAACTTAATGATACGGCCGAAAGGAATGAATGCTAAATGGTGCTGTTTCCGGCACGGAGGATCGAGCAATTTTGTCCCACCTATTTCCTGCATGTGCAACATGCGCATGAGACAGCAACAGAGGATGTCGAACGTAGTTAGAGGCCCAACGCAATCCTCCGCCAGCACTGCTCGATATCTTCGCACAGAGTCGTGAATGATGGATCCTGCAAATTGTCGATCATAAACTGGTCTAGAGCAGTTTGTCTTGCCTCTGGTGTCTGCGACGTGTATTGATACAAGGTCAATTCATTCGACTCGTTTGCTGAGGGCATGATCGCCGCGTTACAGCTTGCGTCATCTCCACTGTGCCCGCCTGCGTTGGGGTAACGAGTTGCTCTCGGGATGGCAGCCGGATTCTGCGCTTTGGCGAGGGGCGGAGATTCAACCTCGTGTGGTGCATCCATTGTGCTGTCCATACGTGCTCTGACAACGGACTCTCGGCTGTTCTTAAACACGAGTTCCTTCATTGGCGCCGTGCTTTCAGAGCGATGATCACTCTCCGTGTGGGTGGATTTGTGGGTGGATTTGTGGGTGGATTTCGAAGCAGCGAAAGCAAGGTTGCTCTGCACGGGAAGTCGCATGGTCTGTGTAGGGTCAAAATCATCATCGAATCTGTCACTTGTGCGACCTTGGGCAGAGCTGGCAGTCTTCGGCCGTTCTTGCGCCGATAACTTAGCCTTCTTAGAAGGCGGTTGAGGCAATGCTGATCCCGGCGACGAAGTGCTGACATTACCTTTACCACCCCGACTTGATGGTAGCTTGAACGGTAGTTCACGGCGTGGTGGAATTTCGTGTTCCAGCGTGTCGTGCATGGTGAGCGAAGAAGTAGATGGCATGGAAACGGCAGATGAAGGACGCTGATTGCTTGAAGCTTTGAATGGCAGCACTCTTTGTGGCGGAATCTCATGCTCCAGAGTGTCCGGAAATATAGACGTCGCCGACGTCAATGAAAGAGCGGTCGAAGGTCGCAGATCTGTGGAGTCTGATGATGGAAGATAAGCATGGGATTGGAATACGCMCAGACGCTCTTGTTGCGGTAGAGCCTCTGCACTTCCATCTGGGCCTGGCCCCAGAAACTGGAAGAATGGCTCGGCTGCGTGCTGAGCAATTCCCGAACTGGCATTTCCTTGAGTTAACGCGAGATTCGAGCATGCCTCCCAGCTTTGTTGGACGTCATGGACCTCAGACACAATCGGCCGTGAAGGCTCAGATCGTCTCAGCTGGGCTGAGGATGGTCGGCAGGATAAGTCTCGCTCCGGAGCAGTTAATCGACTGGCTTTATGGGTGGACGGTATAGCATTGGCAAGCGGTCTTTGCGAGAGGCTACCAGCTTCCAGGTCGGGAATGTGGAATGGGCTTGGTTTGGGCAATGAGGGCTTTTGGTTTTGTTGCGAGACTTGCGAGATGCTTGTGGTGAGCGGCCTAGCATCAACTTGCATCGAGTTTGGGCGAGTGGAGGATGTGTCGGTCCGAGCTGTGTTTGGACGCTGGTGCGAAAACTCCATGCCTCGCTTCGAGAGAATACTCACGATGTGCTGGCATTCTTCGGCGCTCTTCAACCGCAACTGGATCCGTCGAGCCTGAGCTTGTCAGTCAGAGTTCGGAGAGAGGCATACTTCAAATTTCAGGCACACCTTGTCATCGAGTTGATATCGCAGAGCCAAAGTTGGCTCCTTCGTAATACCAAAAATGGCCAACTCTTCAATCTTGAAGGTCGTTCCGGCGCGCATCTTGTTCTCGCGAAAGCGACTAGAAGCGTCAATGTATTCAGCGACGTTGACACGTTCCTGTTTTGAGCATCAGCTCTTAGATCTGGCCTTGAGAGTGATTACGGAACCTACCAGGAGCGTCGTCCCTTGGAATATGTCCATGCGAAGGGACGCATTGCTATACCGGCTGTCGTCTCCTTCGAGAACCACCTGTATGTGTGATCCAGAGATGTGAGTCCACTCAATCTTCGCTGTGCCAGAGGGACTGAGGGCTTCCGAGAATCTGATGACATCGAAAGTCAGGTTGAATGCCATGATGTCGGCTTATCCAGCTGGTGTTAGTGCTTGTAGATTAGCAGCTCATTGAGAGCGAGCATAGCAACGTATCGAATACGCCTCTTGAGACTAACAAGGCACGCCACATTGCGAGCACGTTGCAGTATTCTCAATGTTTTGCAGTGTTTTCAAGTGAAGACTCAATAGGTCCTAGTAAAAGCTGTGCGGAGCTGATTCCGTCCCAAGTAGGAAGGCAGGAGCGCGGGTACAGCCGCATCGCGCTTTCTCGTCGCGCATCCAGGGACTCTTTATTACCTAGCGATTGGTAGTGCATTGTATCTGAATTGATCTTGCGCGCTCTGCTGGAGTTGGAACCACAACAAAAACGCCTGGCCTTGATTTGCGACTTCTTCCTCTGTTTGTTGGGCCGGGAAGTTGCCTCGACGCTCATCCTGTGCAACCACCGTTCCCGTCTCGCCGGCAGGCGGACCTGTCCATCTTCGACATGGCCCCCAAACGAGGAGAGTCCATAGAGCGCTCCGACGAGCGCGAGGAGTTTATGCAGAAATTGGCCAGTTATCACGAAAAGCGCGGGTACGAAATCTCCATCCGGCGTGTTGACCGCCCAAGAATGCACTTGCGCTGACACGTTTCTTGCGCAGCACAAATCTCGAAACCGAGCCAAAAGTCGGCATTCGACACGTCGACCTGTTCAAGTTGTACCGTCGCGTCGTCGATGAAGGAGGATATGATCTCGTTTCCGACACCAAAGCGAAGCCGTTGATGTGGCGCAAACTGGCGGAGGAATTTGTTGGCAAGAACCAGTACACCGCGGCGCAAGCATTCCAGATCAAGAACGTCTACTATAAGAATCTATGCGCGTATGAGATCAGCACACACTGGCAGAAGGAGCCGCCGCCAAAGGAGATCTTGGAGGAGGTGACAGCCAAGGGCGCAAATGTTATGACGCGAACGCTGGAAAACTTTGTGAAGCCCGCAACGCGCGATCAGGAGCTGAACGGGGACGCCAGCGACGCCAGCCCAGAACAAAAGACACCTAAGGAGGAAAAGATGGAGAATGCAGATGAACCGGGCAGCGGGGCTGGCCGAACGACTCGCGGCCTCAGACAGCAGCCGCCGCAACGCCAACTCTTCCAGCCGGACCTCACTTCTGGCCGGCAGATGCGCGGCCAAAATCAAGGATCGCAGGCGTCTCCTACCCCAGGAGCTGGTGTGAACGGCCACATGCCTAGCTCATCCGTTACCAACGGCGCGTCGGCCACACTTGCCTCATATGAGCCATCACAAGCATACGCGTTATCGCTCAAACCTGTCATCACGCCTGCCAACAATCCCGAGTTCTACCGTAATGAGCGGAAACGGAAGCTCGAGGCCAGTGCTGGACCTCTCGCCAAGAAGTACAGGAACATCATGCTTCCAGGAACAGGTTTCATTGGACCCAACAYCTACGTTCGTGCACAGCTTGCCTTGCAAAGTGGTATTCCAGATGAAGAGCAGTATGCGCTGCATCATCTCGTCAAGATTAGCCATGAACGAGGCGACAAGTACCGCTTTGATCAATTTCCTGGACTGGCTGATGCCCTGATCAAGAAAGTCCTCTCTGTGACAGGCCTCTTTTACGATATTGACTGGGATGTCATGTACGACGAAGAGTTTTTCGCTGGTGATGAAGAGACTCTCAATGGTCTCGATGGCACTCCGGACATTGTTCAACGGCTCAAATCTCACATTCCGATTGTCTCGGACGATTCAGTACTGGACTCGACATTCATCACAAAGCTAAATCGGATGACGGAAGCAGCCTTGGTGACCCGCAATATGTCGTTGCAGGAAGAAAACGCAGCCTACCTCTCTCGCTTACCTCTCATCAGGGATCTGATCTCGGTGGTCCTGCACATACCTCAGCATACTAGCATTGTAGAGCTACGGCATTACGTTCTTGACATCGCCGAGCAAGTTCTGAAGTATATCGACGTCAGCGCCCAAGATCCCCTATATCAAGGCTTGATTCAGCAAACGCTCAGCTCTGATCGCGGCGCCGTCGTGACGGCCCTCAAGACCATAAGCAGGATTGCAATGACCCATCCCCAGCCCAAACGACTCGACGATGTGCCTTCTCTGGTCCTGAGACGCGTCCAGGAATACTTGCTGGTCGAGGACGAAGAGTTGCGCTCGGCCTGCCTGGATTTTTTGATGCAGTACACCTCATTCAGCGACAACGTGGAGAATTTGCTGCAGTTCACGGACGCAGAAGCTCTTGGCCGGCAGCTCAGTCGACTCGTGCTGTTCACTACCAAAGAGCAGAAAGTACAGCACCCAACCAAGCAACCTGAGGTTGACAACAGTGCGCCGCCTCCAGTACCCCGTCTATCAACAAGCATAGTGGAGAGCCTGCTGAAAATGGATGAGCCAGATCGATCGTCGGAATGGCTGCGAATGTGTTTCGTGGCAGATTCAAATGCTGAGATGACCCAAATATCCTTGTGGCAGGCATACCAGGGCACATTCGTGCCTTATTCGGCCACGCACCCGCATCTAATAGCGGGCGAATTCATCAAAAATGTCAGCACGACCTTCCAGGGTGCAACAGCACAGGTCGCAGGCTCAAACAAGTATGTCATCAGAGGCATCAAATCTCGCAAGGCTCCGGTAGATACGGGCATGCTTCCAGGGGCAAAAGCAAGCGATAAGGGCAAGGAACTCTACCGTTGCCACTGGCAGGTGACAAGTACTGTTGACGGACCCCGCGACCCTATCACGGGCTACCCCAGTGGACGTATCGCACGAGACCTCGATTGTGCGGAGTGGCTCAGGTCAAGTGAAGATATGCTGAAACACATTTTGATACATCATCTGCAAGTCCCGAAGAAGGCGCTCACACCATCGGAAGTTGACAAGATGGATCTCGACTCCACGCCGGTTCCGTTCCCAGCGACGCCTTCCAGTGTGCCGAATGGTGCCAGTGGGCTTTCGTTTAGAGAAAATCTGGACCTCGAGACGGCGGACAAGACTACATACAAGTGTCGATGGGCGGATTGTGCGCGCACCTCGACTGAATTTTCTGGGGCCAAAGTGTCATCCACTGCGCTCTTTGCACGGCATATCGAAACACATTTGCCAGAAAGTGACACTACCAGGACCAAGCACAATCTGACACCAGACGCGGCCTCGTTGCCAGCCGTCAGAGAGGAGACAAAGTTGACCATGCTGGAGGACGAGAATGGGGAAGCTGCAGGCGTTCCTGTACGCGCTGTTTTGGTTCTGCGGAATATTGCACGGTTCATGCCAAAGGCTGTAGGGAACGCCAATGGTCTGGGTGTCGCAAAAGGCGGCTGGAATAAGGACGACAAAAGTGATCCTATGACGGTCGTGTTTGACAGCGAAGTGCGAGAGCGCCTCTTCCACGCCATGTCGTTCAGCAAAACCATCCGGGAGTATGTTGCCTCGGTCTTCAGAGCGATAAAGGCAAGCGGGGGTTGAGTATAGGTGTGGTCTTGATTCGGTCTTGATTTAGCGCGGAGTTAGAAGAGCGTCAGCCACTGTATCAGTAAGATATCGATGAAAGTGACGGGCAAGTGAGCTGCCTGGGCCACGTTCAGTGCAATGATTGCCACGAAATGCGTCTCCCTCCACAGCCTCAGTCCAGCTACTGTGCTTTCGTCTGCCGTCTCGTTAAACGTGCGGGTAAACATTGAATAGCCGGCGTTTTTCCGGCCCGCGATTCAGGTGAAGGTAGAGGTAGACCACATCACTCTTGTCATTACATTTTCGGTCTATCTTCACCAACTGCAGCGAACACATAAATATCAGCTCTGCCACATCTATGGGATGCCACCTCATATATTTGCGAGGCTCTAGCCGGGCCTGGCTTCCAGGGCATAATTTCCGGCGCTCCTTTGTACCGTCGCGGCCGATCTGGACATTTGTCTCTCGCTTATCAGGCCAGGGACATATGGAGKCCACTCCCAGAATTCACCGGCTGGAGAAGTCGCAACAGCCTCGACCCGCGCCTCAATCTACGCCTCGCCTTACGTTAGCGCAGGTTGGAAGGGTGCTAGGAACAAATTCCAAAGGAAGACTTCCCAGCGAGATCGAGAATGCCATATTCATTGCCATCGACTGCGAGGCTTACGAATTCGCTCAAAATAAGGTCAGCACATAAGCCTTTGCACTTGCGCCTCCCTAGTTGACATACACCGTCTCTCTGTATCGCGGATCATTATTTATAACCAATGGCCTACATTCGTTGTTGCTCTGCGAGAATTGACTCGCTGCTAACGCTCGAGTGCCGGGCTGCTCGAGAGACCTCTCATGGATTCGACGAATCTTCGATGAAAAGAGAGGTTGTAGTCGTTGGCGACCCTGTCATGCGAGCCCACTCCTGGAGAGAACAATGTAGATATGGACGGCTAACGACTTTCGAAGACCACTGAAATTGGCGTATCCATCCTGGATGTAGCTACGATTGCGAATGTAATGTCCAGTTCATCCTCTACACTCCTGCCCTTATCACTCATAACTCGACGCAGATACCACCTGGATCGAGGGCTGCAGCGTGGCTGGCGAAGATGAAATCGGAGCATTTCAGAATAAAGGAATTCGGGCATCTTGTCAACAAACGTCACGTCAAAGGCAATCCAGAGGCTTTTTCGTTCGGTAACAGCACTTGGATAGAAAAATCGCAGGCCAAAGACGTTTTGGGTGGAATATTTGCTCCGGCAGGACCGGATCAGAGTCGTAATATCGTGCTTGTTGGCCATGGCGTGAAGAACGAGGTGGCATATCTCAACAACCTTGACTTCGACTTGATGAACGCGCCGAACGTTGTTGCCATCGTGGATACTCAGTCCATCGGTCCAGGTAAATCCCAACTCGGCCTGAAAAAGCTTTGCGAGGCCGTGGGCATGGAACCACAGTCCTTGTACGTAATGTGAAGTGCAAGAAATCAGCGTGTCTTCAAAAGCTTCTGAAGTTACAGAAGTGCAAGGCATCAGCTGACTTTCATACTTCGATTCTAGGCACAACGCTGGAAATGACGCTGCCTACACTTTGAGGGCTTTGATTCTTGCGGTTGGTGACAGTGTACTCAGTATCTGAGAGTCGTACGAAACTCCAAACCGTAACATTGCTGACATTCTGGTAGACTATTCTCCACGATGATTCCCCCACAGCCTTCGAATCGGCTTTCCGGCCAGCCGTTACTAGAGTCGAGATGTCACAGTATCGAAAGCCATACGCGGACCGTGATCAAAGAGAATACATTTCCCCCATAAAGATGGTGGAACCTGTGCCAGACGGCCCGGACCCATTGCCAACTCCGAGAATAGTGAAATCAAAATCAAGCTCCCATCAGGTGCGAAAGGCAAAATGGTTAGAGAGACAAAAAACCGCCAATGCCGGTCCGCCAGCGGCGCGCTCTCCCTCGAAATCGGATTGAGTTACAAATGGCTGTGCCATAAGGTACCTTCGAAGGTGGTATTCCTGGGAGCAAGTGCTATCCAAAATTTGAGTCCCCACGACACGGAATTGCAAGTTCATACATACTGCCCACTATTCTGCATCTGCGAAAGGTCATCGCAGAGAGCTAGAGTCATCGTCGCCGTCGTCGTCAATTGGAAACTCGTCCCTCAAGAAGCGTTTCCACCCTTTAGATAGATCGGCTCCGACTCGCTGGAAGTTCTGCGCCATAAGCTTGACTCTCCTTGTTTGCTTTCTAAGTTCGGCTTCACGTGCGACATCTCTCGCTATCAGCAATTGAACCTGCTGGTGAAGTATCAAGACTTTGGCTTCCAAATTGCTGACAGCGTTGTCCTGATCCTGGCATGCAGGAGTGCTACTACTTGAAGCCGTTGAATCCGGCAGGGCGTCAGTGCCGTTGCCAAATTCCACCCTCCTGCGCTTCGCTCCTAGATGAGGCACGTCCGACCGAACCAAAGTATCCGAAGGCTCAATGCGTGGCGCCTGCTGTACGCTCGAAGGCCCGGGCGAGTTAGACGCGTCGCCTCCGAGAACATTACATTTCTTGTACTTCAATTTACAGAATGCACAGCGCTCATTGGATCTCCGACCTGTGATGGAAAGTCTACAGACTGCCCCGGCCTGCGTACAGGAATCACAAGGTTTCTCGGCGTTCATCCCTTCTGAGGTCTCCATGATTCTTCCAGCTTTATTAATCAGCTGGAGCACGAAATAAGGTGATGGTTTGCCCTCGGCAAGGGAGGAAGTGGCGTGGCGGTGAAGTTCATCCCATCTTTCTACACTGCAATGCCAGAAATCGGACATGTTGGATGTCTGGGGTCGGCGGAATTTAGTCAATGCCTTTCCTGTTGGAGTCCCTCCGATAGACTGATGGGCAAGTTTGAATGGCCTGAGTTCTGCGCTTTCAGAAGGAACCCGCGAGGATGATGTGGCAGGCCTAGTAACAGATGGCTGAGCGATATTGGAACAACGCACGCGGCGAAAACTGCAGTAAGCGCAGGATCGGCCAATTTCGCCTGCTAGAACCTTGCAGGAATGCCGCTTCTGCGCACAGAGTGTACACGGAGGGTTGTAAAGGTGACTATCGCACGACTCCATAATCAGCCCAGCGCGTGAGGCTAATCGCATACTCGTCTTAGCGCTGTTCTTCAAGTCGCTGCCAGATGCTCCGGAGGCTTGTCTTGCCCACTGATCCCATTTATCCTCACTCACATACCAGAAATCTGATGGGTCGACGGTTTGTGGACGTCGTTCAGACACCGGCAGAGGAGCCGACCTCGACTGTTGAGGAATGATAGCGCTTTGGTTTCTCGTTAATGCGCTTTGTTCTGATGGCATATCAGAGACCACAATGACACGATCGCGTTGATCAACCCAAGGCTCAGCGGAGCAATGACTCCGATGCTTATTGATACAATAAGCACACCTTGTGCTTGACTTGTTAGCATATACCCGACAAGGCRTGTATTTGCTCTGCCGCGCGCAGACGTCGCAAGGAGTCTCAGCATTCATGCCTTCGTCAGTTTCCATGAGTAATCCAGCGATGTGGAACGCTCGAAGGGCAACTGTCGAAGTGCTGGCCGCTCTCTTGTCTCCAGATGCGACCATATCGAGCCAAGAGTTCCATCTGTCCGAACTGCAATACCAGAAGTCTGTAGGATCCTGTGTCTCGGGTCGTCGAAATGCAGCAACAGCACGAGGGAGACGGTTAAAGGATGCACTGGAAGTGCCATGCTGTGGCGTAGTTTGGACCGTGTTCCTAGATGTATCATTTTGCAGATATTTTGCGAGGTCGCTTTGAAGAACGGCGAAAGCTGAAGAGTCGAAAGATCCACTTCCGTTGCCAACATCAGAAATGGCTGACAATCAGGTTTGGGCAGTCTACGTACGGTTCGTCTTCGTGGGAGCTACAGTGATTCGAGTCGTATGTCAGCGCCGGCTCCGTCTCTACAATATCTCCGCGGAGGTCTGAGTCTGGCTGGCGAGGGAGAGCAGGTCCTTCAAAAGATTCTGATGATCCGGCCAGTGTACCCGTCGCAAAATTATCGACAATGCTGGGCCTCCCATGACCATGTCCCCCGTTGTAATCCATCTCGCTGTCCATTGAGAAGGAATGATGATCTGATGTGGCCGGCAAGAGGAGCCGGTGAGATTGAAGATTGCCGTCTCTCCTTGTGGTGAATGGACGACAACGCTCACGAACTGGTAGAATAGCTACAAGCACAAAAGGCAGCAGCCTTGCGGAGAGTCAAATACGGAGGGTCGAATGTCTTATCGATTATACCTTCTTAATCCGCTGTCGTTAATGCAGAAAGCCTATTTCACCGGAGCCTCACAGGAGGGGGCACCCACACCGGGCTCAGCTCCTGTTGAGCTATGCCTCATCGGGATGGTATACTGCACGGTAAATTCTTGCCAAGGCCTCCAGGGCAGTTTCAATTGAAGRTTGCCACTCTACCCGCAGCCTTCAGAAATGTTGTACCTTACGAAAGCGCGATGAAGAAGAGACCAATCGATGAAACACTTGGCTCTTCGAAAGCCTACACATTTTTATGCTTGTAGCCACCTGTGCGCGAGCGTTGTCGTTGTTTCACTTTACGGAGCGCCGGCAACCTTCCCTTTCACCGACCCTTGTACCTTTGTCCGGTCCAACTTTCCTGATAACACATGAGCTTGGCAAAGCATGTGGCATGTGCCCGCATGCGGCGAGTCGAGGACATGGTGCCTTAGTCGGTCACGAATAAGAAAGTCAGAGGACGACAGAGCCTCATTCCTCCTCGCTACTAACGTTGGAAGGAAAGTCATTCGTGCTCGTCACCTCACTTTCCATGGTAACTTTGAGACGTTCGTGCAGGCATCACAAGACCACAAGGCCCAGATTCGTCATTGCCAGCCTTCGCCCCTCCTCCCAATTACCTGCCAGACCTAGGTGTCTGTATGACCTACTGACCTGGGCTACTGTCATATCCTTTACAACCAACTATACTTAGTCTCTCGCACACACACACACACATTTACATCATGGCGGACGAGGAGGAGGAACAACAACAACAATATGGCCCACCGCCACACATCGCTGCCCGCTTCTATCGCAACCACAGCTCCAATCGAAGGAAATCCTCGGCAACCTCGTCGCGTCGCAACTCGTTATCTTCGGCGCACTCCCACACTTCTGGCACACTTCGCCGCAGTTCAATGTCAGGATGTCAGAGTACCTATGTCGCTCAGCACTTGCGCAGAGCATCCATAATCGAATCGCGAAAGGCGCGTCTGGCAGATCGAGCGGCGCATGCAGAGCAGGTACGACTGCGTGCCGCACTTGTCAAAGCCGCTCCGCGAGGTAGCACCTCCAACACGGAAGAGCGTGCACTGGCTGCACAACTAGCCAAGGAGAAGTATCTTGCAAAAGTTGCGGCGACATGTGCGGAGGAGGTCGCCCGCGCAAAGCGCATAGCGGAGGAAGTGAAGGAGCGGAAGCTGGCAGAAGAGGTACGGGTACGGTCGGAGATGGAGGAACGGCATGCAGAGGCGGAGAAGAGACGCGCAGAATATCAGCGTAATCTACAGGCCAGACGAGCCCGGAGGGCAGATAGCGCAGAGAAGAAGCTGGGCGTGCTTGAGGAAGTCGCGGACATGGATGAGGAGGCCATTGTGGAGGAAGCAGAGCTGTCCGAGGATCCCGCTCGAATCCAGGATGCTGCTGCGAGGCGAATTCAGTCGGCGTGGAGGATGTACCAGCGTAAGGTTCCCGTACTTGCCTTTAGGAAGCTGGACATGACCACACAACGAGCGGAGAATACGAGCTTTGAGGACTTGACCGCACTGGTAGCGGATACTACAATCATTGAATCAACAACCGCCGTCCTCACACATATTGGGTTGCAGGAGGCCAACGATGCGAATGCAGCCCTCAACACGCGGACGTTCCTCAGTGCTTTCTTGATTGTTGGACATCCAGTCGCTGTGTTAACTAACAACAACGGGACCCAAGAGCAAGATCTGATCAACAAGGCATCTGAGCTTGTGAACCTATTCGAAGCATCTGTGACTCGTCTGGACAATTGGAACAACTTCACGCCCAATCCCACGCAACTGGAATCTCTATCGCAGTCATACACTGCATATACTTCTGCTTTCGCTGCATGGCGACTGCAGGACTCCAGTGTGTTGATTGAAGGAATGGTGGCCTCATTCGTTGAACTTGATGCCATTTGGCAAACCGTCAAGGATGACGACCGTGGTGAGGTAGCTGGAGAATACAAGCAGGGAATCCGCGATAATCAAGTCATGCTCTTGAGTAGGATCAGAAAACTGGCTGGGCCAGACCGCGCGGACTTTCTGATCAAAAAGGCGATTCGTGAAAGTCGCCGCAAACGTCCTAAGAAGCGCCCGACGGCCGAGGTTCGTCCACGGGGTGTGGAAGTGGTCGATCCTGCGCCGCCTCCAGAAGAGGTCGTTGAAGCGGCCGGTCTTCCAATGACCCCCATTGGGTCGGGTGAGATCGACAGGCTTTTCACGCCCATGCCTTCCAACCGGATTCTGACACATGAGCTCGCAATCAACAAAGACTACAGACTTGAAGACCGTAATAGCGAGATCCGGGACCACTTGTATCGAAGCATTTGCGAAAGCATGAAGGCGGGCTTCGAAGCCGGTAATGGCGCTTTGTGGACTACGTCAACAGCGCAGAACATCCGGGAGAAGCTGTTGCGTATGTTGAAGCCTGGGAACAGCATGCACACCATGATCACCGAAGCACTGGATCTAGAGAGCATCCATCGTCAGTGCCAACAGGGCGTGTTCTCATACTCGGGCTTCTTCGAGTTTATGGCAAATGTGCTTCCCAAACTATGCGCGCCTTTCCGTGATCAAGAAGTCAAGACGTTTGCAGAGGAATTGCGGGCTGAAGGTAGCGGTGACGAGCTGGATGCCATGATTGACAAGCTATTCAAGCTTCTCCGCATGGTCGACGTGCTGAGTCTGGACTATTCGAACTTCATGATTATGAGTGCTGCACCAGCATTGATTCAGGAGTCTTCGGGTTATGAGCATCGTATGTTCGCCCAGGACCTTCAAGCTGGCAGAACYTCTTTGGAGCACACCAAGCGCTGGTGGATCCAAGCACACACTACATTAACATCCGAGGCGGACCGCCGAGACCCAGACGGCGTTAGGAGTCCTTCTGATAGACCAAGTCCTACGAAGGTGTACACCCACGGTCTAGTCGAGACTGTCATATGCCAAGCCGAGCTGGACTCGGACCATCTCCCGGAGACCCTTCACCTCGATGCCGAGCGCCTACGACAGCTACGCGTTAAAGCCATACGGGTGGTCGTGATTGGGGCGATCCTTCTCACCACCAAGAACCTTCTCAAACGGGATGTTCGCAGCCAATGGAAGAGCGAAGCGGCCCGACTGTGGCAGCTCCTCAGCACTGAGCCCTACAGTACCACAGAAGAGCCCACCACCGCCCAGAAAGCCTTCTCGATATTGGAGACTGCGCACAACATGCCTGCTTCCACCAAGACCGCCATCTCGGGGACAATTACTCGGTTCTTCTCCCAAGCCGCAGAGATTGGCTCCAATGCCGGCGTGCGGTTTACGGACCCCGTGCTGAAAGTTCTCTTCCAGCGCCTCAAGTCACACGTTCTCGCGCGTTTGTCGGCAGAAAGCTCTGCTGAGAAGGTTCGGGCAGCGAGTTCTGCTTCCGATAAACTTGCTGCGAGCGGGATGGCGGAATTCACGTCTCAAGTTGCGGGGATTGTGGACTCGTTAGAGCAAGTTAGGAAGGTGGACTGGGCGAGTCATGAGGTGTGGTACCAGCAGATCGTGAAGGAAGTGGGGGAAAGTCCTTCTGTGTAGATTCTTTCTTGACTTCATGCTGTTGATAGGGGTAACGACTCGTTCAATGTGAGAGGAATTTCAGCTTGCAGAATGCAGACAGAGACGATTTATGAATAGGATGCGTTCATTTTCGACGTTTTGTCTTGTTTTCTTATTTTTACATGACTTGAGGTTGGGTATATGCATCTCATGTGAAGTTGAGCATTGCTCACTGGTTTACAGCTTGGATTTAGGTGAGTCGGCCTTGAGCATAGTTTCGGCCACGATTCGTCTTTGAATCTTTCCAGTAGCAGTCCTGTGCGCAAATGTTAGCAGATGTATCAATGACTTTTCATCAAACATACTTGGGCATGTTGTCCGTGATGAACACCCTCTTCGGTACCTTGAACTTGGCAACCTTCTCGACCATGTACGCTTTCATTTCTTCTTCGGTCACCTTCTTGCCATCCTTGGGAACGACAGCCACGCCGACTTCTTGTCCATAAAGATCGTCCGGGATGGCGAATGATACAGCCTCTGCAACCGATGGGTGCTGCGCAAGAACATTGTCCAGCTCAATCGGGCTGATCTTCTCGCCTCCCTTATTGATGAGCTCCTTTATCCGGCCGGTGATGATCACATACCCCTCCTCATCTTGCTTGCCTTGGTCTCCAGTTCTGAAGAAGCCGCCTTGGGTGAAGGACTCCTTGTTTGCTTTGTCGTTGTTGAGGTATCCCTTCGTGACATTAGGGCCGCGGATGCAGATTTCTGCTTCTTTGCCTTGGGGAACTTCATTGCCTTCTTGGTCGAGGATCTTAATCTCTACACCTTGGCCAATTCCTACGGATCCGGGCTTTCGCTTCATGGGTGGTGTGGGGTTGGAGGTCATTTGATGTGCGGCTTCTGTCATGGCGTAGGCTTCTAGGACGGGTGCTTTGAAAGCGGCCTCGAGATCGTGGAAGACTTTGGGTGAAAGAGGAGAGCTACAGGATCGGATGAAACGAATTGCGGGGAGGGGTTTGGGCCAGAGATTTTGGTTCTTGAGGAGGATTTGATGGATCGTGGGAACTGCTGTGTACCAGTTCGCTTTGTGCTCTACAAAGTGTTTCCAAAAGGTCGTTGCGCTGAAGTTGCCGGGCACAATCACTGATCCAGAGGACGATAGAGGAGCGAGGAAGCCTGCGAGGAGACCGTGGACGTGGAAGAGAGGCATGACGAGCATTGTTCGGTCTGCTGCCGAAAGGCTGTAGGTGTTTTGGATGTTCTGCATCGTTCGAGTCAAGTTGCGATGGGAGAGGGGAACAGCCTTTGGTCGCCCTGTTGTTCCTGAAGTGTGTAAAACAAGAGCCGTATCCTCCGGCTGTGCCTCCTCCACAGCTTTGTTTCCATGGCCCGACAGCTTGCCATTGTCCTTGATGTCTAGCACGACCTCGTGTGTGAGAGGGTGAAGGTAGCATTCTGCCACCGCGGCATTATATCTCTTGGCGGCCTTCACAGCTGGACCATCTGCTTGCCCTTGCGGAACCAACACCAGGGCGGAGGAGAGATCATCGATGTAGAATTCGAATTCGCTCTGTTTGTAGGCCGGATTCAATGGCGCGGCGATTCCTCGCTGCCATGCTGCCGCAAGGARTGCAACAATGAAGGGGTAGCTGTTAGGGAGGGCGATTGAGACGGCAGCGCCAGGTGTAATGCCTAGGTTTGCGAGCTTCTTCTGGAAGTTGACGACATCGGCGTGGAGTTGCTTGTAGGAGATGGCGAGCGTCGGGGGACCGGGGACAATGACGGCCGTGGCATTGGAGGTCGAGGAAAAGCAGTTGGAAAGAGTGCTCATGCTGGGCAATGAAAAGAGCGAGGAGATGTTGCGTGGGCGACTTACACCTTTTATCTTTATCGTGCCCTCGGTCTGGCGTGGTGGAATTATGCTTTTGGATGGCGGTCGTCGCGATAACGGCCAAGTCATGCCATGCGTCTTAGTCCGGATTCCGCCGAGCGGCACCTCACCTCGACCTCGACCTCGTCGTCTGCCATCCACTCGACCGCATCGCAACAATCCTTGAGGGATGTGTGACGCATGCTCATCATGTTCATCGGCGAAGGGGCGGAAGACTGCCTTTGCTTTCCGCTTCCCCTCCGGCATCCCCGCTCGCCGCAGCAGCCGAAGGATCGCTTGGAAATGCATGCATGCCTTTCTACGGAGTATCCAGGTAATTTCACCCGACTGCTTGGTACAGCTGAAGTAGCTAGCTTCAGCGAATCCCTCGATGGCTCCTGCCGGTGTTGATCGGACTCCTGCCTTCAAGCATCGGGAGCTCAAGCAAGTCTCTTGTCGAGCAGACCATGGAGGCCTGAGCACAGACTGCCCTCTCCGTCGCTTGTCGTGTGTTGTATACATGAGGGTTRCGCTTGACCTGCAAGATCTCGTGGACTTGACTTTGAGGAGACTCGAGTGAAGCTTGCACCTCTTTCAGCGGGAACCCTATACTGGCCCAAGTTTTGCCCATTCGAATCACGTCTTCATTGCTTAGCAACACAGCAGCCAGCTCGTATGCTTTTCCCCGAGAGTATTTGATGTGGCCGAGAGGTCTCTTCGAATCACATCGAAGGTCAAGCGCAACGTATTCTCCATGATCCATTGTTGACAATTGCGGTAGCTGATAAACTTCTTGATTTTCAGGTATGTGAAGCTCTTTTGCTCACGTGGAGCTTAAAATTGCAGGTGTCTGTTGCTTCACTTCACGTGCATTCTCACATGCGCTCGCGCTAGACTGGACTTGACACTATAGAAGCCTTTGCATCGAGCAGTCTTCATATCATATGGCTACATCTTTCGCTTCTTCTTACTTCTTTCCTACCTTCTTTCACTATCCATCTACGCCGCCTATCTCACACGAAACTACCTTCCGCGATCTATTCGACATCGACATCATCATCACGACGTATACCTTTGCCAAGCAGGTTTTCCACATCTCCATTGATGGTGTTCACCTCATGAGTCCGGTTTTTGCCGGGTCTGGAGCTTTTGTTCACGGCGGCCTTTACTTTGTAGCGCTCGACACGGGTGAGCTCTGAACTCCATCCTACAGGCTTCAGGGGGACGCGCTAACCGTGAGATACTTTCGTAGCGGATGAAAGCTTGAACTTACCCGACGAAGACGACAGAGTTCAGAAGCTAGGCGTGATCATGGTCAAAATGCATCATGGGAAGCACCTAGGTGTAACACCTATGTTGCCAAATGCTGCTGAAGCCGAGGAAATGGACGGAGACATCAATGTCTTTTCGGAGAAGGCTTTGAAAGGTAAGGCCTTGTCTCACACCATTGGGTAATGAACATTGAATCCCTTCACTGGTAAATGGCTAAACATTCAAAGATATAGAGGCAGGGGGGCTAGCACGAATCAATATGTGCACCGAAGCAACATCGACTTTGTGAACGGCAAAACGGCCGATGCAACCTTTATCCTACGCTATCGATCTCTCGGTAAGTAACAATTCGAGTGATACTTGACGCCTTGCTTGCTGACAGAAAGACAGAGTGCCTGAAGAGCCTCCTCATCGTTGAGCGGACTCCGCCCCCTGTGCCGTTGGAGGAGCGGGACTTCGACAGTCTCAGCCTGGAAGAGCTCAGACAGTACCACAAAAACACCCAGGAGCGTGCTCGAGCTGAAAAAGTGAGTGTTCATCTAGGATTTGGAATCTCACATTTGGCTGACCAAGTTCCAGGCTGCGAAGGAAAGTCATGTGAAGATCAAGCCGGAGGACGATGACCTCAACCCAGGGCCACGTAAAAAGTCCCGCCCAAACACAGGATCTATTCAGCTCGAGCTTGACGAAACGGGCAACGGCTTTCGTGAAGTCTCGAAGGCGGGTTCAAGCAGCGCTCGGTCGAAGTTCATTCAGATCGACTGATGCTACTGGAACGAAACTTTTCCTGGGAGTTATCGGCAACGCACGAAGTCTGTGGCTTTGGGGAGGTGCATTGATCTGTAAGTAGTGGTCTCACACATAGCACGCCGTTTCGCCAAGTCCGGGATGGCGCCTCCCCGCTTTAGCAACTGGTACTGCAAGGCAAGATTGCCGGAAGAGTRCGGCACATTGGTGAGCTCATCATGTACGACTTGGAATTCCTTCCGAAGGATTGATCTGACCATGTTCCAGAAGTACATTCTGGCACACGTCACCCATGCCTAGTCACCTCGATAGGATACCGGGAAAGCAGCGTTGGGAAATGCGGAATGGGAGTGCACGGCTCAAAGCCGAAACGATCTCCAGCTACACCACCAGCTCTTAAGCAATGAGAACATTGATCAGCATGGTCCGTTTACGTGCAGTTGTTCCATCTTAACAGGCTCACACCCTAGCAAGGAAATCTCGTTTTGGCATTCAGGCCGCGATTCTATCATCTGAATCTGCCGCTGCAAGCTCCGATAAGTTTCAATAAGGACATCTGCCCGTAAATCTGCTCGAATCATGCTGAAGGGTAAGCACAATCGATTCGCCAAGCTCCGTTGTCTCTTAGTCAATATCTTTATTGCGAGCCAAGAACTCGGGCCATACATTAGCACGAGCAGCGGGGAATATCTATGTATACAGCCTGGTAGCGTAACTTTGAGAGCCTGGTGAAGTTTGTGAGAGGTCGCACACTTTGCTCGGAGTTCACGCTTGCTTGGCTTCTATTCACTTGCGTTGTACATGAGCTAAGCGGGACTCGGGACACTCGAAGATCGTGGAGCCCCACTAATCACATCTTCTTTCTTTTCTTCCTCGAACACCTTTCTTGAGCTGCAACATCAACCTTCGCCATTTCGACGCGGCCCACGACAATCTGCACAGCCTGCAAACTGCTTTCTCCAGTTATCAAGCGCTTCGATTAAAAGCATCAACGCATACCTCCAATCCGATAGTCACATCACTCGCGCGCATCATCGGGCCACCTCGGCTTTGCAAAAGGTTCCTTACGGGCCAAACACCTTTCGTATTCGTCGGAAGAACCACTTACACTCTTAAATGGCGATCCTCGACACTCTCCCGGGTGTGGAAATCGAGATTTTGGTCGACGGCGAGCCATTGGAAGAATATGCGGACAATGATTCCGAGGATCAGTTGAACACCAACATGTGCTACGTCGAGGCTGTTACAGGCAAGGTCTTTGAAGTGCGAATCAAGGTGGAGGGAGGAGTGGAAATTACGCGCGACACCGCCGAATTCAACATTAGTATCGATGGTGTCTTGGAAGCCGCACCATTGATCCCGAGTCACAGGTTCGCCACACGTTATTATGAGAGGCGCGCCGAAGGTCGCAACGTAGGAGGCGGAAAGCAGCAGAAGTTCTGCTTTTCTGAGATCGAGACGGGTAAGTATGCAGATCTGAGTCTGAATTTGCATGCGTCTGACTGATTGCAGTCGATGACGGCCGCGTTGAAGTCGATGAAGCTGCTCGGACGAAGAGTCTGGGAGAGATCGAAGTTCTTGTCTCGTTCGTGGACATGGGCGAAGAGACCTTGGTACAAACGCAGGACGTGCTGACTACGGATCTTGGAATCATGTCTGAGAAGGCTCTGAAGGGCAGAGCCATCACTCACGGCGTTGGGTAAGGACATCGGTTCTGTTGCTGTTGATGTTTGTGGGCTGAGATTGTTACAGTTACCAGGCACCGAGCCGTGGAGCCAAYAAGTACAACACGGAGACAACGAACGAAGACCCGTTCAATATCTTCAAGTTCATCTTTGCCTACCGCTCTCCAAGTAAGACACCTAGATATCGACCTAGAGACCATTACTGACTTAGTTTCAGAGGCCCTCAAGGATCTGCTCGTCATCGAGCCTACGCCGGAACCCACTCCATTGGAGGATCGCGATTTCGACAGTCTCTCCCGGGAAGAGCTGCAAGAGCTGCACAAGCGAGCCCGAGACCGTGCACAGGCAGACAAGGTACAATTCCCACGATAACATGACACACTTAAGTGTATCATGTACTAACGATGATTTCAGGCTGCGCAGGAGGCCTCGGTCAAGGTGAAGCGGGAGCGCGCGGACGAAAACCCGCGCCGACGCAAGATCGCACGCCCAAGCGTGGGTGCCACCCAGCTGGAACTCAATGAGGCCGATGGCGGTTTTCGGGAGGCTTCGTCGGAGACTGCAGGCCGCGCGGAGGTCGAAATCGTCGAGATCGACTGAACGAGGGTGAGGATTCTGTCGTCAAAACGAGGTTCGGCGGCGATAACGACATTCGACACACACTGCGGCTTACTTTCTTCGGGCTGCGGTACCTTTCGACGCGAAACGCTTGGATCGATGTCCGGTCGCATTGAACAGTCTGCTCTCAACATCGCCAGCTAAGGAAATGGCCTCGACGAGCATCTGATCGTCAAGCACCTGTTTAGGAGCACCTGGATCATAATGTTTATATCAAACTTGCCTTACAGAACTCGGGGTACTGCCTTTACTCTTTCACCGGCAGTGCGCACTTCTTTTGCATCAATGGCGGTGTCATATGGGGGACAAGGGCGGAGATGCGGGAGGTCCCGGCGGAGGTCTGCGGATGAAATAGCATTCGGCGACACCAAATATCAAAGCAGCTCTCTACTACACTCCAACGCCGTCCCACATCCTTCTCTACTTGTATATTCGTGTTCCCAATTTTGTGAACATCCTAGCGAGGAAATCCCGTCTTGGCATTTTAAGTGAATGAAAACCACCCAATCGAGCGAAGCTCAGACTACCGGAAGTACACCGGCAACCCACAGTTTGAAGCCATCTAAGCTACATAACTAATAAATTATTTGCCCTCTCCATCTCAACGCCGACCCTGACTCTAGCTATACAGGCCTCCCTGTGGGCTAGGAACCCATGGTGCCTTTCGATTAGCTCAGGAGCGTTCAATGTAACCACACAGATTAGAGGGCCCCTAATCAACTCTACTGACCTCTTCTAGAATGTCATGAAACGAGTGTGTTGTTCACCCTGCTGCCCGTAGCTGCTGGTTTTTTGCTGTTTTGGTCGCTGATTTTTTTTGGGCGAGATGGGCGAGTGGCTTGCGCGGCCGGAGTTGTGGCAAGAGGAGTGCTGAGTTCGAGTCCTTGGTCACCCCGGCTGGAAAATTTCAACCGCAATTGGATCTTTGAATGGGGAATCGCTTAGGTGAACTTCCGTTCTCGGCCCGCATGGTCTGCCACGAACTGATGTTTTCTTCCTGCCGGATGATTTGATGTCTCGCTATCTGGCCCACCATAAGGTGACCTCATATAATGAGCGCCCAGAGACGTTTCCTCGCCCACTTTGCCACCGTATCTGACATGTGCTGCACATGCCATACAGGGAGGGTCGTCGGGTTCCTTCATTTTTGTTCCAAGTGATGGAGTCACAGACGCTCGACCTGCATCACTTTACTCTACCACAATCTGGTCCCGAGTTGTCGATATCGCCGTCACCAACTCATTCACCGTCGCAAGGCAGCCATTCGGCGACTGCCTCTCGTATCTCTTCTTCCGTTTCTCTCACTCACTCCCCTCCTTATCAGCGTCTCTACCCACACCTCACTATTGCATCTCATCCGATCTCTGACTTGGCTACGACCCCGACACTATCAGCAGTAATCACATCCACCCTTCACCATGGCTATCATCAGTCACCTGGACGTCAGCATCCAAGCAGATGGCAAGCCTCTCGAAGAGCGCGAGGACACTTCCACCGGCGAAAGCGACAACAGTAATATCACGAGATACATTCCGTCAAAGAGCGGCCAACTCTTCGCGGTCCTCATGCTCGTTCCTTCTGAGGAACATTTTAAGGGCGACATCATCTGCTGCGACATCTATGTCGACGGTACACGCGTGGACACCCAGTTGCTGCAGAAAGGCAGCCCGCTCTTGGAAGAGATCAGCAGTGGTCTGACTCTTCCCGATGGCACCGAGCGACCATACCAGTTCTCCGACATCGCTATCGGTTGGTGAGAAAAGTCCAGGCTCAGAGGACTTTGTTGACTTGTGACAGTGGAGCACGACCCGGCAACGAGAGCTGCGAGCGATATCAACCAGCACAAGGACGTCGGCAAGGTGGTCATCAAGGCTTATCACAAGAACCGAGGGGAGGCGAGCAATCTCTACGTGGACCCTAGAGGCTGGAACGAGATCAATGTGGTGGATGAGAAGGCGTTGAAGGGCCAGTCAGTGTCTCACAAAGTCGGATTGGCACCGCCTGTCGATGTCYCGGGACGCTCTGTCTATTGCAAGAGCACCTTCCTTAATAGCGATAACAAGCCATTCGCGGTGTTCACCTTTCTGTACCGTTCAGTCGGYGGGTCGAAACCTGGCAGCGTCCTTAGTGACGGGATGCTAACAAATCATAGAAAAGCTGAACGAAATCTTCGTTCCCACGCCAGCTGCCAGCCCGGAGCCCGAGCAGACTACAGAGGCCCTCAACGAGCGGATCAGGGAGTTAGAGCGCCAATTGAAGGAAGCACAGCCTACTACAGAGCTGATCAGAGGTATCAAGCGTGAGCGCACTGAGAACGAAAACACCGACGGACCAGTGCGCCAGAAACGCCGTCCGGTTGTGACCACGTATCTGGCCATGAACGACGACGACGAGAGCTTCGTGGTGGTCGAGGGTCCCGTCAATCCAGGCCAGCCTGCCACTCAGCTTGATGACTGAGAACGCTCCCACGCCGATGGGATCTCACTGCGTGGTAGTCCAGAAGGGAGTGTGTGATATTCTGCAGCCTGGCACGCTTAGAGTGTACACTGCATTGGATTGAATATTATACCGACGTACAGAGTCGGTCTGACGACAGGCTTTGGGATGTAGTGGGAGACCTGGTCAACTTGATTGTGTATGTACTTGAGGCCAATGGTTGCACATCTCGCTGCTGGGGAAGGGTCATCTAGATTCTCCTAGACCGAACATGCGAATCGAGTTCTTCCAGGCGCTGCCGTAGCGTTAGCGTAATGTTCAGAGATCAATGAGAACATTTCAGTCAACTTACACCTCACAGACCTCCTCCACAGCAATCCCTTTGATCGCAGCAATCGCATGCGCCACCTGTGATATCGCACACGGTTCATTCCTGCCCTTCACCATCGCCTCGGCGTTCCACTTCTCCTTCTTCACAGCCTTCGGCAATGGTGGCGCATCCTTGAGGAACTTCGAGCTCGCATGGCTTGGTCGCATTTCACACCACGGTCCATCCGTTTCGATCTGCAGTCTTTCGAGAGGCACTTCCTTCACAACTGCCAGATTCTCCTCGGTTTTCATGCTGCAACCGTTGATTCCAACATCGAATCCTAGCTCCACAATCCGCTGCATCTCCTCCAACGACCCGGTGAATGAGTGTACTAGTCCACGCTTCGGTAGCTTCTCCAATCGCTGTGTGAGCAGCCGTTCGAAGTCCTCCGCCGCCGCTCGGGAGTGCAGAAACAGCGGCATCTGCAGCTCGACGGCCAGGTCCAATTGTTTTGCAAACCATACCAATTGTGTCTCCTTATCGCAAAGCGTGAGGCGATCGTAGTCCAGTCCAATCTCCCCAAAAGCTGTCGCAGTCCCTCGATCCCTCGACTCCTTGGCCAGTGCTCCTAGCTCCTCTAGCAGCTTATCTCCTCCCGCAGGATGTTTCGTAAAGCTCGTTGCAGAGCATGGATGTACGCCTACCGTCGCGTAGCACAGCCCCGGGTACTCTTCTGCTAGCTTAATGGCATTCTTGCTTTCTACCAGGTCCGAGCCTGTGATCATCATCTTCTGCACGCCAGCTTTGAGAGCGCGGTTGACGACATGCTGTAGGTCGTCTTCGTGGGCTTGTTTGCCGTGATAGTGGCCTCGAAAGACGGTGTCTGAGAGGTTGATGCCGATCTATGGCTGGGGTTGAGTTAGTACAGGCTTGACGTGTTCATGGAAGAACTGACATCTGCGTAGCGGAGTGCAGGTGTGAAATCCTCGGAAGCCATTCTGATATGCATTCGAGGTACGATGCAGGGTTTGGAGAACAGTATCTGGCCGTAGCCTCTTGACCGCAGCGCACTCCGGATCATGCGAGAGAGTGGATGAAGTAAGTTTAAAGACGGRAGTGTCGACGCGGGGATGAAGCCGACGCCAAACCTCTCAATGCCGATTAAGCTTTGGCAACCGATTTCATGAGAGTGATTGGCCTTGGGATCATATCTCCTCTCCTTCGACTGACAGTTCTACATTTGCAGCAGCAAAATCCACACGCACGTTGCTAGATACATTGGATCGCCAAGCGGTGTTGTGGTACATCCAATCTCCGCAAGTTCAGCTTCATAGATTTCGTCTTACAACACCCAGGACATGAATGCACCAGTTGCTCTCTGCCAAAGTCGGGCTTGCACATTGAGTCCATGTTCCTGCTCACTGCGTCGAATAGCTTTGCCGTGTTGTTGGGCACTGCGATACCACGGCAAATGCTGTATTCCTTGAACGCCCCTCTGCTATGCAATAATTTTACACGTCCGTTTGAAAAGACATGCACTCACGATGTACAAATATTGTACAGACCTGCCAAGGTTCCACCATGCCAGTCTCGAAGCTCACCGGCCAGACCATCACGACATTCCCATCTTGTTTCTCGCTGTGCATGCGATCATGCCTTTGTGTCCTCGTCCTCGACCCACTTCATGGGCTTCTTTCCCAACGCCACACGTTTCGCGTTGTCTATCTCAAATTGCTCTGCCCTCTCTCGTTGCAGAGCTTGTTTGCTCTTGAAGCCATTGCCAAACCATTGTCTGATACCTGTTCGATTCATCAATACGAAGTCCTCTACATTGTCACAGCACGTAACATACTCAGCACACAGTGCGGACATAGAATATGTGCCCGCTTCACCCTTCCGCACGCGCTACACTTGTTCAATGCCGTGACATCCTTGAGCGCCTTGCCAGCCATCTGCCGATGACGCTTCTTCATATGACTGGTCTTCTTCTTCGGTACTGCCTTGAGTAATCCATCCCACAGCTCTCCTAGTAATGCAGGGATTGGGACCAGTGCAGCGGGGAGTATCGTAGCATTGAGTCGTTGTTGAATCTGATGAAGCAGAGGTATGCGCCGGACTGCTTGTTGTGGAATAAGAGAGGCGCGAGCGACGGGCAGGAAGGCTGAGAGAAAATGGGCTGAAGGTGCCCGTAGCGAGGCCATGTTTTCGAGATTCGGATGGCGGTATGGATGTGTTGCTTGACGTGATGTTGAATGCCCAAAGTTGCTCTGTCTCGCCTGTCTCTGCCAAGGCGCGCCTTCCTCACGTCCCCATTCCCGCGATTGGCCGCGCATTTAGCGGCTTCCCCTTTACCCTGATTTACAAGGGAAGGCGCCCGCTGGCTGCACTTTCCATCTCGCGCAAGTACACGACCGCGAATTCACCTCCTGGAACTACCTCCGCAACCTGCAACACTCGCACACCGACGCCCGAAAAGCGCCATCTCTCCACCCCCACGTCTCTTCTTTTACAGATAACATCCTCTCACAATGGCGGCCGCAGCCCACGCGCAACCGGCGCAGAGCGTCTTTCCCAAGAGCCACGTCGGCTTCGACAGCATCACCACCCAGATCGAGAAGAAGCTGCTGAAGCGCGGCTTTCAATTCAATGTCATCTGTGTTGGTACGTCGAGGGAGGAGATGGAGACATTCCCAACGAATTGCCGCAGCATTCTGTGCATTGGCATTGGCATTGGAAATTGTAGAAACACCTGCTAACAAGGATGTCGCAATCACAGGACAAACCGGCCTCGGCAAGTCTACGCTCATTAACACCATCTTCGCCTCGCATCTTGTCGACAGCAAGGGGCGTCTGACTCCCACCGAGCCCATTCGCAGCACCACCGAGATCCACCCCGTCACACACATTATCGAGGAGAACGGCGTGCGTCTGCGCCTGAACATTGTCGATACTCCTGGATACGGGGACCTGGTCAACAACGACCGCTGCTGGGACCCCATTGTCAAGTACATCAAAGACCAGCACAGTGCCTATCTCCGCAAGGAGCTTACCGCTCAGCGTGAGCGCTACATCCAGGACACCCGCATTCACTGCTGCTTGTACTTCATCACACCAACCGGTCACGCCCTGAAGCCAATTGACATTGTTGTGCTGAAGAAGCTGAGCGAGACGGTCAATGTCGTTCCCGTCATTGCCAAGGCTGATAGTCTCACCTTGGAGGAGAGACAGATTTTCAAGGACCGCATCAAGGAGGAATTTGCCTTCCACAACATCCGCATGTACCCCTACGAGAACGAGGAGTATGACAGTGAAGAGGTTGCCATGAACTCGCAGATCAAGGTCAGATTATGCCACTTCGTCGCGCTCGGAGCTTCCACTRACCGTCATCCCAGTCTATCATTCCCTTCGCTGTTGTTGGAAGTGAGCGCAACATCAACGTGAACGGCAAGACCGTTCGCGGCCGCCAGAACCGCTGGGGAACGATCAATGTCGAGGACGAGAAGCACTGCGAATTCGTCTACCTCCGTGACTTCCTCACGCGCACCCACCTTCAGGACTTGATCGACACCACCTCCCAAATCCACTACGAGTCGTTCCGTGCCAAGCAACTTTTGGCCCTCAAGGAAAGCTCCGCTCAAGTACACGGCGGTGGCGGCGGATCTCGCCCAATCTCCCCATCTGCCGACCGCGAGCTTAGCAGGCAGAGCCAGCGCATGACCATGAACGGGTACTAAGAGATCTAAATCTTGCTCCTCCCCAATCAATATACCCCAACCCTTCACCCCGACCCTCTTGGAGCATTATTTATCTTCTACCTACCCGTCTCTCATCGTCTTCCGCTGTTGTTTCTCTGCTTTGCTGACTCGTGCTTCTGTCCGACAAGGCAGCACGTTATCGCATTACCCCCGGGTCCTACATCCTCCTTGGTAACAGGCGTGCCACCGCCGCATCACACTCGTGGATTAGCAAGTCAAGGGTAGCTACGCTCCTCCCCTGATCTTCGATCCTCCTTTCTGTGTTGTGTGCGGTGTGCTGAATGCTCTTTGCTTTGCTTTCTAGGAGCTCGGTTCTCCAGCCTCATCAAGTTCCAATGGCCACCCATCGCCATACTGGCAGTGATAGCGGCGGAGCGGCTATGCTTCGGGCAAGCCTGCAGCAGCAAGGTCCGGGTCCGTACCATCAGATGTAGTAATCTGATGAGAGCTACAGGCGGATGATCGCAATCGACGCGGATGGCACTTGATCGAACATGGGTTTCTTTTGTGAAAAAGTGATAGCGCGGAGTAAATGTGCTGGGTTCTCACGGGTCGTGAGATGGGCGGCAAATTCGCATGGTGTGGTTTCTCAGCAGGATACAGTCGATTGCCTCAGAAGCTTTGTACTTGTATTGCGGTATTGATAATGGTTAATTTTACCGTCTTATCCCTATCATCCCCCCACGTCAATTGATTAGGAATCATTTCTCTGTCTCCCTCACTCACCACTTGCCGAATGCGGAGCTTTGACCTTTGACCCCGCCTTGACTGGGGTCGTCGACAAGACCTTGGCGAGCGCTGTCGCTGTCCATAGCATGACATTAGCAAGACCATCTACTTCTCTTTCGAAGCTGTCAATGTCTCTTCTACTTCGGACCTCCTGGAGACACGCTGTACCACATTTTCGTCGAAGCTTCACCTCCACATCCACAACAATGGGCAAGCAAGAATGGATCTTCATCATTCCCGACAAGGCGAATTCACTTGAAGCGAGAATGAAAGTGAGACCGTAAGTGCCCAATCATCTCAAATCCATACAAATCAGCCAATGGTAGTAACGTCTTTTCAAGACAGCATCTCGAAGAACTCAAACCTCATGTCGAGAGCGGCGCGATTGTTCTTGGAGGAGCATCCTTAGATGAACCTCTACAAGAGGGAGTTGGCATGAAGACGAATGGTAGCGTAATCATTATTGAGAGTGATTCGGAAGCTGAGGCGAGGAGGATTGTTGAGGGGGATGTTTATTATACTTCTGGGGTTTGGGATGTTGAGAAGGTATGTGAGATTGACGGAGTAGATGGATGTATCTTGTTGTTGTCGTGAAGGAAGCTAATTTGTTTGTTTGGGTTGCGCAGATCAAGATGATGCCTTTTGCGAGCGCGATACGGAAGGGGAAGTAGATTACCTTAGACTTTGTATCAGAGTCTCGGTCTTGAGGGGTTCGTACGAAGAATCGTTCAGCGAGCCTGAGTTCCGAGGGTATTGTACGAAGAATCGTTCCGATGGCTAGTTCCATGTCTCCCAAACGACGAGATCTGATGTGTCCATCGACGACCTTCTTACGCTCTGCTCCTCGCCAGACACTCCTATTCATTCACAGTCGCTCGCCTCTGGTCTTTGACAATTTCCTTCTCGCTCATCAGGTCACCTGCGATCTTCTGACGAGGGCGACTCGGGAGGGCCATGCTATGAGCTCTCAGCTCGGGCAGAATCCATCTTCGGTTCCAACCAAGTTTGGTCTCCCCATTTGCTATACCATCCCAGGTTTCTTGCAGCCTTGCCTGTCCAAAATACATGCGACATTCATAGGCGTTGAAAAGCCAGTGTTCTCGACTGTGTCAAGCCGCGACCCAAGGAAAGAGCTTGTGAGGTCCAAGCCAGACAGTACATCCATACATCTGATAGTACATCTTTCAGTCCGCCTCCGTCTTGTACAATCTGTCACCCAGTCAGCATCTCGACCAGATATCTATACCGATCGAATGCCGACCAACCCAAACCATCTCATGGGATACACAATTCCCGCCTTCAACTCCCGTCCTCCCAAACGACTCCAATACAACGCCGACCCACGCTTCACAAACGCAAAAGTCAGTAAACACATACTCTCGCCGCTACAAAGCGAGCGGAAATGCGAAACATCCGAAAAACAATAGAATGCAGTCATTTGTGCTTATTAAACAATAGGTTTCTTCGTTATGCATTTCCGGGCTTCTCGTCCGTGTCGATGTGCCAGACAACATAATTGGGCAGTCCGTAGACGCCGTATCCGGCACGCTTGGCCATCTTCGCAAAGCCTTCTGTTTCGGCTTGGTTCTCGAAGGCGTAGCACGGAAAGTTGACACCTATCATACAAGTCAGCGGAGAAGCGGATCGCCAGTGTGGGATGGTACGTACCTGATCGGTGGACGTCAGCTTTTACTACAATGTTGACGCCGCCAATTCCATCCAGAGGAATCTCGACGTCTTTGTTATCTCGCCAGTTGCCCATGCGAGCCATGTACTTTCGACCGGTGTTGTACTCTTTGTATCCTGCAGCAGGTCAGCAACGAAGTCGAGATGAGGTGGTTGCAAAGATGCATACCCTCTGCAAGGACAACATCCTTGCCTAGAGTCGCGGCGAGTTTGAGACCTTGCTCCGACTCCTGCCATGAGTTGTAGTCGAAGCGACCTTCTATGTCGTGACCATCCTCGTAGCGATGAAACCACACGTCTGTGACCTGTCAGTATTGCGTCCTCTTGCGTTCCGCCCATTGCAGACATACTGGGTACCAGGACATCGCGATCATGTGCCACAAAGTCCTCGATAATCTTCTCCGGGCTGTCTTTGATGTCCACATCCCTCCAATACACCCAACTGTGCTCCGGCTTCAATGCTGCGGACAGCAGGTAATTCCTCGCCTTGCCCATGGCTTTCCTTCGTGGTCCCTGTGCAGCGAATCCATGCCTGTCCTCCACATCTTGCCCCACAGTCACGCCAAAGTCCTTCTCCACAATCATGGCGCTGTTGAATGAGTTGGAGTCCTGTCGTGACTGTATCCTATCCAGCTCCATTGCCAGCACCGCGACCGTGTCATCGGTGCTATCGCCCACCAGGAATGCCAGATCAATCAGGCGATGTGGATATGTGAGCTGTACGAGCAGGTCAAAGTGCTGCTCAATATACGGCGCGGCATTCCTCAGGGGGGTGAGGATCAGCACGCGCTCCTCGTTGGCGACCGCTTTCGGGGTTGACACGATGGGGTTGAGGTCGATTCGCTGGATGGTGGAGCTGTTGACTTCAATGGGCTCGTGGTGGTTGAAGATGACGGGCGTCTGGAGATGTCCCGCCCACATGGCCTGCTCATTGGGTGTCATCTGCATGGGCGACTTTGCGGGTCCAAAGCAGTAGAATCTAGCAAGGGCATTATATTGTCAGGACAGCTCGTGGAGGATTCACATCCATCAATGTCGCATCTCGCATCCTTACCTCTGCCAGTCGCCCGCGCTGCCCCGTACGCCATTCCATATTAAAATCGCAATGCCGGCCAGGGCGACGAAGAAGAGAAAGCGAGTGCGCGTAAGAAAGGACCAGATGGCTCGTGTCGGTGGGAGTCGTGCCCGTGCGCTCTTCCAGTTCATGCCGCCTTTGGGGAGCAGCATTGTGCGCGCTTCCGATTCCATACGCGTCCCGAAGCGAATCGAGTCTGGCCGATGGGAAGGAATTGGGACAATAGGGAAGGGCGACGTAGTTGACACTTTTCCCACCACTTCCAGTAACTTCCCCCAAGTCGATCGGAATAGTACGCTTGAGACGTTCCTGACTCTCTGCCAAGGGCGGCACGTCTCGCGGGAACGCGCAAGCTGTGCTGGGACGCCGCACCCATCAAACCTTCATCAAACTTCCTACAAGTCCAGCGTCTTACTGGTGATGAGACTTGAATGGTTAGCAGTCTTGTGCAAAGACATCATGAATATGACTCAATGGCTTTATCAAGCAGATCCGACGCCTTTTTGCCATTACATTCATTCCCGAGATACCATAGTCCGCACAACCCTCACGTGCCTCCTGCATCGTCCAGGCCAGGAGATTGAACCGCAACCCCGAAAGATTGCAAGTTTCGCTTCGCCTGACGAAAGATTTGCCCACAACTGCCTGTCTCTCCTCAACCAAATGCCGTAGACGCACGTTTTTCCATTTCCACACTCGTCACATACCCTAACCTAACCCTGTGGAAAACCTAGGTCCCGTCGCCCCACGTGGCGGCATTCTGCCTCGCCAGGACTGCCCGCCTGTTGATTAGCACACACACGCGTGGAGACTTTGCCCGATGGCCCGCAGCCGCCACCTGTCGATGCCGTTTTGCGATCTGTAACATTTCCATTATTCTCAACGACGACAAAGTTGGGCGGAGGGAACGCCAAACCCTGCCCTTGACCTGCAGTAGTTCCACCGAATGCGCAACCCTCAGCTCGCGCTCATGCTCGGCGCAGAACGTTYTCTTGCATGAGCGCAGGCCTGGTTGATTGGAGAATGCGACCTACCTACGTACATGTCTGGTTGGAGCTAATACTACACGTCACCTACCCACCACATCCCTCAAACGTGGCACTTTGGAAGCCTCCCCGACGAAAACATGGGTGACGGACAGCTGCTACAGAATGCAAGCCTCATATCCTCGACCCGTAGTAACATTGTTGGTGACGACGCCCGTCTACTCACATGACAACAAGCACGAGAAACGTTGAGGAAGCAGGGCTGTCGAATATTGTCTATTGTCTATTCTTTGATATGTGAGAGCCATATACACGTTAAATGTTATGTTGCTATATCCACCAAGTCGTCATCATGCGTTTTCCTTCCCACCCAATGATACACCACAAAAGCTGACCACACCACACACAACTCCCCAAAAGGTTCCCAAAATGCCAGCAGTCACCCACCATGCTCGTGCTGCCCGATCGCCCCATTTTTTCCTCTCTCATCAGAGATCCGTCAGAAATGCCCGATAGGGTACAAGGATCTCTCTCGCTTGGCAGAAAAAGCTGCCATGCTTCCAAGTGTGCCTGCCAGGGATGTTTGCTCGCTCGCTCGCTAAACGCTATGATAGATCACAAGTTGATTTCCAACCAAAAAACAAAAACAGCAGTACCCGCCCTGGAGCGCCAGAAAATCCACAACACATCAAATCATCTTCCTTGTCCGAACTGCATCTCAATGAATGCCTGTCGACAGGGGAGCACAGAATCCTCGGTCCCGAGTGTTCCTATGTAGCTCTCGCTCTCACAGGTGGACATGCCTCCACCTTTCCTGGTGGTCTCGTGGGATGTTCTCTCGTGCCCAACGAGCTTGTTGTTCCTCGAAGCGAGCTCGGGACTGCAGCACACGGCAGTCGCGCCAGTCTGCAGTGCCGTGTGTCATGCACTCTTTGGATTTGGGATCCTTGTGAGTGCAGGGTTCCTCGGAGCCGGATAGGAAGGTGCCGTCAAAAGGTTGCTCGTCAGGAGCCTCGGTGAGCATTTGTTGCATCTTTCGCTCAAACTCGGCCAGAGCCTCGGGCCCTTCCTTGATAGCGGCGCAACGATCCCTGTGGACGAAGAAATTGACCGTCACTTCCATGGCGCGGAGAATGTTGATCTTGTTGGCTGTGAGGCCGGCACCGTTGCCGTTGCCGCCACTCTGCTCGCGTCGTTCCCAACCAGCATAGACACGGAAGTAGTCTTCGGTTCGGGAGAGAACAGCAGCTTGCTGGCTACGGCAAGCCTTTTCCTTTTCCATCTTCTTGAATTTCTTGCTCTGTTCGCAAACACCGTCCGGGGGAAATGACTCTCGACGACTGTCTCGACGAGTGGCAATCTTTGAAGTTCGGCGGCGTTTCTGCAGAGGGGTGGCGTTCGATATGTGGCTGAAGTTCATTGGCGATGCGGCTCGGCTCACGTTTGGTGTGTACATGGGCTCGGAGTCACTACTGGTGTCTCCAGTCGACAGTACCGGGGAGGGGAAGCTTGTCGTGTGACGATGCATGGGAGCACTCTTGGTGAACGGGTCTTGCGGCAGCTGGTACTCTGCGAGTTGCAGGCCCGCGCTGGAGCGAAGCTCATGGTCGGCGCAACTCTCGGTGTCTGCCAGGAGCTTCGAGCAGGTAGGGCATCTCCTCAATCCGAAGGCGAGATCGTTGATCGACGGGAGAGCTTGTGTGCTGCGGAACGTTAGCTTTGATGCAGCAACCAACAGTGGGTGGAAAGACTTACTTGTAGGTCAGCGGACGCGAGTAGCGGTCAATGTATCCGGACATGGTGCCGTCGGTGTGCTTCAATCAAGGGAGTTGTGTAGAAGGGTGAAACAGTGCTGCCACACAGGAGAGCTTTGACGATTGAAACGTGTATAGACAAAGCACTTGTAAAGGACAAGACCAGGATGAACAGTATGCAGAGTTAGAGAGGGTGGTTTGCTTGGTAGAGAATGAACGGGGCGAACGAGAAGGGAACAACCAGCCTTTTAAGTTTGATATGTACCCATGTCGAGGTTGTTGTTCCCCATCTCACGATGCGAGGCACCGGCGTCGCTCACAGCTGCCGCAGAGATCAGAATCATCAGATATGGTGGATCTTCGCGCATACGGCCCGGACGCTAACAGTTTCGTGAGCTGCAGTTCTAGTCGGGAGCTGCAAATGACTTTCTGGTTGATATGCAAGGGAACAAGGGGAGGCGCTCGCTCATGGTTCGGTACAGGATCAGGTCTGGGGCCAGCACCCGGGTCCATTGACAGATTGGCTACGGGATATGACGGCCGCCTAATTCCTTGCGTGGATATACTGCATAGGCACGCTATTCCACGGCCCGCATCCACAAGATTGACGTTGATCGGCTTTTGACAATCGTGCTGACCATCGACTGGCGTTCATTCTATCCGGAGCTAGGCTGTGAAAGGCGATTGTATAGTACTTGACAGCGGGCTTTGGGCGGTGCATGTCATGCCTCACCGCAACTTCATTTTCTAGCAAAGCGCTTGGCTCATCGATACCGCAATAGAGGTCGTGCAAATGCAGGTCATAGCAGCTCATCGAATCTGTCATGACGAATCTATGGGATTTCGCATGCGGTGGAGTTGCTAGCATCATATATCTCCGGTCACATCGTTCCTGGATTTACGTTTTGCGCCGGCGTGAGATGTATGCCACTTCCCGCGACAGACAACCGCGAGGCATGAAYAACCGCGCGGACTTGCACCGTACCTAGCGCCAGGACAGCAGTGATTGGACATTTTGAGCGATACATGCGTCCACCACGACAAGCACAATGCTCGCGGAGCACGGGAAATGGGCTTGTGAAACTGGCACGACAGCCGCTGCATCAACGGCGGTGTATACCAAATTGTGGATTCGATGATCATACAACCACAGCATGCCGAGTCGAGAGGTGGGCCAATCGACAAGGCACAATGCTCGCGGAGCACAGGATATGGGCCTGTGAAACTGGCACGACAGCCGCTGCATTGACGGCGGTGTATACCAAATTGTGGATTCGATGATCATACAACCACAGCATGCGGAGTTCAAAGGTGGGCCAATCGAGTTCCACGACCGGAGATGTGCGATGAGGATCGATCATAATCTCGCCAAGAGACCTGGGTCGTTTGGACAGCGGGAGCCCGCCGAAAAGTGCCCTAAGGCGCTGGGCGTGTACAGCAAGACCTGCATCTTGTGTAACACTTGGTGTTGTTGGCTTTGCTCGGGCCAGGATTGGCACTAGCAAGGGAAGAGCATATACAGCGATGTAGACGCGCGCGTAGGGATAGCTGCGTAGAGATGCATAGCTCTTGTCAGGATGACAGCAGAGCCATGACCCTGTCATGTTTTGACATCTGACAGCGGAAAATTCTCAAGTCGTTGACGTCGGTGCGACGACTGGTCCTCACCCATCGAGCAAGGAGGGCTGCAAGGGCCGAAAGCTCACGCTCGCGTCGAAAGTGGAGGCAGCATGAGCACCATGTCGCGCTTCCGGATTGTTTCAGGGCGCATTTAGGCGAGGACTGGTGAGGCGGATGTCCCAATTGGGTTGATGTAATGATTCGCAGGGTAGGTGATGTCTCTTGCTGAAGAAAGAATGAGGTGCGGTCGAGTTCGAACTCTATCTCGGCAAGGCATAAATTAACTTTTTGCACGCACGTGGACAAACGCTTTCTCAGCTGTCAGAGGTTCCGCCGGGGAGGTAGCAAAAATGCTCAGTAATAAGCAGCCTGTCATTCAATCGCAGCTACCTGACACTTCGCTACAATTTCTCTCACAATTACAATCTCCCCTGTGTGTCCTGAGCGCCTGAAGCCAAATCGGCCTGTACAATGAATAGCCGTCGTCCATTACATGTCGCGTCGAGATTTCGAGCCTGCAACGTGCCCGACGGCTCGAATGATATCGTCAATATTGTCGGGACGTGAGTGTGCGGACAGTGATGTTCTTGCGTTTTGTTGAATTGCTACAATTAGTCTATGCAATCCTTTGCCGGACTGTTCAACTCCAATTGACAAGATGAGACCTCGCTAGTAACGCCATCGCAGAGCAGAAATAGATCATTGACTGTGTGGTGAGACGCTCAGAGCAGACCGAATCCAGCAGCGACAAGTCCAAGGACGATGGTGGATCCGGGAATGAGCAGAGATGCCGCAGCGCCCTTCTTGTCACCACCGTTCTTGGAGCCACCAGAGGCGTCTGTGCCGTCCTCGCCAGAGGTTGAGGACTGTGCCTCGCCCTGGCAGTTCTCGGAACCCTGGACGATGTCTCCAAGGTTGTCGAATGTCTCGCAAGTTGAGGTGAGGTTCTTGCTGGAAAGAACATCGAATGCACCGCGCACATCGGCGATAGCTGGAAGCTCGATCCTGATTTGGTCAGCTCTGAAACGGTATTTGGATGCAGAAAATGACTTACTCGGTGAATGCACCGTCAAAGYTGACGGCACCTCCGACGCTCTCCAGCATAGGGAATCCATCGACAGTCTCCAGAGCGGAGTTGTTGGCAACGTTGAATCCACCACCGACCATGGTGAGCATGGGGAAAGAGATGTTTGTGAGCTGGTTGTTGCCAACGAAAGTCAAGTCGTCACCGACGGAGGTCAGGTTGGCGGCAGTGAGGTTCTGGAAAGTGCTGGAGTAGAAGCCGATGGAGCCGTTGACAGCCTCGAGGGAGGGAGCAGAGAACTCGGAGCAGTTGGCAATGGTCATGTTGTTGGCCCAGATCAAGTTGGGGAACTCAATAGCAAGATCCTTGTTGTTGGAGTTGAGATCAATGCCCTCGGTGATGTTGCCAAGCTGCATGTTGATGCTCATCAAGTTGCGGTTGTTGTTGATCATGATGCTGTTGGCGATCTGGAGATCAATTCCATCAAGCGAGGTGAGCTGGGTGTCGGAGATCAGAAGAGTCTCCACCTCCTGAAGACCAGTCGTGAAAGACAGGGCCCGAAGAGCGGGGAGTGTCACCCAGTCGATAGATTGGGCCTTGACCAGGCGAGGGAAAGACAAGTCTGACATGGTGGTCATCTGAGAGAGCTGGAAGATACCGCCAATCTCCTCGAGGTCAGAGCCGGAGATGGAAGTCACACCGGTGGCATTGGCGACCAGGTCGCCTTCGATGATGCTGATGCCATCGAGGGCGATGGAGCCAGTGGTGGTGCTCGCAATCTCGATGGAGCCCTTGAAGGTAGAGCAGCTGGAGAGCGCCGACGCGTCGCCGGAGTTCTGGATGGTGGTGGTCTCGCCGCTTTTGCCGCACTGGGCTGCGAGGGAAAGATATCAGTCGGTGTTACTGTTGCCGCGCATAATCGGCACCGCTGTGTCTGGCAAAACTCACCTGCAGCGCCTGCAATGACGGCCAACGCCGGAACAATGTATCTAGCAGCCATTTCGTCTCTTGTGCACGTGGTGCTGTCTGTGTAGAACACTGGTCAGCGTCGCGTCCAGGGAAGGAGACGAGGGATGCGGTATCGTGGGTGCCGTGCGGCGGAATGTTTGTTGGTGTGTTGACGCTGGCGGCGGAGGAAGAGGCGATGAAACGGCCAAAAGACCGACGTGCGACGAGTTGGCGTTCGGGATGCTGCTGCTTGCTTGCAGGCTCAGTACTACGCACCTGGGAATCTCTAACGCTGCTGCTGGGGTGAAACGTGGGGTGTCGTGAAGAAGTCAATGGCGGTCGTTTTTGCTTGATGGATGGCTGGCTGGATTGGGGTGAACGAGTGTAAGAAGATGGCAAAAGACAAGCAAGAAGGTCCCAAAAAGCGAGTGTCGGAGGCGAAGAAGGTACAACTTGATTGTGTTGAGAAAGGAGACTGGGCACTGGGCAGGCTGCACCGCGCGTAAGATTGAAACAGGGATCGCGCCCGCTTGCTGCCGCTCCCCGCTCACTGGTTCGTTCGCGGTGTACCTGTACCCGCAGCCGTTGGTTTCTTGCAAACCCAAACCTTCTTGCTCCCGCACTGTGCACCAACGTGCTTGTGTTGACCAAGTAGATGGTGATGGACAAACATTCGGGGAGTTGGCTTGGACTTCCAAGCACTGCAGACATTCTCAGCCCTGCACACTCGACCATGGCCGTGTATCGACAGGAACAATATCCCGCAGCGAACTCCAACAGGCACACCAACGGGCATTGGCAGGTAAATAGGTACTGGACAACGGCCGCGCGACTCCAACCATATCCATCTCTGTATCTCCTTCCTGTCCCTCCAAATGTCTTTGTTGACGTCGAACAACACATCATAATGAGCGGAGTGTGGGTGTCTTCACCTCTAATCACGCATATCCTACGCCGCCTCATTTCGCTAACACATCTCCACTTCATTACTATACAAGAGTAATGCATTATTATCGGGATCTTTGCAAGCATACCTCCCCTCCTTTGCCACCGCGATGTTGAGGACTGCACATGCCGCCGCGGACACTGACAATGCATCGCACTTGTTTGCCTCTGCATAGCTCCAGCTGGCCGCGTAATCAACTGCTTGCATAGCGATGGAGTTGCCAGCTCCAACATGCAGAGCTACACCAGAACGCACAAGTTGTTATGCACGATGCGGGAGCACCAAACCTTTTGTGGAGTCTCGTTGCAAGAGAAATCTCGAGGGAATCTCCGCAACGGCCAAGGCTATTCGCCGATGAGCTTATCCCAATTGGAACCGCCGAAATGACAACGATTACCTTCCTTGCAACATGACGTGCAATCATCTCTTCTCCGGAACGCGTCCACAAGTTACAACCACCACCAAGTAGCAGCTGACTGCGGTGATGCTTTCGCTGTCTCACGATCTGTGCTCGTGCAACAGTGGCGTTGCTCGGCTGCCGCCGAAAATTCGTCGATCAAAACGTCTTTCACAGTTGGAGCTTCCAAGAAACACAAACACGCCGAGCGGGTCTGGCCCATCAATGACTCCGCGGTCGCCACCACTGGGTCCCCAGACGACCTCGCACGTAGCGACATTCGTATGGTCTTGCATCGAACGGCTTGTCGAACAACGACTTTAACAAATGGTAACGCCGCGGCGCCGTCAACGGGATACCTTCCAGAAATGGTGTAGAATCAACCCTGATAACAATGGCCATCGCCGGCGGAGGTGAGTGCGGACGTGATGGGTTTCCAGAACACGACTACTCCCGCTACGGCGTATTAAATCTTCGCCTCCTCCACGATCCAGATGGCGCCAATCCGGCTTGCTGCATGTTGACAGCATGCAGTGACTTGTGCYCTGAATCTTCCGTGCAGCTGGTCTACAGACCCTGGGTTGCACAACAGCAGAAAAGTGCGCACCATTTCATCATATCCAGTTCTTGGGTGGTATGCACGAGCTCGCTTCCTAGATACAACGAGAAGACTGTTTCCCGGAGGTGCTCTACATGGTCGGTAGGATTGGCTTAAGATCTCAACATGAAGGATAGTTCACAGGATGGTCTTCGCCGACTGCTCCACTCGAGCTTAAGCAAGCTACTGCTGCAGGAAGAACGGGTCCCCAATGCCGACCTTCCGCATGCTGTGTGTGGCAAGTGTGGCAACCCCTGCACATTTGCATTTCCTGTGGTGTGCCTCGCGATATGCGATTCGAGTCCACGGAACGGATTCTTCATCAATTTGTCATTCGGATAGGATATCTACATGGTTGGGAAAGACAGGCTACTCCTCCCACCTACCGGAAGAGGCGTAGGACTGTTGATGTGGATCGATATAACATCACGGCTCAATTCTCTAGACTGTTGCTTAAATTCTCTATGCCTTAGTGGCACTCATACCTTCACATCAATCTTGGTGAAATTGTCCTCCTCGGTAGGATCGTGAAGCGCATTTCGGATTCATCTCCTGTGTTCTGATCAATCGCTCAAACACTGATGAGTACGCACAATTTAAACGTAACATGGCTTGCCAGCGGCCAAATGTTTCTGTTCGTGCAGGTACGGATGCTTATAGACTGTTTAGTGATTGGCTGCCTGCAACATCAACCCGGGTGGCTTCTGGTGCATCCTATGTAGCGCATTGCGAACCCTATCGTAGTCGTTCAGATTTCAGTAGATGCTATGCTCCCGTTTGTCCCTGCATGTTGGGTGGTAGGAGAACTTTAGCAATCGATTGGGTTCTCTGGAATGATCCTAGCTGTGAATGTCGGTCCTACATTGCCAGCGCGTTAGCAGAGTTGGCGAAAGACGACAAAGCCGTTGGAATCTCTGGGCTAGAGTGGGCGGAGATCGAATTGACTCGGAGGCAACATATGGCGAGGAAGGCGGCTGCTGAACGTTACCAGCGTACAGAGGACATGTTGAAGCCGAAGCCAACATGGGATATGCTTGGAAAGAGGGAGACAGTCGCATGAGATTACCATCGGGGTCCCTTCATGTATGTCTCTTCATATTTCTCCCCACCATCTGTGTCTGGTCGTTTCCATTGCCAGTTCCGCAGGACATGGCTCCAGAAACTGATCTAGCACATCTTGCCAGCCTGTCCTCGTAATGTTTCCAAGCCAGGCAGAGGTATACTCCCAATAGAAAGGGTACCAGCCAGAAAACTCCCAGTCAATTATACCAACGACTTTGTCACCTCGAACGAGGATGTTGAATGGGTTGAGGTCCGCATGGGTGAAAACCGGGGGTGGCCATGGTGCGTTCTGCATTTCGGCCATCTTTTCGATGTCCAGCCAATCGTCATCCTTCCGGTTGTTTTGAGCCTCTGATGGACGCAGCTCATCCCGAAGCCAGAAGTGGAAATCCTGGATAGTCTTGAATGGACCGAAACGTGGACAGCGCGTTATACGGGAGTCATACAGGCTACCCCCAACGCAACTCTCGACTCCTGTATCCGAAGATGGTTTYAGCGCTCTCAACTCCTGAAGCATAGCTTTCAATTCCGAATAGATCTTTCGACGGGCTACTTCCGGGAGACCTTTCCATGCTGTTGGTATCTCCTCGCCACGTATTCTCTCCATTACGATGTATGCACGGTCTTTGTGCACGAAATAGCAATAGACCTTGGGAACTGGGAGTGATGTGTGTTCAGCAACGAACTTCATAGTCGACGCTTCTGTCAAGCGCACTCGGTGACCTGTTTTGATGATGATGTGTTTTGAAATAGGAGTACATGGGCCGTCGGAGTTGTGAAACCGGCCCAGAGTCTTTAGGGCAACTATGGTCAATATCCGGCGAACGAAAGTGTTGTTGATGGCGAGATTCTCTGTTCCCTGAGCCTTGGAATCGACACTGCGAAGTGATGACATTCTGTCTGTATATAGAATCGACCGCAGGAACGATCTCGAGTGGAGGATTGACAGMGAGAGATTGCTTGGATCCGCCTGCGCCAGTAATATGATCGAGCAAGCGTCCACTACTGAGAAAGAAGATGTCGCGGGTCGCGGTCGTCAAATCTGTGAGTATGGACGTGCAGCAAGTGGAGCGAAGGAGGCTGTTGCACCAGACCGGGATGGACGGTTTGAACTTGCCGTATGACTCAGCAAAGAAAGGGTCCCGTCACTTCCTGGATCGACGAGCGACTAGGTACGGTGCCAGCGTTGTCCATGTGTCTCTCACTGGCATCTGCAATCAAGGCTACTCGGAGTCGTCGCACGACCAGAACAAGTCTATCCATACGCCATTGCGACGAATCTCCCGCTATACGGCAAGATTCAATCTCTGATCGTAGGGTCGCTGAACGGGATACAAGGTTGATACGCCAAATGGCCAAGTAGGGCGATCTCTCCTGTCAAATCGATGAATGTGGAGGTATGAGTAGAACACGCGAGTGTCACTGATTAATTACAGGTCAGGATTCTGTTTCACGTGGCAACTTTGCTTTCCAACTTTGACTCCTCTTGATCTGCCATTCGCTGGACGCACGAGCGCTGTGTTCCGGGACGAGATTAGGGTTAGGGTTGATGTAGTGTTCATTCACTCACAACTCACAGCAGCACATACCACCGCTGGAATGTCGACTCCATCTGTCTGACACGAAAGTATCTCTTCAAATATTCAAAGTCCCTGCTTCACTTAGGCTAAGTGAAGTCGGCTGAGTGTGAAAGTCCAAAAGACCTGCTGTTTTGTGAGCCTATGCTTGAACATACATCTACGAAGCATTCACTAGGTCGCTGATGGCCTCGAAGAYACTGCCTGCTTGTTGCAGGATCTAAATAGAGGGTCTGAGATATCTTTACTACGTGGATCAAGGGAATTTGCTGGAGTGGTGATGGCCGAGAGGGGATCTATCTGCGATTGAAGATAGGTAGTCGATTAGTCTATGTTGCTAGGTAGGTAGGGAATGGACGAACATGGTCGAATGCTCGGTGGATAATCTGGCATCCATCTTTGGTGATGGTGATCCAACATTTCTAGCAATCACCATATTCGATTAATTCTGGATCAAGACTCGGCAGAGCGATTGGCATATTTAAATGAGGACATGAATCTCCTGGAACAAATGCCCAACGATACAGGTATGCCAAAAGATTACTCGATGGAATGCACATCTTTTGATGTTCGATTATCTCTCGAAATACATTTCTTGCGTCGTGTCGCAGGAAACAACAAATGGGGTATTCTGCCGCTTCTCTCAGAAATAACACTCACAACGCACGTCTCCATATCTCTCTCCATATCACTCTCCCGATTGGCCATAGAAAGATCCGCCGAGGAATGAAAACAGCATCATCATCATGATCAACTCCGTAGAACGCCATTTGCCCATATGCACAGTTCACTTCTTCCCGATTGCCATTTACACACACGTTCCGCCCCGTTCGATCTTTTTGACACCCCTTCGTTCTCATTCCCCCTTTCTGTCTGCCTTCCAACCACATCTTGGCTTGTCCGCCGTGCTCAAAAATCAAGTGCAAATGCAGGGGAAACTCAAACTTACCTCTTCAAACTCCTCTCTCCTTCTGCAACTCTTTTCCCTCCTCCTGGACCTGCACCACGTACGTCTTGATCGTTTCATACGCCAGCATCGTCGTCATAGCAGCGGGAATTGCGCGAATCATGTTCGTTCCCATTCCGTTRTAAAACGCCCTCCACCCTTCTTCCTTAAGGATAAGTTTGAACGTGTTGACGATGCCGGTGTATTTCGGTTGAAACACCATGCCATCTGTACTGCCTATCCGTTTCGCCGTGGAGATTGTCTGGCTGTGGTTGGAGTAAGCCAAGTTTTGACTCTCTTCGACCAGTGCATTACGAAGTTGTGTCTGTTGGCGAGTTCGAAGAACTTCATGTGGGTAGGTGGCTGTTGTGGCGAAAAGTTTGGAAATGAATCCCGCGGCCAGGATGCCGAAGGTGCTCGAGGCGGCATCTGACGAGTTAGCGGGAATGGCGGTGGCACCCATTTCCGAGCCGGTGAATTCTCGTTTGAAGTATTCATACAGGGGGAATTGAATGGCAACGTGAGAGAGACCGAGTAATCCGGGTACAAGGCCGGAGTAAAAGACTCGAAGGCCGCCTTCTCGGTACATTTGTCGAGCAGCATCGAGGGTGCCGGTGTAGTGGTAGGACGATCGATGTGGGTTCTTTGGTCCTTGTTCGGCGGAAGTGGGAGGGTTCATGGACATGAGACGGGTTTTGATGACCCAGATGGGACTGGTAGCAATATTTCCGCAGAACCCGGCGGTGACGGATGCGTAGAGGCGCGCGAACCATTTGTCTCGTTCTTGCTCGCCGTATCCGTGATTATAGAGAAATTGACGGGTAGTGTCGTATACCGGCATGTAAATGGCCCAGGTGGGAATGTAGCCGAGCACCATGGGCTTGACGCCGCGATAGAAGCCGGAGAGGCCTTCGGATCGGTAGATGACCTTGGCCGTGCCCACCAATCCCTTGTAGAGCTGTGGAGGGCGCATGGGCTTGGGAATGTCATTGTATGCCTGCGTCTGATTTTGGAGCTTCGTCTTGATTACATCCAACGGGCAGGTCGCGACACCGCTGATGATGCCGGCAGCTGCTCCGGACAGGGAATTGATGCCCGGGGCAGTGAGGTGGTTGGCGGTCCATATTGAAAAGGCGGGAAAATGTTGGCTGATTATGGATTTATCGGCGGTAGTGGTGGTGGTAATAGGTGGGGATGGGGTTGACAAAGGCATTGCAGGGCGGCAGCGCAGATGTTCTGCGTGCGCGGAGGCGGGACTATCGTGTCATGCTCGACGGTGAGGATGTGGGATTATCGCGAGTGAGGTAGGTAGAGTCGGGGTTGAAGGGCGAGTGAAAGGTCCTTTATCGCGTGCTCATGTCGGTCCTTGTCGAGGGAAATCTGCTGAAGATCCGTCCCAAGCTTCTACTGCTGAGTACCTTACCGATGTCGTCCACCAGGCCCCGCTTATCCGTGAAGCTTGGTGACATTCTAAACGCCGATGCCGAAGCGGCACCACCCACCAATCAGCGTCGAGAGGTAATCCTCCATTCGCCTTTCTGTAAGTAAGAGTGCAGGACGTAACGACCAGAGAGCTTTGAAGGAGCGCACCGGACAGACTACCTCCACAACACACACACTTCCGCCAACATGTCGACGCCRTCACTCGCCCCATTTATCATGAAGCGGCYATGGCTGCAGAAGTGGATGCAGCCCCTGTCCCGCTGGTACCTCGACAGCGCGGGATACCGCAAGTTGGGATTGAGGTATGTGGCCGGAGAGGAGAGATGAGGAGGAGGCATTGGGATACGACGTCGCGCGAGGAGATTGACAGCCACATACTGACACCATCCTCTCCGCAGAGCCGATGACCTGATTGCAGAGGAGAGCCCCGAAGTGCAGCTCGCCCTCAAGCGTTTGTCGCCCAAGGAAGCATATGACCGCGTCTTCCGCATGCGACGGGCCGTTCAGGTGGGTTCAATTGAGAGTGGTGGTGGAAGGGATGCGGACTGACAGCGAGATAGTGCTCGATTGCGCATCAATTGCTACCAAAGCACGAGTGGACCAAGCCTGATGATGTACGACACACAAACATTCCTACATGTAGCCAACACCGGCATACTGATAACCCGTCTCTAGGACTACCCATACCTCTCGCCTATCATCCGCGCCATTGAGACGGAGCAAGCGGAGCGCGCCGACCTTGAGAGCATGCAAATCACCAAGCCCAAGTCCAAGAAATAGACGATGAAAACCAGAAAAAAGAGTTGATAGGGGCGGGGAGTTTTTATGATGAGTCGGGCGAGACGAGCAAGACACACGACATGTATATATTGCCGCGGGCCACGGAGATCAGTGGCATAGATGYCGACAATTCTCGAGTGTACCATTACAACCCCAGCCCTACCCTCACCTCCCCTTCCCCCGGTAGGTTCACACACACTCCCACACACAGACATGGATATACCCGGCGTCGCAGGTGCTAGGCACTTGCCTGAGCTCTCTCCATCATATGGGATTGCTTAGAACGGAGCGTCGGTAGATTAATTTATGGACCGGCTCTCTCGGGAGTCTGGTCTTCTGGGAATAGAAGGCGTGCTCTCCATGGGTTGCTTCAATGCGGCGAGGGAGAGTGGGCAAGAGAACCTCTCGGACAATTCTGTAACACACTAACTTATCTGGAGGGCATAGAGTTGTTGATATGTGGCGAAAGGGTTGGAATGGTGGATGTCGACCACTTGGTCAGTAAATGCGATGAATGCATGCCATTCTTATATAAAGTTTCCTTGGAAAGCACTCATTTGCATCTGCAATTGGAGCACTCGTTTATAATTCATTGATATTCCGTCTCGGGTCATGTGAGAGCGCGCCTCGGGTTCGCGTTCTCATGACGCTCCTCGCAAGCCAAGGTACCTAGTACTTGGTTACCTAACTTAGGTAATCTCCTCCATCTCCAACACCACTTCATCCCATGCATTCCATGTATGCCGACAGAGGTAAATGAAGTCGGCCATGTCTCTTCGTCGCTCCGCCCGCGTCCGATCCATTGCTTCGGCAGCAGTCGCGCAAGAAGATGGGCAGCATGAGAGCGAGCACATGCCTCCAACCACCACTCCCAATAAACGAAGGAAGATCTCCAAACCCACCGCTGTCCCGCCCATAACTCCCACTCCCTCAGCAATCGCTTTCATGACCAATTCCAGCACCACCAAACCCACTCCCCAACCACCCGCAACCCGCCCCATCAAACTACACTCCACAAATGCCCCACTCCTCACTCCAGGAGGCAGCACACAATTCTACTCAATTCATGAAGATAACACTTCTCCTTCAAAAGCTGTCCCTCATACGCCTCCAACAACGAACAAGACCCTCCTGTCAACAGCCTGCGAACACCTCATCTCCATCGACCCCACCCTTGAACCCATCATAAAGAAACACCACTGCAAACCCTTCAGTCCCGAAGGCCTCGCCGAGAAGATCGACCCTTTCCGCGCTCTCGCGTCGGGGATCATTGCTCAGCAAGTCTCGGGCGCTGCAGCTTCTTCCATCAAAGCCAAGTTTGTGGCACTATTCTCTACAGAGGAGTGTGCGAATGGCTTCCCGACTCCCAAAGCTGTGGTTGGGAAACCGATGCAGGAGTTGAGAAGTGCCGGGTTGAGTCAGAGGAAAGCAGAGTATATCCAGGGTTTGGCGGGAAGGTTTAACGATGGGGAATTGACGGTCAAGGGGTTGTTGGAGGGGAAGGATGAGGATGTTATGAGGGAACTTGTGGCTGTGAGGGGGTTGGGGAGATGGAGTGTGGAGATGTTCATGTGTTTTGGGTTAAAGAGGACAGATGTCTTTAGTACGGGTGAGTCTGTGTCGGATTGTGGTCTTTTCAGGTGTGAAGGTTTGCTGATAGTTGGCATGTTTGCAGGTGATTTGGGCATTCAAAGAGGTATGGCTGCACATGTAGGGAGGGATGTCGGCAAGTTGAAGGGCAAGGGAGGGAAGTGGAAGTATATGAGTGAGAAGGAGATGGAGGAGATTGGGGAGAAATTTAGGCCGTATCGGTATGTTCGCCGAGGAGAGAGAAGAAGATGTTGGAGGGAGAGTGTGATGGGCTTCGCTGACACTGAGTCTAGGTCTTTGTTTATGTGGTACATGTGGAGGGTAGAAGATGTGGATGTTACAGCTGTTCAGGATAACTAGGACCGCAGCCGGGTAGAAGAGTTGGACGTTGCGATACCAGAGAAGAGCAAGGATTGACAGGACTTGCGTGATGAAGGATATGGATTTTATGATGGATGGTACACGAATCACGACGGACTCGGACTCCCTCCAATGATCGAAGACGGGTTGAATTTGGCCTGCGAAGAAGATGATGCTGGCCTCGAATGTTGCTCGCCCGGACGACGCGATGACCGGTTCCCAGGAGCAGAAGCGGAGGCTATGTATTTCCATCGAACCGCCTCATCATATCGTTTGTCCCCCAAACCCTTTGTCCTATTCAATGTTTGCTCACACCCTCATTCCCTCCATCTCCAACCCCTCCCTATTCCTCCTTCTTCTCTCACAGATCCCCTCTATTCCATGCAAATCCTCCCCRCTCCTCATCTCCATGAACTTCTTCCGGAAATTCTGCTCTGCGGTTCGGGTTCTGAGGCCTTTTTTACCGCCTTTTGCTACTTCCAACTCTCGACGGGAGGTGTCGCAGGCTTGTTTGAGGAGAAGAAGGGAGGTGGTGCAGCAGGCTGGGGTGCAGCAGTAAGGGCGCTCGGAGGGCGTTCGTGTTAGGCAGGTGTGAGGGTTGAGTGGAGCCATGTGTTTTCTTTCCTTTTGGGGTGTGGGGTGGTTGGACGGCGGGGAGGAGTTGCGTTGGGGAGAAGATTGAGAGCTTGGGATTTGGGTTGATCTCGTTTGGCGGATGGGTGAGATTTGAGGGGGTTAGCAAAAGAAAGAGATGGGTCTGGGGGTGAAGAGATGCATATTCTATGTATGATGATGGCGATGATGCGAGATCCGCTTCTGGGGAACAAAGGATTGTTTGAAGGAACATAAGGTCAGTTCGAGCATGGGTTCTGCCACGTGGATTTCTTGCCGAATTTCTAGCATGCATTGGGTCGAGGTCCGAGATTCTTTGTTCGTGCGTATAAGCCACGGAGGATGAGTCTTTGGCAGCAAGGACGAGATGGCGGTGACGGGTCCGGCTGGTGTTACGAAGACATCGTTTCGTTACTTGGAGGTTCATGTCGATGTTCATGGTGCTCCCGAGCATGCCGGTTTTAGATTGTACGGCAGCTGGCTCAGCTCCTGTAACAAGTATACGATGGAAGGTACGTGCAATGCCGAACAAWGGACATGCATCCATGCACTGAATACAATGCTAACAGGTCTGCATAACAATGCACATCACCTCTCGGACCCGAGAAACCTCGCGGGCCTCGGGTGAAATACCTTATGAGAGCAAGCTGGTGACTCTTTGTCGCCTCCACCTCCACAGCTTCCTCCACACAGGAACAACAGGTGAGATCCTCTCTACCCTCTTGGCGGACAAGCTGCCATGGAAGATGATCAGCCGGCTTTGAACGATACGACATGCTTCTGCGAAACACCTCACGCTGGAACTGCACAGAAGTAGGCGTGGGATAGAGATCCCTTCATCTAATAACCGTCCGTTGACAGACCAGTCACCTATATCCCAATCTTTACATGCCTGCTTCCTGACTTCCTGCCCCATCATCACCATCAACATCGTCCCCATTCTCACCCACCACAGTCTCACTGACTCAAGCAATATCTACCACATAGAATGCCTTTCAGCCTCCTGCATGACCTCTGTCGACTCCCGTGACGGCTCGCCCGATCATTTCTCACTGGACCGCAATGTATGCTGGAATTAGGCCGACTGGGCTGGCTAATCATGGTCACAGTGGCAAAGCTGTGTAAGCTTCATATGCCTCTGAGAAATCAAACTATAGACCAAGACCAAGGCTAGAGTGCTATCAGCCTCTGGTGGAGATAATTTTTGGTACCCTGCTCATATAGAGCTGTTGTGAACTCTTTCAAGGATGAGACAAACAGGTGTATGACATGATGGTCCCCATGGTCACACCTCCCAACAGAGCGGTTCGTCTTTAGAGAGCCAGCATGACTGCATGGTGATCCTGGGAAGATGATCTCTCCGGAGAGTTGCACCATCCATGGCTCTGGCGAGGAGAATTTCGTCTACAGTACCAACAGCGGCCTGCCATCGGACTCACGCGACAATCCACGGAAATCTATCAGTCTGGCACAAACATTGTAGACGCAGAGCGCCTCGCTCAAAGCGCCGAGACATACTGGTCCCCATGTCAAAAACAAGCAGTAAGGCAAGTACCATGTCGAACTATCAAGACGATGGATGGTGTATATCAGCTCTTTTCAGGCCATGTAGAAGGCTGTGGTAACTGCTGCACCCGCTCCCAATTCCTGTTCTAAGATATATACTGTTGATAGCGGATTGCAGTCTGCACCCTTGGCTATATGTCATATCTCATAGTCCTGTTTCCTTCCTCACTAACAGTCTCTCAAAAGGAGGCTTTGATCACATGTATCTGAGCTCGACCGCTGATGACGCAGATTCGTTCACTCACCGGCGCTACCCGCGAGGCTTTCCTATTAGCGTACCTCGAGGACCCTGTGCATCTAAGTGACTTCATCTTGCTATTTCAGAACCGGACAACGCTCGCATCCCAACAACTGGAACGCATTCGAGAGACAGGCACTTCGCTCGAGTCTACATATCGCCACCTTTGCGACTACCTCGATACTGACAGCTGTCGGGTAATTTCCTTCCATATCTTATGCGTCCTTCCTCGATTGACATCTTCAAGGGAATATTGGTAGCATCCTCTACCGCTAACCGACTCACGGACAATCAGTACCCAACTCCACTAAAACTACGCACCTGTTACACAACCCGGTGAGTGTAGTTCGTCAATGCCCGCGCACATTATTTGGACTGACTCAAGTTTGTAGCCACTGCATTCATTGCGCACTAGCTCTGATCACCGCGCATATCTGAAGTCTTCTCCGAGCCGCTCCTCGGAAAGTCAACCATATCACAGCAGCGTTTCTCGCCCTAGTTGATCCATCTCAAGCGCCTGTTGTACCGCATCTACACCCGTCTTCGCAGATATGGTTCAATACAAGACCTATCCACCCCCACACACCGTCTGGTACAACAGATACAATACGCATAAGTTGACTCCATTCGAAAGCAGTCACGAGGGACGAGTCTTCAACTCGACGARGTACTGGCAATTGGTGGATAGGAGCTCCTCCTCCAAGCAAGATCTCCAAGCAGAGCTGCTCAATCGAGGTATTTCTACAGACAACCTGCGGGCCGCCTCCCGAAGCAATGATCGGCTTGTGCAGCTGGTTTCTCGTGCTGAGCGTGGCCTACTGACGTATACTGGGACCCCGCCGGTGGAGCTACGCCGCTATATCGTCGATCGCAAGATCGCCTTAGGTCGTGATGTCAGTCGCTGGGGCAGGTTGAAGATGATTGCGCTTCTTGAGAAAGCCGATGAAGATCCTTCTTTCCCACGATTCGAGGTAAGTCGCCTCGTACGTGCAGGTCGCTATGTCTGTGCTAATCTTGATTCTTGCTTAGGAACTGCCTCCAGAGCTTCGGTCGATGATCTACTCATTCCACCTACAGGAGCTCGAAACTCACAGCGCAGAACTTCCAGTCACTCCTCCCGTGACCCGAGTGTCTCGATTGCTCCGCAAGGAAAGCCTACCCCTGTTCTACAACATCTGCAACATTTCGCTTCAGAAGAGCATGTTTTTCGGATCAATCAAACCCTTTACTCCTTCCGCCCAGCGACACCTGGCACGGTTCAGGAACTTTAAGGCCTGTTTCTACACCGCCTGTAACAACGGAGACAACGATCCTGAGACATCTTTCACCACATTCCTAGAGCTCAGTATATCACGCGGCATCATCAAGTGCAGGATAGCTTGCTACGATCCTCTCCTTTTTGATATCTTTTACCGAACATGGAACCAGATCCAAGTCTCCACCTATGTCCCCGTGGAAAACTTTGGCGTGGAGCTCGTCGCTCGCCATGCAGCAAGGATGCACTCTATTGAAAGTGCAGAGTCACAGGATTACGGATTGAACTTGCAGGAAAAGGACTTTCAGACTCTGCGACTCCTGTTTCGTGATGTGTGATGCGAGAAGAGCATTCATCATGAAGCTTGGATGGACCGAAGCCTATTCCGTGGGACATGTGTTTTTACGGCTTTTGAAATAGAGTACGAAGGGGATGGGTGCGAATTTGATCTCTGCAAGCGTTAATCACCATTGTCCATTGAGTCCTAGGCGAACGCTACAAGGTGTGTTGAACTGTATAGACAGACTATGGCCCATGGTGGATGGTCTGATATGTTAGAACGGGCGTCCTCGTATCGAGTTGTATATCACTCCATCCGAGCTCGTTTGAAATAAATAACACGAGCTCATCCCAGACCAAGCCAATAGTAGATCAATCAGTAGAACTTCTTCATTGGACCGCTGGATCGTTGCTCCATGAGCCAAACCAGGAGCTGAACTTCGGCATGCTTTGAAGGATGACAAACGATGCACAGACTAAAGCCTTGAAGTCCTTCTATACAGTACCTGACCAGAACCGAGGCCTCCTCCATCGATCTGGGTGAGTCGTGCCCCGGTAGAGCTGTGCCGAGCTCTTCTGCAGGGTGACGAGGAACCGGAATTATAGCAATAACACCGGATTTAATGTCTATCAGCGCTTTGAGGCTCATCGCATTTTTTATTCTGGGCTGTAGATTCGCAGGCAATCGCAGTCAGAACGACACAGTCTCGTAGATAGCGGTCTCAATCGATATTATGATCATATAAAACCATTTCAAAGCGCAAAGAACATACTCTTCGCTGCACTCGCAGAAAGTGAGCACCAGAAGTGTCCGCAACATCATTCCTTCGAAGTTATCATCAACACGTGAGGTCATGTGCTGCTCCTTGGAAGATGGGCGATTCTTTGAATTTTGTTACCACCTGGATGAGCTTATTAGTTTATTGCCGTTTTGGCATCTTCATGTCTGCTGGGCCGTACGCGATTTGCGGGCTGCGTCAAATGTATCGACTACTGGCGATTGAATCTCTTCATTTACCGCAACTGCATGGCAAGCAACGGTATTAGACAGCTCAGGTCTTGGTATTGATGTAGAGTGTTCACGAAATTATTCCTCTCTTGCAGTCGTGTCAAACCGTGTCGCACTGGCTCGTGACTCACGAGTCGTCCCAGTAGTCGCAGCGAGAGTTGAATCAACTAATTACTTACGTTAGATTAGGTGACTCATAGCAGTTTGCTCAAAGATATTCAAGACAACCGGTCGCCAGATACAAGATGCTGTAGTAGATGCCCGACGTCACAAAGCATCTTAATTATTCACTTGTGGATCTATTTCGGCTAGCGTCAAAATAAGCTCAAGGGTCCAGCATGACCTCGACTTTCGCCGACAACTTTTCCACCTTGAAACCCCAAGCCCTGAAAGCCCCAGACACAAACGCTTCATTTCAATCTGATCTTGCCATCGGCACCGCAAAGATGGTACAACACGGCGCTTACACCTACGACTTCAAAGGTCGCGCTAAATTCCTCGACCCCTCGGTCGACTACTGGAAGCTCAAAAACTACGCCGACCTAGACAAAGTCACGGAAAGCACCCACGATCTGTATACGAAGTTCCTCAGAAAGCGTCTCAGGAACCCTACCAAGCTCTACAGCAAGCGTGCGCCTCTTCGCCTAAGGCAACTAGCTGTGCGCTCGGAGCGCGGTCTCCTAATCTACGACCCGTTTTCGGAGGATGAGCTGCGCGCCTTCGTGGCGTCCYGACATCTCGATCCAGTTACGAAACGCACCAAGGGATGCTCGGAAAAGACAGAGCTCATCGCGCGGCTTGAGAAGGCTGATGAGGATGTGACATTTCGACTTGGGGATCTCCCAGCGGAGTTGCGCGCGGCTGTGTACGAGTTTCACATACAGAGCCTTGACCGCGAAGAGGTTGCCCAGACCCAACCACCCATTACAAAAGTCTCGAGACTTGTCCGCCAAGAGACCTTGCCAATCTTCTACAACACCTTCCCGCGCCACCTCTACATCAGTTTTTTCTGTAATCCAAACGCGATGCGAACTATTGGATGGCCTGGCTCGATTAACGATCCCACCGACCTCTCAGCCAACATTGCAGCAGCGGCACTCTTCTCAACCAAGAGGCTCCAAATTCATGTGTATGTGAACTATCCTCACTGGGCCCCGCCTTTGGATGATTTGCCATATATCATCGACGTGGAATTTTCAGTCTCCAACGGGGGAGTTCTGTGTGCTATGCCTTCGCTGGATCGTAAGCGCTCCAGGCACAGCCGTGCGTGGTCGGCCTTGACACCAGCTGAGAAGCTCCGACAGAACGCTCCGAGCAAGGTCGATGAGGCTTTGCGAATGTGGCATCGCGACTTGGTTCTGCGACGCCTTTCTTATGCCGAGAAGTTGGTGGCCGCCGGCGAGGAGTCGTCTTTGGATGGGCCTTCAATGGGATTGATGATCAATGGGGACGATTTGGAGAAACTGAAGTCAATCTACTAGTGCTTGGACCGAATCAGATCGAGTGGTGTGGGCTTTACTCTGAGTGTAAGACTCAACTCTGGGGGAGTTCATGGGGGTTTTCTGCGGAGGAGGAATTATCCAGGATACAACGTAGCAGCACTAAGTCGAGCGACGATTGTTGCGGAGCTGGTTTCGGATTGCACTGGAATTCATGCTGGAGTTTGTTTCAAGGGAGGCAGCTTACATAAAGGCAAACATGAAGGCAAACCCACTATAGCAGATTGTTTATTAGCCTGCCACATCGAATTCGACATCTAAATTGTTCGACTCTAATCGCTTRTTCCCAACATGATGTTCCAGATATGCCTACATCGGAATTGAATCGCGATTCAGTGAGGATATGAGTAAGCTACCATAAGCTCGTTACCGGCGTGCTTAGCGAGACCTCCTTAGCTACGACAAAACATCCGTTCGAGGTTTACGCATTTTTAGCCGTTCAATTACTTTTAACAATAAAGTATGTGACCTTGACATCTTTTGAATCCCGTACTCGCATCCCGTCGAGTGGTGAGACCGATATTGGAGTTCCTCGATCCGCGCGCGACATTGTTGCGATTTGCGTACGGAAGCCTGACGCTAGCGTCAAATTGGGTGAGTGAATGTGTAGCGGCCCGCGAGCACGCGGACACGTCATTGCCATGTCAGAATCAACAACCCAATTTAGCGACGCGCCCGACACCTCGACCTCATCGCTCTTTCCATCATCACCTACACCACTTTAGCGACACACTCGACAACTCGACCTTATCGCTCTTATCATCAGCGCCTACACCACATTCTCAACGCAGCCCTTCAAACGTCCGCCAACATGGTGCACATCCAGAGCGAAGGCTTCTACGACGCTGCACGTAGAGCCGAATTTAAATCCCGCTCCAACGACGCGCGCGAATACTGGATGCTCCAAAATGAGTCTAACGGCTTACTCGGTCCAAAGAGACGTCGCCTCGACGAACGCAATGCCAAATACAACGTATCCGCATCCCGCTCTCAGCTAGAGAAACTTTGCCTACGCGCAGAACAAGGTCTCTACATCTACGACAAAGTCCCCGTCCTCGAACTCCGGACTTTCATTTCTGCGCGGCAACTATCATGCAAGGTGCCGCTCAAAACGAAGAGAGCCGACCTTGTTGCCATCCTGGAGCGCGCAGATGAGGAACGCACATTCCCGTTCCTGAAACTCCCGCCGGAGCTTCGCGTACAAGTCTTCCAATACCATTTCCGCACTTTGCAGACTAGGAATGGACACCTAGTGACTCTGCCTCCGCTGACTGCAGTTTCCAAACTTGTCCGGAAGGAGAGTATGCCTCTCTTCTATGAGACCTGCACTTTCCATCTCGACATCATCGCTCCGGATGAATGGCTACGTGCAATCAATCAGGCAGAAAATGATCGTTACTTCGCGCCGGCGAATGCTACGAGACTGCGCGGAATTCGGAAATTGCAGGTGGAAGGATCTGTTGGGCCGTATCAAAGCGGGACATTCGTGATCGAGATGGGCGGGGACGGTAAGGTTGCTGAGGTGCGCCATGTGAAGATGGATACATTACAGGTCGGTGCAGCGGCACAGAGTTGGCTCGATCGTGCGGAGGAAGGCCTGAAGGGTTTCCGACAGAGATTGATTAACCGCCGGGAGAACAAGGTGATGGAAGATACGAGTGGTGGTGATCGAGACTCTGATTCACGGGTCGTTGAGTTTGTTGAGGGACCAGTTGCTGGACTGGATTTGCAGAGCTCTGACTTGGCGGTACTCAAGGGGATGTTTCGACCGAGATCTGAGGGGAAGTGAGCAGTACTTGATGGCATGAGGAGTGCTGGGGAGGCTGGGAGGTTGACGATTGCACGATTGAGAGATGAACATGGGAGATGAAGGAGATTGGAGATGACGAAGACGGTTGAGAGGAGGTTTTTTGCAAAGGAGCGACACGGAAGGCGGATGTCTTGACGGTGGAAGGAGAAGATGCTTTTTGATGGGCTGGCTGGGAAGGAGCTTCCACTTGCAATGATAAATTACTTTACCTCCTCTATGGATGACGTCGATGTAACCGTACTTGTGTCACCCTGGTCCAACGGAGATGTTAATCGCTCCAGATAAGGCGGCAATCTCCAAGTTCACCGGTCTTGTCCCCCGACCGCCCGTGTCGGATACCGTCGTCGGCGGCACGTTAGAGACCAAAGAATATCACAGCTCACATCCACTTCTTTGGTTCAATGTGCATTCTCGTATACATATCCATACATTACCCACACATTCTCCCTCTCATCTCACGCTCCCTCCTCATCAAGCATCCCGAAATTCCTTCCGAACTTTGACCCTCACAGGCCTCACACAAGGAGTCACCATTTGCGGCAACGGATATTTCATATCCAACCATCGAGTCTGCAACCACCCACAAACCGTACTCGGGATCAAATACAATAATACCGCCGCTGGTAATTTCGCAGCCACGAAGAAGAAGACTAGACTCACACTCAATCCCAGTTTCTGACCCGTGGAGAGCTTGTCCAGAGGAGACTTTTGGGGTGGGAGGGCCGCGAGAGCTGCTAGTGGGTCGTCGTCTTTGGGTGTCTGATTCTCGTTCTTCTTCGTTTGAATGACGGGCGCCGGGTTGGGGTTTGGACGGGTGAGAACTGTAAGGGCGATTGCTGTGGAAAGGCCAAAGGGGAGAAGGAGAGTGGAGTCTGCGAGGGTGAGGTCTGGGAACCATGCTAGTCCTTCTGTCTTGAGAGACGGGTCCTGGACACCGGCGTAGATGTTCGTGTTGAGAGCGGGAAGTTGATCGGAAGCCATATCCTGCAATGCAGGACTTGTTGATTCCTCGTCCATGAAACTCATGCCTTCTTCCCCTTCCATGACAGGTTGTGCAGGAGTCCCGGCGGATTGCTGTTTCGCAGCATAAGCAGCTTCTAACCTTTCCACCAGAATTTCATCCGGAGTCATGGCTGCTCGTCTCGCCGTCTCGGGATCTACGTGTTGATCGATCGACTTGGCCAAGAAACTCAACAAGCCTTCCCTCGCACCACACTTCACCCTCACAGCCTCCGTCATCGCAATCAACACCCCGAAGTTAACCGGACTTCTCCACCAAGTGAAGGCCGGCGCGCCATACTCCTTGCCTGTCCGATGGGAACTCCGCACGGCCATGAAGCCTCTCATGATTTTCATGCGGATAGCCATGATAGCCATTTCCGGTTCTGAGATGGTGCGGCCATTGGCTGCATCCTGTATTTTTTCATCCGCGGCCCTTTCGCGGTAGGATATGTATTCTGAGCGGAAGCGGGCGGCGGAGAGGGGATGCAGGTTCACGCGGGTTATGGCAGCTTTGCGGGCGGGGAGGGCGGAGATGTGGTAGACTAGGAGGGTGCGGACGAGGATTGCGGAGAGGGGAATTGCAGTGTGCCAGGGGAGGCCTGGAATGGATGGTCAGGATCGAGATGGAAATGGTCGATTGGTCGAAAGACTTACCGGTATGGAGGACATCGAGGAGGAGAGTAGGACAATAGAGCAAAGCATCTGAGAGAGGCGATTTTCGRGCCGCGGAGGCGGAGAAGGATCGTTGTTGTTGTTGGTGTTGTTGATAGAGAGAAGCTCTGAGAGACGGCGGGAGAGCGTAGAGGGAGGGGCGGAGGAGAGGAGGCATTGTCGTGGTCGGCGTGGACAGACGCGATGGAAACATTCATGTGTCAAGAATGTCAAGCTTCCATTGACTTTCGATACGGTGGTCCATATAATTGGGCTAGACATTAAATAGCTGTACAGAAAAGCAGGGCGATTGAACGACGAAAGAGAAGCTGTTCATCTCGTCGATCTGATAATCGTACCAAACAGTCGAGAAGCACTCTTGCCATTCTCATCTACATACCTAGGTACTCATAGTCTTCTCGACGAGGTGATAGCTACGTAGCTATTTGATATCTTCCTGCCGTCCATCTATTTTAAGCCCGCACAAACTCTCGCTTGGCTGGACCCTGGCGTCGATCATTCCTGGTACCTCAGACGGGTATCTTTCACATGAGACCACGTCATGTGGAAGAAAGTCGTTACATGTGATGGATAAACAATGCCCATCACCAGACGAACATGATCTAGCCAGCACTCTACCCCCATCAACCCTCGACATGGATGATATTTAGCGCCTGATCTTCTTCCTCGTCGCCTACATTCCTACCCTGCTCTGCCTTCTCGATCTCCAACCACCAAACGACTCCTCCAACATGCTCTACACCATCCTGGCCATCCTCTTGGGCTCCATCGTCTCCGCCACCCTTTTCGCTTCATTCATCTTCCGCCTCATAGGTCGAACGATTGGCTCTTCAATCCGCAGCAAAACCGCCCACCGCCGCGAAATCCTCCTCGACCGTGCTCTGACGGAGGAAAAGGGCGGGCTTGCATCCMCAGCATCTTCCACCTCCTCCGAGGACTGGGAGCGGATCGAGTCTTCCTCGAAGACTCCTGCATCTACAGAAACATATGATGGAATCATCGGCTTCTTCCACCCTTTCTGCAATGCAGGAGGCGGCGGCGAACGCGTCCTCTTCCAAGCCATCCTCGCGACCCAACAGAAATACCCTCGAGCACTTTGCGTAATCTACACGGGTGACCACGATGCAAGTAAAGAGCAGATTTTGGAGAATGCCAGAAATCGATTCAACATCCACATCAAACCCGCAAGAGTCGTCTTTCTATACCTCACAACACGAGATTGGGTTCTTGCGTCTCGATGGCCGAGATTCACCCTTCTGGGACAGTCACTGGGGAGTTTGATGTTGGGATGGGATGCGTTTACCATGCTGCCTCCAGACATCTTTGTGGATACTATGGGCTATGCGTTTGTGTTGGGACTGAGTCGATGGTTGTTTCCCAAGACACCCACAGGAGCATACGTGCACTACCCGACCATCTCCACGGACATGCTGTCTTCTCTGCAAGATCAAACGACCACTCACGGATTGAATGCTGGTGGAGGCGCTGGTGTTCGAGGGAAGCTCAAGCAAACATACTGGACTCTGTTTGCAAAGTTGTACTCGCAAATCGGAGGAAGTGTGGATGTGGTCATGACAAATAGCACCTGGACTCAGCGTCATATCTCCTCACTGTGGAGCGCGCTGCGAGTCGCGAAAGGAAAGAAGTTCCCAATTACTGTCGTCTACCCTCCATGTGCCGTCAAGGAACTGCAGATGAAGATTCCCCTCGATCGAGAAAACTCCAAGCAGAGAAAGAATGTGCTATACATCGCCCAATTCCGTCCCGAGAAGATGCATGGCCTCATCATCGATTCCTTCCATGCATTCCTGAAAGAACACCACTCTGAGACCAAGATAGAAGACCGACCTAAGTTGATACTCGTGGGGAGTGTCCGAGACGACCACGATGAAAAGCGCGTCTATGCTCTACGTCTCCAAGCTCAAGAAGTCAAAGAAAGTGTCGAATTCGTCGTCAACGCCAAATGGCCACAGATCCTCGACTTCCTCCGAGAATCGAGCGTCGGAGTCAACGGCATGTGGAACGAGCATTTCGGAATCGGAGTTGTCGAGTACCAAGCTGCGGGACTTGTTTCCGTGGTGAATGATAGTGGAGGTCCGAAGGAAGATATCGTGGTGGAGATTGATGGCGGGAAGACGGGATATCACGCTAGTGATAAGGAAGGGTTTGTGAAGGGGTTCGCACAAGCGTTGGGCATGGGAGAGCAGGAAACATTTGGGATGAGGGAGAGGGCTAGGAAGAGCGCGTGGAGATTTTCAGAGGAGGTCTTTGAGGAGAGTTGGGTTGGGGAGGTGGGGAAATTGGTGGGCTTGTGTCAGTGAAGAAAAAGCGTCCCTAGCATTAGGAGAAGTGCGGGTAGGATGTGGTTGGGATGCATGGTCTCTGCATAGCCTGATCTTGTTCGTTTGGATGATTCAATCAACTATCGTTCATGGCTGCCATGTGTTTTGGCGTAATTTGTATACTGTGTGGCGTTCGGCCTGTCTTGGGAAGAGCCGCGGCCATTGCTTGATCTTCCTGACAGCGACAGCAACGTCTCTGTCACAATGATTTACACTTCGCATTCACACGAGACATTATCTTTGACAGCCCTAAATTGGACGCTCTCTTCGATAGTTTCGGGCCTCCAGCTATGCGGCGGCCGGCATCTTTGGATTGGGCGCCTAACCGTTGCCCAGCCACGATCTCGCTCTGACTCCTCTACTTCCCCAAGTTCCCCTTACCCGAAAGGATATACAGAAATGAAGACTCGTAGTATCGTGCCCAGCTGGATCTTTTCACAGGTTCAAGAAGATGTCTGACCTAAGCCTGGCATCAGGTAGTACATACAAAACTTTGACTACAGGCTTCATCCGCGTGCTCCATTTACAGCCAGCAAAGTCTTTGGAAGCGCCTCTCGTTGCCACACTCAAGTCAGTTCATCTCGACCAGGAAGCAAGATATGAGGCATTGTCATACTCCTGGGATGGGGAATCCAACGGCATACCACTCCAAGATGGAAGCATTATTCTCGAAAATGTCACGCATAGTATTAAAGGCAATCTCAGCAATGCATTGCGCCGGCTTCGTCACGAAGATCGGCCACGGATCTTTTGGATAGATGCCATCTGTATCAATCAAGAGAATCTCGCCGAACGATCTGCTCAGGTGGCTATCATGGCACGGATCTTCTCGACTGCACTCCGAGTCATCATGTGGGTCGGTGAGGATTCCGCCGAAGGCGATGGCAAGGCCTTTATCGACTGGTGTCTAAGAGCGACAAGCATACAGAAATCTTCCTGGAGCAAATCATGGAGGAAGACAGTATATTTGATCGCCAATCAGTCATTCTTCTACGACAAGAGCGACTGGGTGCGGTCTCAGTATTACAACGAACCGGTCCTCTCCTGGAGACCTTGCAAGAAGAGAGATCTCGTATTTGAATTCCACTGGAGACGATACTTTCGCCGAAGATGGTGCGTTCAGGAGACTGCTTTTGCGAAACAAGTCTTGTTGAAGTGTGGTTCCCATGAGATATCACTAAGTGGCTTGAGGTCTGCCAATCATTATTTCCATTCGGCCTTGCGATGGGATACTCTTCAGGAGACTTGCTCCGACGTATTGGAACTCATGGCACAGTGTAATACCCTCCAATGCTTCGACGAGCGGGATTACATCTTCGCCCTGGCTAGTTTGCTGAGATCCCAGCCCGGATGTCCTCCAATCACCATCGACTACACACTGTCGTGGACTCAAGTGTACATTAACTTTACCAGCGACTTGATCATGGCTGATAGCCTATGCCAAGTCTGGCGAGTGCTACACATGGCAGCTGGTCAATACCATGCACCCTGGGAGCGCTCCAACGAATTACCTTCTTGGGTTCCCGATTGGAGATATCCACTACTTGATTCTATCGGGTACAAGTCGTTTTCCAAAACTAATCCTCCGGCTACACTCAGCTATGCGACGATGTGTGGTGATGGTACAACGGTGACTCTGCGTCTGGCGTATTTTGGGAAATTGAGTGATGTAGTTGTTCAGGATGACGTGAAGGAAAAGTATCGTTCTGATGATCGACTCTATCGTCCTCATCCCGAGCAAATGGTTGGTCATGTGGGGTATATGTTGGAGTTGAATATGGCGCATTTGGTGCTTCGTGCGTATGGTGAGGAGGCGATGTTGTTTTGTATTGTGGGGCTGTTTATTGGTGATGAGGGAGGGGACACTCCAGCTTTTGTGGAGATGCATGATGTTTTTATTCGCTGATACGCTGGTCTTGAATAAGAGATCTTCCGAGAAAAGAGAGAGAGAGAGAGAGAGAAGGTGAAAGATTGGTTGAAATAAGACCCGTGATTGAACTACTATAGCAGACAGCTTTGGAAGGCTCTGCCATCCTGTTTCCGAATTGGCATGTCAAACTTATCACATGCTATCGCGCTAGTCCGTATTCACTTGACATGATATTTCTTGGCAGCAGCAGCAGCCCTGACTTCATCGTCAACGCGTTCGTCTCATCCACCAGAGCCTTGAGTGTTTCATCAGTCGTTGGTCTACTAACTTGTCCAAATTCAAAATCCCTTGACAATCCAACACAAGACCCTGAACCGTACGTACCTACCTACCTTACCTTTCGTATAGACAAGGTAGGAACACCGCAGCTACGGAAGTCACACCTGATTGTAATGTCTTGGGAATTGGTAGAGTACGTTTGCAAATCTAGGTGAATATGAATTGATGAAAATGAAGACTTTGAGTATGTAAGGCGAGGAAGCTTGCTGGAAAATTGCTTGTTTGCGGCGGAGGAATGATGGAAGGGGATGAAATTTCTTCGGAGAATTTAAAAGAGGTCGGCTTGTGGATGTGAATGCGACAAGAAAGAGTTCTCTCACGCTGAAGGTGGTGACTGAATTTGAAGACTTCGCAGTGGTGAATTGATGTAATGCCAGAAGATGGATCAAGCGACGAAAACGACGTCTAGAGGAAAGACAAAGCGTCTTCTATTTCCCATTGTAATGCATGATGAGTATTGCTACTTACTACCCCAGCAGCCCACACTTCTCAAACCCCTTGACAACCGGCCTAACCTTCCTCTTCCTGCTCTCAATTTCCGCCTCAATCATAACTCCCTGTCCACCCACAATCCTCCTCTCATCCCCCTCCTCCTCCTTCCCCTCACCGGCCTCCCCACCAGCAAAGACCTCCTCAAGACACCCCTCACAAGCCTCCCGCACTTCCCCCATAGCGCTCTCGACAGCCCGCGCCCGCTCCCTCATAGCCCTCCTCATCAACCCACCAACCAAAGCCTCGCAATCCCCCACCACAGAATTCCACCTCTCCACCAACCTCTCGACGGAATTCACCAGATACTCCTCTTCATACACAGTCCCCTTCTTGCCCCTCGCCCGCTTCCGCTCCTCGCGCCGTCGATTCTTACTCGTCTTCCTCGTGGCATTCGTCGCCAGAGTTCCCAAACTGTGATTCGTATAGCGCGTCATAAAAGTCCCCGCGCTCGTCGACATGGCCGAGGGGGCGAGAGAGATGTTATCCGGGATATTGTCCGCTCCTCCATCAACGCCTTGGTCGAGAAATGCCATGGGGTCTTGTAATTTCTTGATGCGCAGTTCGCGGAGTCGAGGGATTTGTGCGAGGAGTTGGGATTTCATTTCCGCGAGCATTTCCGTCATGGATGCTGACGCTTCCACGAGTCCGGAGTCCACTGCGCTTGTGAGCAGTTCGGGTCGGCGATGTAATGCGATGAGACGCATAGCGTCGGCGAAACGGTATGCGCGGCAGAGAAGACGAATGGCGCCTTCGAGATCGGAGAGATGCTCAAGATAGATGGTGGCGGCGTTTTGGAAGTCTTTGGCTTCTTCCAAGGAATCCGCCATTTCTTGCGCCATCTCCGCGACTTTCTCGGCGGGGAGGGGTGGGTCGATGAGGAGAGCGGAGGAAAGACATTCCCTCCATTCTCCAGCTGTGCGGTAGGCTTCGCATGCAGACTCGAAATCTCCGATATACYCATATGCGACGCCGGCTTCCTTGTAGCGATTTCGGCTGGAGTTGAAGTCTGCGTATAGCCGCATGAGTTCTGTCAGTCGAGGTGTGTCGTAGCGGTAAGTGTCAATAGCAGTGGTGTATAGGTCATGTTTCACGGTGTATGCCTTGACTTCTTCAAAGTCGCCCAGGGAATGGAGGTGTCCCAAAGCCTTTTGGTAGCGTTTGAGATCATCATCGATGGAAAACTTCCTTCTCAGAGGCTCCATGTCTCTTAGCTTCTGCAGATATGGCAGGTATTCTCTCGGATCTTTCTGCGACTGTTGCGCCACTAGCAATGCAACGTCAAGATCGTAGAGGGATAGAGAGGTATCGTAGAGAGCGTTGACATCCGCGAGGAAGCAAATGTGGGAGACTGCGTGGTCTAGCGCATCTTCATCCGAAGCTTTCCTGAGTGAGGATATGAGCGTCAAGCCAGCGGAGAGGTCCGGAGGATTCTTGCTGACGTGTGCGGTGACGATATTCTGGAGGTGCGTAGCTTGTTGTGGCATGAGGACTTTGAGGAAGGCGTCGCAAATCCGGTTGACTTTGGATGTTGTCGTGGCGGGCTGCACTACCACGTCCGCACCATTTGGTAGCCCCAAGTCTTCAGWCAACTTGATCGTATCCTTGTAGATGGTCTTACTCACGTCCTCCTCTGAAAGCGAACTCAATGCCAGATCCACATATTCCGTCTTCTTCAACTGCCTTACGAAAACATCAACATCGCGCATGAACTGCTCCGGAGCATAATCATGCAGGATATTCATAYCCACTCTCTGAGTCCTGCAGATCAAGAAAGCCTTTTTGTATTCTCTCTGATCGAGAGCCTTTCGGATTCCCGCCAAGACCAGTGCTCGAGGGTAAATCGTCTCCAGATTCCCACGAGGCATTTGCAGAACAAGAGAATAAGCGGAAGGCATGACAGTGACTAGTTTCGCACCCCGTTCGACYGTTCGACAGCGCTCATCTGTTTCGGGCTCGTCAGGAGGGATAGAGAGATCCTCTCCTCCAGCGTGGAGATGGATGAATTTGAGGAGGTGGGAGGAAGTGGTATAGATGAGGTGGGTTGAGGTGACGAGGAAGGACGTGCATGAAGGAATCTTGAGATTTTGGGTAGGACTTTGGATGTGCAGTGTCCCGCTGGCCGTGAGGCCGACGAAGATGTTGTAGTCTTCGCTCTGCCAGAGTTCGACGGCCACACATTGTGTGGGAAGCTTGCCGATTGGAAGATTCGAAGGTGTGGGGGTGAGGTCGTGGATGGCGCCCTTGGTCGTTTGGTAGAGTATTCTGTCGTGATTTGTGCAGGGGAAGGGGTGGGATATTTGTGCTTGAAGTTTTGACTCATGGCCGTAGAGTCTCGCAAGATGAGAGTCTTGTTCATCAGTATGTGAGGTGCTCATGACGATGTTATCCCCCTCGAAGATGATATGCCGAGCAGCTGAGCTGTCTTCCAATGCAAGCGGGATATCAGAATCAAACGATGCTCGCTTTGCTGGTTTGGAGCCATAATCGCAGGTCCAGACAGAGACACGATTTCTATGCAGGACAGCAATCTTTGTTCCCTGCTGGCTGATGGCAACATCCAAAGCGTTGGCGGGTAGCTCAAACTCGTCAAAAGCYATTGGAGGAGGCACATTTGCAGTCCTGAGAGGTGTAATCTTGAGTTTCTTGCCGTCGATGACAGCTACAACGCCGTGATCGTGAGGTGGAGCGACCGATCCTCGAGCGACGTCGAAAGTGTAGTCCAGCATTTGGAGGTTGGATCCCGAATGGCACGATAGTTGAAGAGCCTTTTCCGGATGCCACTGACTGCTGATCAAATCTGATTCTGCACCCGCGACGAAGATCTCCTGCTTGAGGTAATAGTGGTAGTTGCCCATGGTCCACAGCTGCACCCTGTCCTTCATTGAGATGGCGAGAACGGAAGAGTCATTATTCCAAGCGAGATCAATGCGGCTTTGCGGCATCTCCTTTTCCAGTCGTAGATTGAATTCTCCATGCCGGAGTCCATTCTTCTCGAAAAACACAACGTCCACACCCTCGTCTCGTCTTTGGACCCCGGCAATGATCTGCCCGCTAGGTTTCCAACTCAAGGCCGCTTCAAGCCCATCCACGGGCTCACTGACGCTCTCCAAAATGCCCTCTCTCGAGTAGACTCGGATGATTCGCCTCCGCACTTCACCCTCGATCACACTGTTGACCGCCACAAACTGCCCATCGCCTCTCCAACTGATCGTCGTCCTCTGCTCATCCTCCAACTCACTCAGCCTCCCCTCATCTACATGTTCTGGGACGGTAGGATCTCGCATGGCCTTTGCACCTCTACCTTTGAACTGCGTCTCCCTCTTTCCCCACCCGACATCCACATGATTACTGACCTTGAGATCCTCTTCCGTCAAAGTTATCGTCGCGGTACCCTCAAACTCTCTCGTCATGAACAGTAGAGTTTCCGCCTTGGTCGCAATCACCAACAACTCCTCATCCGGGGACCAAGCCACGGCAGAAATGCCAGCATCCACGGATCCGACGATTTCGATCAGATCTTCCCCATTTTGAGGATCTTCACGGACTAGGATGATGTCGCCTCCCGCTAATACCAGGCAGATGGATCCGGTGTCTGGGAGGGTGTGCAGGGAGAGGATGGCATCATATTCAATGTCCGGTGTTGGAGAAGGAGCATCCCAGGATGCTATTGTCAGAGCTTGGGCGGGATTCCAGGAGTGTGGTGGAAGACGTTTGAGTGTTATTTGGGGACTTGAAGAAGTTGGACCAAAGGCCAGGAGGAGGGATTGACCGTCCCATGTGGTTGCTGTGAGAGGTGCGGAGGACTGTAATGATGATGATGATGATTCTGTGGGGAAGGAGAGGCATGTGTTTTTGAGGTTGCGGAGGTTTCTCATGTTGATGAAGGTGGTGGAGGTGAGGTCAGATGGAAAGGAAGAACGTGAACGTGGAATTGGAGGTTTGTTTGATTCCCGTCATTTATTTAATTCAATGATTCCTTCCGATGTTGTAACACGAAATTTATACAGGCGCTAGTGAATTGTGAGCGGGACGAGCCGTGAAGTGCCCCAGCACAACTTCATCGTTGGTGTCAATATGCATGTAAGGGTATGAGCGTGAAAACGATGTATATGAGACTTGCAGGGCCATAGATATATACTGGGGACTCGATGCATGGCAGATGAAGCCTGACGCTCTCTAGACATCTTCCCTGGCCCTCGCTTCTCGGAAGGGCAGTATTCCATAGCACAGCACTGTCTCTTCACCACGACCAGATACAGCATGCAACATATGAAATTCGATTCCATGACATTCCTCATCTATCCTCAATGTACAACTCCCTTCATCCCTTTCCCTCAGTGACCCATCCTTTCCCCAACTCTCATCCATTCTCCACTCTCCCTCTACTGGTTCTTCTTCGTCTGCCAGACTGTGCGACTTGTCAGCTTCCCAACTCCCCATTCCCAATGTCCTCATCCACTTACCAGCAATGCCGAACGGAAGGCCGAATCCCGTCGMTGCACATTCACAAATTAGCACATGTCCACTCCCTCGCCTGGCATTCCACCCCGGACGTCTACCGACCCATGAATCCCCAGAAGCGGAAAGCGAAGAAGCGCGTCAGAGGGTTGAAGGGAATGTTGCTGCGCGGGCCCTCGGGGTAGTGGTATGGCGAGCCGAGCTGGGGGCGCGTGGTGGAGAAGGCGCGGCGGCCGATGGTCGTGGCGGTGCGGGCGGCGAGCATGTTGGCTGTGGTGGTGATGTCAGATGGAGTGGCGGATGGTGAAGTTCCTTTCGGATGTTCGTGCCTTTGGTGTTGCTTGCGAGGGTTGTGATGCGGGTGTGGAGAGTGTACCTAGGTGGTCATGGCACCTTCAATGCGATGAGGCGGGAGTAGCCGAGCGGAGGACCCACTTTTCTGTCGGCATTCACACCTGAGCGAGCGAATGGCATGTGCATTGGATATTGCAAGCGAAGGGGAGCAGATGGGTGACAATGGCACTTTCTTCTTACTGCATCCCGCCATACATGCATTTATTAAATGGCAGTGGTGGGATGGAATGGGAAAAGTACCTAGATTGCGGCGGTGCTCTTGGCCGGTCGTTCGGATGATTACCCCATGACTAGGTGAGTTTGGAGGAGGAGGCGGCGAACAGGGAGCAGGGTCTAACGATGGCAAAGTGAAGAAACCTACCTTAGATGGAACGTACGATGAGGTGCAATCCATGCATAGGTAGATGCATCCTCTTACTGCCTACTCATACACCTCATACTCTACGAATCGCCACGCTGGTCGGAAATGTAGTCGTTTGTTTCCCGAATCCTCGTTGCATTGCATTGCATTGCATTGCATTGGACCGTCTCCATCACCACTGAGAGCACCTTCCCATTGATCCTCCTTCCCAATCGTCTCACATCATTACCTCAAGGTACATCCCAATAAAATAGAAAGAACATGAGTGCCTATGTGCGGGAGACGGAGCCACTAGAAGAAGTTGCTGAGATCGAGCAAGAAGCACCACTACAAGCCAGAAAACAAGCCGAAAAACAACAACAACGACAACAACAGCAACAAGAAAGTCCCTCCCTCTCCACCAAAGACCGGCCCCATCTGCGATCCCATCTCATCTCTCTAGTCCAAGGCATGACCGACCTCATCAACACCCGCGACTTCTCCTTCTCCTCGTGGGAACCCTTCCTGKCCCCTTCCTTCCGCGGAACGCCCGATCCTCCCTTCCCACCCCTCAACGCGCCTCCCCGGGAATACCTCGTAGGACTCCAGCAACGCAGTCTCGACAACCCGCACTGGCAGGTCCGGCCTCTGGATTCTTCCACCCAATTCCGTGGCATGGATGGCGAAGTCTTCCTCAATTGTGAGGCGTTGGGCGTGCCGCAGGAGGGCATCGTCACCAGGAGTTTTCTCGTCTTTACCTTTCGCGAGGGCAGGTGGGGCAAGAAGAGGGGTGTGTGGAGGTGTGTGGGCTTTGTGGGCGCGCACGGCGGGACGGGCTTGGAGGGCGTTGGGTAGTAAGGTAGGGCGTTTCCAGTGTTTTTGGTTGTATGCTGGGAGATGGGATTTACTTTTGTGTATTGCTGTGGTGGAAATGTGTGCTTCTTGAGGATTCAATACTAAAGGTGAGATTGAAAGTCTTGCTCTCCGTAAGGTATCCATGTACAAGTTTGATGGCATGAATTGGACTAGCTTAGCACGGTCGACGATGATATCCTCGAGACTAGAACCATTGAGAGGCGACATGATGTATCGCGAGCTTATGTAGCCCTGCGAGAGATCATGTACTATCTATATGCGCAATAAGAATCTACTGTGAAATGCCTGGTAAACAAGATCTCACTCTCTATCCCAAATTAAATATTTGACGGCATGATACCCACCAGCTTAGCACGGTCGACGATGACATGCATGAGAATAGGACTATGAAACGGCGACATGATGGATTGCGAGCCTGTATAGGCCTGCGAGAGGTCGAGTCGCAATAAAGGCTACCTACTGTAAATGCCTGGTTAACAAGATTTGACTCTCCATACCATATCACGTATTTGACGACATAGCACCCACYGGCTTAGCACAGTCAAAGACGATATCCACAAGGACAGGACGATTAAATGGCGACATGATGGATTACGAGTTCATGTAGCCTTGCGAGAGATCGAGTCGCAATGAAGTCTACTAGAAAGTGCCTGGTAAAAATGATGAAACTCTCCATACCACATTGCATATTGAACGGCACGACACTTACTAGGTCAGCACGGTCAACGATGATATCTACGAGACTAGGGCGATTAAATAGCGACATGATGGACTGCGAGCTCATATAAGCCCTGCGAGAGATCGAGTCGTAATAGAATCTACTGTAAAACGCCTGCTAAACATGATCCGCTCTCCATACCACATCACACTTTTGGAGACGTGACATTCACTAGCTTAGCACAGTCGACGATGATATCAATGAGAGGAGAGGAATGAGATGGAAAGGAAACTATGCGATGTACACTGCGGGAAAATATTCCGTGGATTAATTGTAAAACGCCTTCCAAGTACGACTTTGCTCTCTCTATACCACATTACACTTTTCACGACGTGACATTCACTAGCTTAGCATAGTCGACGATGATATAAATGAGAAGAGAAGAATGAGAAGGCAAGTTGATGACCAAATTCCATCAACTCCTTCACTGCCTGGAAATCATCGCTGTACAATCCAATTTCCCAATTTCCCAATTTCCCAATCCGCCAACACGCAATCAACGCCCCCCTCAAAAAGGGCACACAGCCCGCCCCGCAAAGAAGTCAGCCCACAACTGCTCTTTCCTGTCACTAACCACCACGTCGACCTCCAACATCCACTGCCAAACATCATCCTCGATGTAGTAGGTCCCCTCAGGCAGGGAACCACCAAAACCCGCAACATCCTCCCCGAAAGCACCTCCATCCCCCATCTCTCCAAGATCCTCCCCACCAGCGGAGTGCTCCACCTCAAGCTGGGGAGCACTCAAATCCAACACTTCTTCAAAATCCTCCCCGAAAGAACTCGGAATCCCCGGCCCTCCAAAATCCTCCCCACCAGCACCTCCATYCCCCATCTCTCCAAGACCCTCCACACCAGCAGGGCGCTACCCCGCAGGCTGGAGAGCACGGAGATCCAACCCTTCTCCAAGATCCTCCCCACCAGMACCTCCATCCTCCATCCCTCCGAAATCCCTCCCGGGAAAAGGGAACCCCACCACAAACTGGGGTTGAGCCCAATCCACCATCCCTCCAAAAATCTCCCCACCAGCAGGGTGCTCCTCCACAGGCTGGGGAGCATACCCCATCCCCATCCCTCCAACATCCTCCCCACCAGCAGGGTGCCCCTCCACAGACCGGAGAGCACCCCCCTCCCCCTTGCGCGTCACACACTTGTGCCACTCCGCATCCTCCACCTTGACCCCCGGCCCCCTGGGCTCCTTCGCCAATTTCATCACCTTCTCCCAATCCACCTGCTTCCCGTTTGCCTCCGCATACGCGTTCGCCCTTCCCTTCGAAGGCCAGGCCTCCGTCATCCCCAGCCCCACCTTCGCGACCTTCCGCATGCCCAGATCAAAGGCTCTCTGATCCTTCTTGCGCTGCTCGCTGGCTGTGGTAGATGTCAGTGGCATGGTCATATGGTTTAGAGTTGGAGAGCGATTTTACTCACTCGGCTTCTTCTTCGGCTGCACCCCCCCGCTCTCTCCCTCCGTTCCCTCAACCCGTCTCCGCTTTCCACCGTCTGCAGTGGATGTCAGTGGCATGGTCATATAGTTTGGAGTTGGAGAGCGATGTTACTTACCTCCATTCTCTTCCTCCGCTCCCTCCTCCATCCTGCGCTTGCCGCCATCTGCAGTGGACGTCAGTGGCATGGTCATATAGTTTGGAGTTGGAGAGCGATGTGACTTACTCTTCTCTCCTGCGGGCGCCATCTTGTCTTGTGTGGTGTGGTGTGGTGTGGTGTGGCTTGGAATTTTTTTTGAAGTCAAGAGAGCTTCTGTGTAAGAAGATGTTGACGTGAAGGAGGGAATGGGAATTTGCGCGAAAAAGCCCAGATGATATAGTCGCTCGTCCGTAATCTGGCCTCTCCGCTGTGGTTAGCAGTACCAGCGGAAGGAGGTGGTGGGTCATGAAGTCAAACCCATATGGCAACGCGAATTTTCCGCTGCTATGGCGGCGAAACACGACGACGACATGGAATATATCCTTCTTATGGGTATGCATTTGGAGAGGAGAGCAAGCTCTACAACCTCATGTACATATCGAAGGTATTGGAGAGCGGTGTCGTCGTCGACGGCGGTGTGGAGGAAACAGGCTATTATCTTTGGACTTGGTAATGGGTTTCGTTGCCCAAAGTGAATCTTTGACTAATCCATAGGACGACAGCCATTGCAGCTTCTCACCGACGACAAGGTGCGAGGGAATGTTCGGAATGGGTATGAGGAGGATGCCCTGATCGTACGCTCCAACCTCGTGTGTGTTTCGAGGAATTTGAGGGGGGTGGTGGTGTTCCCACAGCGCCGTGGCGGAGGCGGCCTAGGTGGTCTCGGCTGTCTTGCGTCTACGTTGCTTGAACATCCCGCTCTCTGCCGTGAGTCACGGTCTACGTTGCTTGAACATCCCTGTCTCCGTCGCGAGCCACTTTGGTTCGGGTGCAGCGATACTTTATTTGTTTGCAGAGATGTTCTTTGACGTTCTATGCCGTGTGGATCATTGTATCACAGGCTGTAACAAGCAAACGAATCCCGGCACCATATGGGAGCGACACGACTTGACAGACGCTAAGGAAAGTCCAGAGCGGGATCGGGAGGATGCTTGGACAGAAGCTGTGACCATGCATGCTGTAACGAGGCGGCGGAGAGATGGTCAGAGGCCTCGATGTAGACATGCGAATATAGTCCATATCATTCAAACACATCCCCTGTTTATCGGAAATGTTTTGACGAAGAGTGTTTCGAGATATCACCAACGAGCTGAGCTCGTCGGCGCGGACCTCAGGCTTTGTCGTGACGCCAAGCTCGGATATAGGACATGGCAGTAAGAAACCATATCGCGGAGCCGATCTTCAACGTCTGAACAGCGAAGATGATCACTTCGTCTGAATGTGAAGAGAATAGCCCCTTGATTCAAACATTGTTTCCAGCTAGAGGCACATATTCATCTCGACCCCAATCGATTTTACGAAGGAGATCAATATGGCAAGAAGACCTCGTTGTCATTGAGGGTTGGCAAGTCCAGCTTCAAGGTCCTGGGACTTCCCGAGCTTCGTCCAGTAGCACTTTCTCTGTTTCTGTTTCTCCAGCACCTACATTCTCCGAGGAGAAAAAAAAAAAACCATATGGCCTCTCTGCCATCATGTTCAAGCACTGTGCGGGAACAAGTGAATTTGATTCATCGCCCTGGGACCTGAACATATGCCGCGAAGCTACGGTATACGGCTTCGACATGCACCCGCGCAAATTCTCGCAGCGGTTCTCTCTCTACCTTCGAGACAACGTCAAGACAACGCGTACAATCGACTTTGCGCCATCGCCCTATTCGTACGAGCTACTGGGTCGCATGCGCCGCCATTGAGGGTCGATCGAAAGAGCAGTAACAAGTGTGGCAGATCGCTGCTCAATCGCAGCCGTCGCATACGTCGGGAGACCTCCAAACCATCCACAAAGATGTAGATAAATGGACGGGTCCGACGACGAACTGGACCGCTCTGATCGCCCCGGATAGCGGAGATGCAAGATTTGATTTAGAAACAGACGCAGACAACGATGATGGTCACCCCATCACTCGATTCTAAGCATCCGCGGTCGAATACACGAACCGCAAGACTGGCGTAGAGTAGACGAGGGCAAGAAGATCGGAAAATGAGAGGATATACACTTGGGCCGCACTCATGCGATAGGACCGTGCAAGAAAGTGTTGCACTGCTCCCTGGCCATGAGTGTTCCCAAGCGACACATCGATCTTCTGGATGTGAATCGGAGTCCTCTCACCCCAATCTTCGCAATAAAATACGCCGCAGATGTGTGCGACGTAGTCATCCATGACAGCATATCTCGACATGGCTGGTCGAAACCCATCGCGAACCACGCCAGCGCATTTCTCATACGAGCAATGCTCCAGTCGCAATTCACGATCGCTATACGACTCGATCTGCCAAGGGCGAACGCATCGCCTGCTCAAAGAGACGGTGTGCCAACGCTGACACCCCCTGACTCAGATGCAAGGCGGCCAAGTCGTATCTCACCGGACTCCTCGCATACAGCATGCTCGAGTGAAGCAAGCGATCCCAGACTCAGTCAAGAGGAAACTTGAGTAGGTCATCGCTTTATTTGTCGGGATGAGAGACTTCGACGCAGAGCTGACACCGCGGTCGAGATAGGCGTGCTCTCCCGAAGTCTCGATTCATCCTACTCGGTCGCTACAAGAGCGATGTAATGAATATCGCCCCGCAATCCACCACGTTCGAAACCACGCAGTCCACGTAGTGGCCCTCGCCCGATTAACGAACAATTCCGAAGCCGCAAATCAATACCACAACGATTCGTTCCCTCCCCGCCTTGAACAAGTCCCGGTCTTCCGCGGAAGATTAGAAAGAAAAGGACGAAGCTGGGTCTGGCTAGGATTAAGAGGAAGACAACGCCGTCGTTACAGAGACGAGTTCATCTCTTAATGGCGAAAGATTTTTGCGACCGGGACCGTAAAAGAAGGCGAACATGAAGCTGTTACACACCGGCATGCTCGAACATATTGGATTTCCAGCACCAGATTCCATGAGAATCCTAGAATCCGGAGTGCCCGGTGTCTCTTTGCCATATTTCTTCTTTGCCTGGCAGAATCGAGTTCGGAAATCATGGACGAGGTGATAGCATATGCCAGCCAGTCCTGCCATCAACGTTGCAGAGCAGCTCACTACCTCTCCCTCACTGCCCCATATCTGGCGGTACTCCTCGACATTTTCTCAGGGTCATTGACACATTCCCACCCTCGAGGACATTTATGCGCCCGACAGACGCATCCACCGACCAGGTGAGGCCGAAATAAGAAGTCGCGACAGTGCGCTAAATATTCGGCTAGCGGCCCGCATGCGCCGGCGACGTGCAGGGCGGGGCGATTGCAAGTCTTGGGGCACCCCATCCTCATCTTCGTGCTCTGCATCTTCCAACAACAACATCCTCCTCGAGCGGCGCAGACCTTTGCGCGCGACCGACAGCAGACGCGTCCGAAATGAGTGTCATTCTGTGCACTGGTATGGCTTTTGGATGCTCGATGATCTGGGAAATTGGCTAACTTCATTGCAGCTGGATACGATCACACAATCAGGTGAGTGTGCTTGTATAGGGAGGGAGCGAGGGCTATTTAATGGACGRCACTATCGGCGACATACATTCGTTTGAGGACTGCTTGCTAGTTTTACTGCCATGCCATTTTCTCCGACCAGTCATTAATGCGCCGGTGGTGCCGATGACCACGTACCATTGAGGACAGCAACGACTACGGCACGACATTGCGCGCAAGACATTTCGCGACATACCATGCGAAGTCGCGATTTCAATCTCTACTAATAATCAATGCACCGTGCGCGAAACCCATACTGACATTGCCGGACAGATTCTGGGAGGCTCTGAGCGGCATTTGCTCCCGTACAATTCCTCACCCAGATTCACAAGTCAATCGACTATGCATCTCTCCCGACAAACGATTTCTGGCCGCGGCTGGTCATCACACTGTAAAGCTGTACGATATCAAGTCAACAAATCCCGCGGCGGTTTTGACGTTTGAAGGCCACAYGGGCAACATCACTGGAGTCGCATTCCACTGCGAGGGAAAATGGATGGTGACCAGCTCTGAGGATGGTGCGCCAAAATCTTGGTACCAATCACATTTACCCACGCTAACTAGTGTCAAAGGAACCGTCAAAATCTGGGATACCCGGAGCGGCCACATACAGCGGAATTACTCTCATGGCGTGCCAGTAAATGATGTTGTAATACATCCAAACCAGGGCGAGCTAATCTCGTGTGACCGAGGCGGCAATGTCCGGATCTGGGATCTGGGAGAGAACAAGTGTAGTCACCAGCTTGTACCAGAGGAGGACAAGAGTGTCGCGTCAGTAACAGTGGCCACAGATGGCTCATTGCTATGCGCCGCTGTCAGCTCCAGCGTAAACGGCGCGGTCTTTGTCTGGCGTCTCATCACAGTTCGAGATGTCACAAGCTTGGTGCCTGTGACAAGATTCAAAGCGCATGGAACGTACATTACACGCGTACTCTTATCACCGGATGTCCGCAAGCTCRCAACCTGCTCGGCGGATCACACGGCAAGAATATGGACCGTTGATCTGGAGAATGTGACTCCACCGAAGGAGCCCGAGGATGATGAAGATGGTGTTCCCCGCCAGGAAGAAGACTCGCAGGCTTTCCCGCTCGAAAATGAGCTCGATGGCCATCAGCGATGGGTCTGGGACTGTGCTTTCTCCGCCGATTCCGCATATCTTGTGACGGCGTGTAGTGATCACTACGCCAGACTCTGGGAGCTTTCGAGTAAGACGATCATTCGGCAGTATAATGGACATCATCGGGGTGCGGTTTGTGTGGCGCTGAATGACTACTCGGAAAGTCGGTGATGTTGATATCCATGGGATGGTTGATTGGAAGTGGTGTTGTGCATTGCGAATGGCAAGGGCGGAGTTTACGGCGTATGGAGAATTGAGTCAATGGGCGCGGAATGAATGAATTGAGTCTGGCTTGCTAAGCAGCAGGCTGGAGCAGCGTATTGCAGATGACTGGTGGGTGATGGGGTTTTTACGGCTTCAGTGCGAAGCTTCTATATCATGTGCGATGGTGTCCGACGGGGCGAGGCACAAGTCAGGAGAAATTGCTGCACGCGACTGAGGGAGGCAACAAGGTCATCACTTTGTAGCGACTGAGATCATCTCGTCATATGCAATCATGGAATTTCACACTGTTCGTCTGGCTACATACACCAATCAATCTGCTCTCATGCCTCACATTCTGTCCTCCCAAATTTATCGTGTAGAAATTCAACCAATGTGGATGCAGGTGGAATCCAACGACAAAAAGAGATGGAATGTGTCCAATTCCCAATTCCCCCACTCCCAACGCGAGGTCTTTGCTCTCAAGACAATTCCTCGAAATTCACTCCTGTCCTAATTCTCGATTTTTCTTTCTCCCCAAAACCCGTCGCATGTATGGCTCGTGAAACTTGATGGGTGTGAGGGGGTTTGTGGATTTCCAGGTAGTTGCTGGGACAGCTTTGTGCTGTTCTCTCCATGGTGGCATGATTCTGGAAGCATGATGATCCGCGAGTGTCCAGAGGTWATGATGATTTTTGGGGATGATGAGGATGAATGGTGGTATATTTTCCACTGCTTGTAACTCTCGATCATTGTAGATGTTAAGTTTGATCGTGTGCACGTCTGCCGTATTTTTCAATCATCATCATCATCGTCCTCTTTGTCTTTTTCGTCGTCGGAGCCGGTGTACTCGCTGCTTTCAGACTCGCTACTTTCAGACTCCTCGAGGTCCTCTGCTTTCCGGACGGCTTTACGGACACCACCACTGCTAGGACCAGAAGCTTCATCGTCGGTGATGTCTTCAGGTAAATCTGCCATGCAGCTTCGGAAATTGGAGGGGTTGAAGGGGTTGAGGGGGTCCATTATGCTGAAGATGGGTTCTGAGGGGTAGATTGAGCCGGGAAGTGTCTTTCCTAATCCGGTTTCGGTTTCTTCGTCGTCATCWTCGTAGTCGTCGTCGTCGTCGTCGGAATCGGAATCGGAATCGGGGTCTGCGTTCTCATATTCTTGCTGCTGCTGCTGCCCTGGCACATCTTGGAATTCGGCGGTGCTGGGAGGGTTGGGGAATAAAGGTACCCAGGGTTTGTCTTCGGCACGTCGGGATGCTCTGAAGGGGATGGTGGAGAATAACGGTATCCAGGGCTTGTCTTCCGCTGGTGTTGAGGCAGATTTGGATCGTGATGGGGTAGTATTGCTTTGATACCTGGCGTGATTGTTGATGCCTGAATCTTTGCGGATCCCGGACCGAGCGCCGCTGTTTGAGCGAGTGAGGCGCTTTGTGGGATGTGTGGCCTTAGGGGAGGGAGTGTCGATGTTCGCGCGAGTGTTGCGCACTGTGGGTCGTACGGCATAGCGGGATGTAGGTGATCTGAATCGGCGGTTCGTGGAGACGCGCTTGTTGCACTTTGTTTTTGAGACGGTGTCTTTGTACTCGATATCTGATCCGTCATCGCTCTCCGATGTGGCCTCGGACTCGCTCTCTGATACGCTGTCTATGTTGTAGACTTCATACTGGCTCTCCGTTGTGCTGTTATTTTTTTTGTGGACCACCACAATCTCGCTCTCCGCTCTGCTGTCATTTTTGTAGACCTCAATCTCGCTCTCCGCTGTGCTGTCATTGTCGTAGACTTCAGACTCGCTCTCGGAGTTATCTTGACCGTCTGATTCGTCCTCGCTCTCGGCATAGTTTATTGTTCGTCGACATTTACGCGCGGGTTGAGCGAATTGCTCTGGGAGTGTTCGTTTTGGAGGCATGATTGCACAGATCTTTTACTTGTTGTATGATGCACAGAAGTGTTCGGATGGCAAGTGTCTGAAAAGTCGGGACGAGTTGGAAGATTGAAGATGCTATGAAAAGGTGATGGGAAGAGAGTCACTCGCCAGATGATAGCCTACGATTTTTGGATTTGACTTTGAGGACCGTGAAACAGCATTCTTGACCTACGTCTTGTGAAGCTTGACACGCGGAAAAGCGGTGCATAAGCTCGTGGAGACAGTCATGATTCGCATGCCGCTTTTCGCATCTCGGATCGTTGGAAAGCCAATCTACTGGCTCCGTTTATGCTGTCGCGGGACATGGCGGATGGCAGAATTTAAGGTGGGGACGTGCAGATATACAGCAGCATAGCCCGTGCTCGCTGAACAGCCATATTCACGGTCATACCACAACACTAAACCGGACGGTATGTGTGCTGGCCTGTTCCATCCTGGTGAAGGGTACATCGTTTCGATATTAGGATATCGAAAAAGGCACGTCCGCATGCATACGGGATTATATGAATTCCACATGTCGATATTGGATATCTCAGAAATGCGGTCCAAGGTGTATATGGATCTGATGYCACGCGCGGTCCTAGTCTGCTGTTTTGTGGTGTCCTGACTGAGCTGAAGCAGTTGATCGTTTCTTGCATGACCAATGGCTGGGCTTGAGCCTCCTTGAGTGCCCGATGGTCCATGAGTGACCAGTCGGATGATTCGTCTAGGGTGAGCAGGTCTGAGTAGTGTGTATTGTCGCTATCAAGTGTACCTTACTGTCGCCCCTTATGTGCATGGCTGTTAACATATGATGGACACTTCCGATCCGATGCGAGAGTCTGATGAATGTTGCTTCAAGATCAGGATATATGATGTATAATCGTCGCAGGATGAGAGAATGATCAAGGTGAGGTGCCCTCCTCAAGCCCTGCTGCTCATGCACAATTTGCACGGACAAACCTTATTTTATGCAGCAACAAATACTCGGCTTGTGAATTTGAAGATCACAGGTCACATCGCTCCGCGCCCCACCAACAACCAACACCACCGACATGGACTCTCAGAAGCGCAAATTCCAGGGCGCCGCTGGGAGAGGTCCCAATAAGGCGCCTAAAATGGGCGAGGGCGGCGGGCCAATGTCCGCATTCGCGAAGAAGATGATGGAGAAGATGGGATGGAAGGAGGGACAAGGTCTGGGAGAGAGCGGAGAAGGCATTGTCAACCCGATCGAGGTCAAGCTTCGACCGCAAGGTGCTGGTGTGGGGGCGGTGAAGGAGCGCACGGAGCAATACAAGGAGGAGCAGCGTCGCGCCGCGGAGAGGAGAGGCGAGACGTACGAGGACAGCAGTGACGAGGAACGCCGGGCGCGCAAGGAGCGGAAGAAGAAGACGCTGGCCGGGCGGAGCGGAATCAGCGGAGGCGATAGCGGAGCCAGCACCCCAGGTGGAGGCAGGAAGCCCAAGACGAAATACAAGACCGTGGCCGATGTGCAGGCCGCGGCGCCGGGACTCGATGTGCCTTTGCCTATGCTGCGCTCCATTGTGGATGCAACCGGCAGCCAGACACGAATGCTGACCAGTGCTGCGGGTCTTATGACACCTACTACCATGCCGTTGGACTCGGAAGCCGACAAGATCGCGAAGCGAGAACGACTGGAGCTTGAGGCTTCCATCGAAGCATGGCACGGCGTTCAAGAACAGAAGGTCTATATTGAGGAGCAAGCAGGTCATCAGAAAATCGAGCTTGACCAGCAAGAAGACGAACTGGCGAAGCTGCAGTCGGTGCTGGAGGCAGTGGAACGGCTTCAGATCGTTTCCTCGGGAGGAGGGCTGAATACCGATACAAACTTCGCCGCCAAACAAGGTCTGGAAAATTCCTCTCAAGTGCTTGACTGGTCGGAGCTCATAGATGCACTCGAAAAGCTTCAGCTTGAACATGGGCATGAAATCTCTCGATGCGGCCTGCTCGACATTGCCGTAGGTGCACTGTGTCCGGCTTTCAAAAAACATATTGCCGAGTGGGATCCTCTCGAAGACCCAGAGTTCCTCACATCGGATCTCCAGCGCATCACGGTTCTCCTCGGCCTTGGTACACAGGACGAAGTGGTCACAGCACGCGAATTGACCACCCTGGACGAGGGATATGGCAAGAGTAAGCGGCAAAAAGCAACCACAGCTTATGAGACGATGATTTATCAGATTTGGCTACCCAAGCTGCGAACCACGATCACGAACTGGGATGTCCTCAACCACGAGCCTCTGACGACCCTCGTCGGTGCTTGGAGACCGCTTCTGCCGGCTTTTGTATACAGCCATCTCGTGGACCAGCTGATCGTGCCGAAATTAAGTGCTGCATTGCAGGCGTGGGATCCTCGAAAGCGAAGCCATCATCACAAGCACGCAACTCTTAAACATGCGGAGCCCCACACTTGGATCTTCCCTTGGCTACCCCACCTGCTTCCCCATCAACTTGATGCCCGAAATGAAGGCCTTCTTGTTGATGTGAAGCGAAGGCTCAGACAGGTCTTGGATGGTTGGGATGTTAGCTCAGGTGTTCTAGCTGGATTGTTAGCATGGCGAACCCTTCTTCATTCGGAGCTCGATCAGGTTCTTGTCAGACATCTGCTACCCAAGCTTGCACGGCACTTGACGCAGTACTTTGAAGTAGACCCGTCTGACCAAGATTTGACTCCGCTGGAAATGGTCCTTCAATGGCAGTCACACTTCAAGTCCGAGGTCATGGCGAGACTATTGGTCGCGGAGTTCTTCCCGAAGTGGCTTTCAACCCTGCATCTCTGGCTGACTTCTGATGAAGCTAATTTCGAGGAGGTCGGAGCTTGGTTTGCGTGGTGGAAGCAGCAGATCCCCGAGACCCTTAATGCAAAGCCGGATGTCGCAAAGGAGTGGGGGCGAGGGACAGAGATGATCAATAACGCCATGGACCTGCTGGAGTCCGACATCCCCCTCACCAAGCTTGCGGCGCCTGCAGCTGGCCCTGTTCGACCCATCGCCAAGGAAATTGGCAAGAAACTCGAGGCTTCTGTTCCGAAAGTTACAGTGGCTCGGGACGTCGCTCAGAACTTCAAGGATACTGTCRAAGCTTGGTGCGCGGAGCAGGATCTTACCATGGTTCCGCTGCGAGAAGCACATCATCAGACGGGATTGCCGCTGTTCAGAATCACCRCAAGTGCCACCGGCAAGGGCGGCGTGGTCGTGTATATCAAAGGAGACATTCTTTGGGCACAACGAAAGGGCGACCGCAGTCTCTTCGATCCGGTCGGTTTGGAGGACGCATTGATCGAACGGGCCGAGGGGAGGTAGTGTTCTTCTGGACCTACGATGGTGTACAGACTCAGGTGAGACTTTCTGCTGAAACCAAGCGAACGAGATTCACTCTGGCTTTTGCTAATTTGAGGATTGGAATGAGATAGCATTGGGCGTCGTGGAGGGAGCTTGATGGGTATCTCAAGCTGGCACATTGTGTGATTTGGCGAAATCAAACAACATATACTATCTTATCGATGCCAGCTGCCGCCACCGACCCGTCCTGAGAAGAATTCGAAGTCATACAGTGGTGATGTCTTATAAACACATCCAGAGTTTTGCCAAGTATGTCGGCATCTCAGAGGAGACCTCTCCATCATCAATCCAGCAGACGAACGTTCCGGCCAATCTTCATGCATGCCTCGCGACTGCTTCGAGATCTTTCGACAGATGACTGCTCGGTGGTCTCTTGTCAAATCCGCTTCGGTGCTCACACGTAATGAAAGTCACTATCGCACCTCATCAACGGGGTTCGAGAGCTCTGCATTATCAAGTTGCGCGGGGAACATCTTATCGATCAGCCTGGACCATGAAGATTTTCTTTCTTATCGCTGGTAGACCATCGCAATTGACGACTCCAGCACACAATTTGTGTGTGGACATTTGTTGTCGAGTGAGGACGTCGATGTGGGTAAGTGGCCTCTCTTTTATGTATTGTCTTGCTTATCTTACGGATACTCTACCTCTAACTCTTTCCAACGCAATTCGAGATGCTCTTCGAAATCACTTCAGCCCCCACTGTCGTAGCTCCTTCAATTGCAGGAAACCCTCCTCTGAACGCTATATACGCCGAAATCTGCACTGTGAATTTACTCTGCAGACCCCATGACATGAGCTACATCGTCTTCTAGATGTTTTTGAGCATATCAAAACTGACTAAAAGATACAGGATGGCGAATTTCTGTTCGGCTGTACGAATGCACGCAGGTAGCTTTGTAGCCATCTTCATCTTCATCTTCGATCAAGAGATCCATTCAATCGCACTATGATGAAGAACTTCACCATAACAACTCTCGGTGCTACAATGTTGGAACATGCAGGGTGCAATTCCGTCACACCAAGATTGGTCCAATTCTTTAGCGGCGTCTCATCACACTTTTAAGCGCCGACTTCGACTTTGCCGTCCTCTCACCTTACCTTTCACGTCGCTTGGCTGCAGTCGTCGGTACCATCCAACACGTATGATTTGTCGCCTTCTGCATCAACATCCGGCATCACGGTAAGGGCCTGTGATTCTCTGTTCAAAAATAGCACAAATGTCAAGAGGCTTGGACTCTTGGCCAATGGTCCGGCGTCGATCATACTGCACCACCTCTCCTTCTTCCCAACTGCGATTAAACGTGGAGCTCATGCGTTCCATCACTTCGCTTGTTTGCGCAAAAAGGGAATAGACAGGGCTCTTGTGCTGTGTCTATGCATTGTACGCGCTCTGTTACTCGTTACAGGCCCTGCGGAGACGCGTCTCTGGTCACCGAGGCGGTCCCGGTAGAGGGTCTAGTTTCAGCAAACACGGCGGCTCGCGCTCAGTCCTGAGCTGGAGAGATGAGCCAACAGTATGACTACCCATGCCCCCCTCCGCCGCCGAGTCCAACCTCTTACGGGCCGGCTAGAGCTCAACCTGGCCATGTTCACCGCACAGGATCTGCGCCTGAGCAGCCTCGTCCTATAACGACTGCTTTCCTCGGTGGTCAATCCCAGGTTTCCACTCCCATCTATGGATCACACCTCTCTCCGGGTGGACCCCACTCTTATAGTCCCCGGACTCCGAGCGCTTTGAATCCTCAGACTCCTGGAGGCCTTCTTCCACCCGCACCACAGCCTGGAGCTGCACCTAGGACGCCTGTCATGGAGCCATATAATCCGAGGCAATGGAACAACACCAGAGGCCAAGTGTCTGGCTCACAAATGGTATTCCAGCAGAGGCACAGCAACGCGCCTTTGAATACCACCCATGTGACGGGCATGGAGGGTATGTACTCTTTTCATCTCGAGTTAATATGTTGGTGTCCTGTCTAGTGTAGCTTCACGCTGTACAATGTTACCATGTTCCATTGTTGAGACTCTGTGGTGGTACCCGCTGACCTCAGACGGTGAACAATAGCTGCAATGCCGTCTCCGCCTCCACCATACTCACCGGAAACACCTGACAACCCTGCGCGATCTGCAATAGCATCGCCCATGATGGATAGTATTGGATTCACTCCATCACCTGTTCCGGCTGAGAGGAACATCTCGCCTCAGATGAATAGGTCGCCTGCATTCCCTCCACCTCCACCCCAGGCATCTCGACATCGGGAGCGTTCAGCGTCTGGTCAAGGAGGACAACGTTCATTCTTCAGCCTTGCTAGCTTACGAGGGAAGCAGCCTGTCAGTGTCGATCAGCCTTTCCCCCCACAAGCTGGCAGCTCCGCATATATACCGTCGTATATTGATACGAGACCGCCGGCGTCCAGAAGAGCAGCATCGACTGGCCATATACAATCAGGTGGAGCAGGATCTTCTTCCTCTGCTGCTATTGTCAATGCCGGGCGTGGATCACCAGAAAGTCACTGGCGTCAAGGCATGCCTCTGCCGGGACCTCCTCCTGGACCTCCACCTCCTCCCACCAATCGCTCGCAAAGCTTGAACCGTCCAATAGGTGCGCCAGGACCTAGCAACCTGAATGCAGATTGTGGATTTGAAGCGTCAAGGCAGAGAAGGACAATGGCAGTTTCAAATTTGGGTCCAGTCCCTCCCACGCCTGCAGATTGGGTTGAGACGGATCAAGCTCCGCCAAGTAGCGAAGAGGTCCTTTCGCTGGTACCACAATCTCATGCTGATACGATTGTCGATCCGCAACCATTGCGAATTGATACCGGTGCGCACCGGGATTCCTCCCTGACTCGACGTCGTGTAACACGAGACATGAGTGCGCAGGGGATTCGAGAGAGACGATCGAGAAGCCGTGCCACACAAGGCGGTATCGATGGTGACTCTCGTCCAACAAATCTGATATTCTCACCCGATGGAGGATCGATCAAGCAAAGACGTGAACATACCCGAACGGCGTCTGGATACCCTGGACCTGGACCATCATCCGCTCCAGCTGCAACGCAGTCGAATTCCAAGGCGCCCGAAAACGTTCTTACGCCTCCCTACACACCAGCTGTGAGCAAGAAACATGTCAAACTGCCAGGAAGTGCTTCGAGTGATAGGCCGGTATCGCATCTGCTGCACACTCCCAATGAGGATAACACGAGTATGCATGCTCCATTGAGCCCAGGACGACCTGCCTCGAGTCAATCGACGAAGACTCCCTTCAACTTGGACGCCTTCTCTTTGCAAGCGATCGAGCGGCATCGAGTATTCGTCGAGAAGGAAGCTGCTGCGGTATCTGATGAGGAAAGATTGGAGCTGTTTGCCAATTTTCTCGTTCACGAGTCGAGACTACGACGAGATCGGTACACTGCTGCCTACAATGCCATGGCTGGTGATATTGTTGATCTTACCAGAGACATGTGGAGACCATATGCTACTCGCAGCAGAAGAGCCATCACACCGAGCACTTCAATGTCTTCCTTTGATCCCACAGCTCCAACTTGGGGCACAGACAGCCAGCCAACTTCTGCACACGGGCATATGCCAGGTTCTGCATCCTCGTTGGGCGACTTCACTCCTGGTACGGATTCCGGATCGATGGGCGAGCTCGGCGAAGGGTATGAGCGGACAGAGAGTCGGCAATGGGCAGAATCTTTCAAGCCTTCGCTATCACCCATTCCAAGTATGGCGGTGAGCACGGTACCGGATGAGAATGATTCAAGAGGACGATCAGCAAGCCGCTGGTGGGAAGCCGGGCAATCTGGAGCCGGCTCGATCGGGAGACCTGACAGGATGGAGAAGTCGCGGCGTGAGACCAAATACATGGGTGTCAATCCTGCAGTCTTACAGGCAACTTCACAACCAGAGTCGGAGCCTTCTCCTGGTGCGAGTAATCATGCGTACATGTATGGTCCTGATGAGTATCCTCCCGAAAAGGTTGGCTGGCATGAAGGGCCTGATCTAGACACGCCGATGCAGACACCTCACCGGATTCCGGTAACTACTCCTGGGATTGAGCCGCTCGATGTCTCTCGATTAGTCACACTTCCTCCCCCATATCCGCGCCATCATCCTGCTGTTAATAACAGTCACCCTTTGTTGAACGACCTGCGTGGTGAGCATCGCTTCCTGGCCGATCAATCTGAAATTCAGAAGATTAAAGATGCCTACCTCGACAAAGATTTTGCTCTTTCGCGTGAGCAACAAGAAGGCGAGAAGAAGCGTCGCAGCAGATTACGATCTGAAATTCAAAGCAAAATCGCAGATGGCAGCATGTCATTCGCAGATGCAGCAAAAGCTGAAGCGGATTTTGATGTCGACGAAGCCGAGCGAGGCAAAGCCAGCGCTCGTGCAAGATTCGACGTCTTTGAAACAAGCGTCTCCCATCCCTTGAACACTCTCCTGACCGAACGACTGGAGCGAGCGAGCAAAAGCATCCGGCAACTCCGCGCCGAACTCCAAAGTAACCACGAATCCACCAACCCGAATCAAGCACAAGAAGAAGGCGACGAGCATCCCGAACGCTTGGAGAAATTGACACTGCTAAAGTGGCTGTTCGAAGTCCGAGAGCTACTCCACAAGGAAATGTTCGACCTGCACGCCATGCGAAGCGACAAGTACTCCGAAGTCATCCTCACGCCCTACCGCATTGCGAAACTCGCGACGAAAATCGACGAAGCGACTACATTTTTCAAAAAAGATCGTCTGGAGCGTCAAGTGACTTTCGCCAAGGACTCGTTGAAGCGCGTGGAGGAATTGCAAGCGGTGATGGAATGGAATGTTTCGCGGGGCGTGGAGGATCAATTGAGTGCTTTTTGGGACATCGCGCCGGGATTGCTGGAGGTGATTCAACAGATTCCCCTGACCATGTCGGAGATGGCGCGGTTTGAGATTCGCATCCCGGGGCAGGAAATCGAGGAGAATCCGTCGTATTTGAGACATCCGATGCAGTATTTGGATAGTCTGTTGGGGCATGCGGAGAAGAGCGCGTATCAGTTTATTGAGAGTCAGGTGAATCTGTTGTGTTTGTTGCATGAAGTGAGGACGGCGACGGCCAAGAGTCGATTGCGTGTGTTGGAGATTGAGAGGGTTGTGGAGATTGGGGATCATGGGGAGGAAGGGGTTGGGGTTGAGATGGGGTTGGCGAGGAGGGAGGCGGAGGAGGAGTTGACGAGGGAGTTGAAGGAGAAGGTTGGTGAGGTCGAGGGGCAGTGGGAGGAGGCGCTTGGGGCTGGGTTGGGGGATTGTAGGGATAGGGTAAGGGAGTGGTTGGAGGGGAGTGGTGGGTTGGAGGAAGGTTTGGATGGGTAGGTTGGATGGGTTATTGTATTGTAGCGTTCTGGGCGACATATTTTTGGGGATTGGTTGTTTTATGGAGTATAACTGCTGGAGTCTTCATGTTCCGTTGGCAAAGATATGCGTTGGATAGGCCTTGTCGCAAAAGTGCTCACGCTGAAGCATGGAATTCATGCCATTCAAAAACGTTTACCAAGCTCAACTCAGTGATTACAAGGACGAATGGATCCAGGAATAATATCTTGATATCATTGTGCACAACTCGTACAATATGCATAACGGATTGCTAAAGATATGCATACTTGGCACGCGTCGCAACTCCTTCCTCCAACATCAGCGAGTTTCTCTGTGATGTGATTCGATCAATCTGCCATGATGAACCTCAACCGCATCAAGAATGCTCTAAAGACGTCCTTACAGAGCTGTAGTTGTTTCGCATGGAATCGCGACGGTCCGCCGCTTGAACCGGTACTGGAGGCACAAGTCGACAGTCCTCCCTGGCCACCCCAAGCGATCCTCGACGACCGTGTCGCCTACATGTCACAGATTCGAGCCAGGCCGCCCCGAGCAATCAAAGGCACAGATCGAGACTCTCCCCTCAACTGCCTGTATCGTCTCTATGAGCGGCTCGTGCTGGACGACAYCATTGGCTATCGCAACGAGATTGAATACTTCTGGCGTCGTAGAGCATGGCCTGTCGCTGGAATTCCGGATCCCGAGGACTCGGATCCGTATCGCTATGCGTTCATGGCTGCCATTCCTGATCTACTCATTCGGGCTTTCAACAGCAACATTAAGATCGGTCTGGCAAGATATACGCCTGCCATCATAAGTCCAGAGCGAGCGGAAGAACTGCGCAACACACCTGAAAGCGCCAAAGTCTATGAGAGCGTACCTTCCTGGACCTCTCGCGTAGAGCCCGTGAAAAGGATGTTGACAATACCGATGGTCGATGGACCTGACCTGGTCAACCCCATGGACACAGAACTGGATCCGACATTCTTGAGGTTTAATATACGAATTGGTGTCCCTCATGTCCTCTTCACCTGATGCACACAGCCCTGCGGGCTCCATTGATGTCCTGAGATATCATTTCACCAAGCCGTCCTCCATGTACAAGCGCCGATACTCAAGCCCGATAATGGCAAGATCGACCACGTCCACCTGGAAACCATACTCGCTACACCAGGACTGTACAACCTGGTGATGCTGTGGAACATACCTATTGCTGCTGATGTACTTGTGGAGGTACGCTGCAGTATCCGTGGCATCGTGAGGTCGAGCCTTGGCACTCTGCACTCCTCTCCGGGACTGAGAGATTCGGCAACGATCTTCAGAACAGGTTGCTGAGATACAATCTCGTTCTATCGTAGAGCTTGTTCCGTAATCTGGCGATGGCGGGGAGGCGTCAGCCACATCTGCGTCTGGTTGTTGAACCATTCGATTCCAAGCGGCTTCCCGCTCTGATGCTCCGTGAGCTGAGCAGTTTGGCCAAGAGATGTGCTTTCCTGATTGTCCAGATACTCATGATACACCCAAGGTTCGGCCGGCGAGCGCGTATCCCACCCCAGAACATTCCAACTCCACCCACCACTCCATCCGGTTTCTGTGTCTACCCGACATGGCATTCATCGAGGCGATTCCACCCAATGAGAGGCCATGACGTAAGATTCAACGAGCGTCCATTCAACGAGCGTCCATTCAACGAGCGTCCATTCAACGAGCGTCCATTCAACGAGCGTCCATTCAACGAGCGTCCATTCAATACAGCTTCCCAGACACCGCCTGAGGAATATCCAAGATCTCCGAGGCTATCACTTCTGACCCTTGCTCTGGGTTCACTCTGCAAAATACGGAGGAAAATCTACTCCGCGATGTATAATTCTTAGTGCTCACCAGTGGAGGGTCAGTATGAACGCCGTGAGATCTCATGGGAGCCTTTGCTTAGTGGCGCATTTTCCTGCTCCAGAACGCTTTATCTGATACAAACCGGACCCCTGCAAGTGAACCTCTGGGCTTGGAACTGCACATGGATAACGACTACTGCATATGGCCTACCGGAGCTCCGGATTCAAGAGTCTCGTGTGGTGTTTTCCGGTCATTGCCGGGAATTGTGAGGCAGAATTGTTTGTTCGATGCAGCTCTCGACACTGCAGGCGGTACAGACCATGCTACCAAACTCTCATCTCCATTACTAGTAGATAGACTTGTKACCGCGTCAACAATCGTGACGCCCTGCAATGCTCAATCACAACCTAGCCCGATCCTTGACGTAAGAAAGCTGCTTGCTGATCGTCTCGAGCGCCTCCCTCTCGATTCGYGCCACCAGGTCCTCGCATGTTGGGATGTCATGGATGAGTCCAATGCATAAGCCTGCGGTCCACACGCCATATTCTGGGTCGCCTAGATTGTGGGCCAGGTTAGCAATGTTGGACACCATAAGGGGGGCCGATTGGCCCCGATATATGCCCAAGGCTGGGAACTGTGACAACTTACCATTGATAAACACCTCTCGACCTCTCTTTCCGTTGACGTACGGAAGTACTTCGGAAAATTCTCCTGTCGTGCTCTCTCTCTCAACCTTCAATGCGTCATCGGTGGTTTTATTCTTGAAGTACCTACGCAGAGCAAAAGTCAGCAAGTTCCATAGACACAACGAGTCGACACCGATAAGACTCTTATCTATACGTACCGGTTACTGTTTTTCCATCGCCGGAGCACGATCTCCGTGTCATTCTCGGATGCGCCAACGATTGATTTCTTGATGTTGTTATGAATAGGAGCCTCGACAGTGCACATGAATCGGGTTCCCATGTTGATACCACATGCACCCAAAGCCAACGCACCGGCGAGTCCTTGTCCATCAGCGAAGCCACCTGGTGAGAGGAAAATGTCAGTCCAACTTAGATATACCTGGCCTAGACTCTGTGGCCAACGAGCCGACAAGATTTGCCCTGTACCGACTTACCCGACGCGATGAAAGGAATATTGCCGAGTTCTTGTCTTGCGCGAGAAAGTAGGATGAAGTTGGGAATATCAGTCTCGCCAACGTGTCCAGCACACTCGAAGCCGTCAATGCTTAGGAAATCGACGCCTAGTTTCACTGCGCTCAATGCATGCTTTATGGTGGTACCTGTTGACAAATTAGCATTTTTACGGCGATATTTTCTACACTTTGTAGTAATCTAGGAGGCAATAATGGCGCTTACACTTATGCAGAACGATACATCCCGCATCTTTGAATCTCTTGACGACTTCTTTGAATGTTTGTCCCGCGCCAGCAGTTTCAATGATTCGAATGCCTTCTTCAATTGCAGCCTTGGCGTATCCGTGGTAGTCCTGATTTGATCAGCAAAAGTTTTGTACAATGTCTCAGAAGAGATCGATGTTTCCTTACTGGAGGATTGCTGTTTGGAAGCATGGTGCTGTTGATTCAATCAGTATGCATCGAACAAAGTGGCTCGAATTGCTTACAGATTGACGGCGAAGGGCTTGGATGTCATCTTCTTACACCGCTGAATCTCTTTCCGCAAATCTTCTGGCGTTGGCTGAGTCAATCCAGTGATGATACCAAGACCGCCGGCGTTTGATACAGCGCTGGCAAGCTCGGCGTAGCCTACCCACATCATGCCTCCCTGAACCACGGGAACTGTTGCTACAAGTTAGCTAGTGCTACAATTGGGAAGTGTGAGTTATATCGTTTTGTGGGTGCAACTCACCCTTGATCCCCAAGGCTCGCGTCAGAGCTGTGTCGAACGACATGATCAAGATTGCTGTATTGTGAATTGTTTGAAAGGAGGCTGTTGATGGAGGCCCTTTACTTTTCTTCTTTTAGATATCCCCACAAGATTGAAGTGCTGTCTGATTATTTGATACGTATTACCGGTATAATTCCCGCGGTCAAGTTCTGAAACCGAGGTCAAGATGGAGAGTTAGCCGTCTTTGCCTTTTCGAACAGTCAGCAGGAGATCAGCATCAACTCTCACGTGATCGTCACAATACCTCCTGGCAACTATTTTCGAGCTGTGTCCGAGCAAGACAAGCTGGGCAAATGCGGGCTGGCATAAGAGATGGATGAGACAATACATCCCATATTCGTTGCCAAAGCATTCCCTTCAGCTGGTTCATCCAGGACCGATCCTTCCAGCCGCACCAACAGTAATTGACCGGGACGTTTTGGTAGTCCGGGTCGGATTCAGAGCATGCTGTCTCCCTCATCTTTTGCGTGAGAACGGAGTCTCAATTGTGGTGGGCGAAGGATCAAAGAGAGTAGGTGATGTCCGGGCCTGGAGTCCGTAAGATTGCACAACGTGCGGATTCTGTTTCCTTGCTGTCCAGTTACCCTGGAGCTCGAGTCGACTGTGAACTGTTATTCTCTCATCATTTTCGATGGAAGCCATGAGGTCGAAACAAGATACCGACTGCCACTCGGTAGCAGACCCCATCATGGGTTTAGCGATCCAGCTCTCTGGAGTACCTGGCTTTGGAAGGAGAGTTTTCCTGAATGGAAGGAGCTTGGAACATATTTTTGATCACGTCGACGAGGTCTGGAATTTCAGCAAAGATAAAGTGTAGAACAGTGCAGTCACAGAAGCATTCTGGAGTGAAGAACGGAAGATCTGGAGTGTCAAGACTTCAGATGGACAAAAGTACCGTTGCAAGTGGGGATCATGGCAGCGAAGGGGTACTTGGAAATACCTGCAGTGGTGAACCATGCTGAGAATCGATCCAGGACTTCCTACAAGAATTGATGTGATTGCAGTGTGCACGGGATATGATGCTGCGACGCCATTGATCTGGAGGAGAACTGGAAAATTCGTGTTGTCGCGCATCTGGGCATGGGCGTCAACGTCTTCCCAAACTTCTTCATGAACAGGCGGACAATGTCCACGCCGCGTACCCTACCAAGCCGGCAGAGCAAGCAAGGAGAAAGCATATCCTCGATACCGCTGTTGGAGACAAACTCGTGGTATATGGGCGCTAACGTGCCGAGCAAAGCACGAGAAATGTTCTTCTATGTTGAATGTATCCCCAATTGGCACAGAGCGTGTAAAGAGTCGATAGACTGCCGGAAGGACTTTGAGACGACGCCCGCTTGGAAGGACGGGAAAGACTGAGCTCAGAGACGTCCAAAAGAGTATTCAGACGAGGCCAGGATTCTTTGTCCGCCATGAGGGGACATGCCATACAGAGTGAAGCTATTTGTAGAACAAAGGACGAAAGAGAGCATTGATCGGAGTGGAGGATGACGAGCAAGCAGCGCGTGAAAGCCGGGATAATGATTTTCATGCAATCTTAGTACTAACTACGGTGGACTTTTAGCGACTTCCCTGCAACAACGCGATCTAATATAGCTTAACGCCACTAAGTGGAGTAATTTCACACCTCGCTTATTGATTTAATTGCCCGTATAATTATATATAATAAACGTCGTTATTTGCTTGTGTGTATGTAATATTACCGTCCCGTTATTACTTAGTTACCGGTTCTAATATGTTACGGGTTTCGGTTACCTATATCTTACTTTAATGCTACTATTATGCATATACTTCTGCTAGTAACTTATTATACGCGTAAGAGTAATATTTATATACTATAAGACTCTTCCCTCTACCCTTCTACCGTCTCCCCTAGTCCTCCTAATAACTACTATATTTAATACTTTAATTAGCACTCTTACTACCTATCCTCCCCTCTTTGCTTTATTCTACCTCTCCGTATAATAACCGAGAAGGAAGTTCGCCGCTTCGGTATAGGCGACGTCGACCTATTAGATATATACTACTCGTCGGACGATA